GGACAATAGATGAAAGAAATGTGACTGTTATACAAATAATCAGGAGTAGCAATAACAAAAAACATACATTAAACAGCATAAATAAATGACATGGTGAGCCGTTCATTAAGTAACATTTTTCAGCCATATGGCACAGACCATGGCCTTTCAAAAAGATTCTTCTCTTGTTCGATATCATTTGAAAAATAAATTGACGACTAGCATTCAAAAGATATTGACTACACTTACTTATCACATAATTGAACAATATCAACGTGATTCGTATTGTTGAAAAATTTCATTCAAAAGAAATTCTGTTAGATTATTTTGGCCAATGTCTTTCCGATGTATTATTGTTTAAATAAAATATAATCCAACGTTTGACTACGTCTGATCATACTCCATGTTTAAAATAACGCTTTGACTAAGATTTACCGAAAAAATGTTTTTTCAATGTTGATAAAGCAGAAACAACATCTGAATGAAAAATAATTTAGCTTTTAAATAGAAATGAATTGTTTTAAAAATTTTCTCTAACTCAATTAATATTATAATACAAATCCGATATCTCGTTTTCTTTTAACAATAGTACCTTTTTTCAATATAATCTGTTACAATTAATCAGGTTGATTTACTTGACATTGGAATAAAGATTATTGGAACTATATTAGTGTATGGTTTTGTTTATTACGTGTTTATTATTGATTTTCCATGTAAGAAAAATATGCGAAAAAGCGATACTGAATCGATTACAAATGATTTCTTTTTTCACATTTTTATATTTGTTTTAGTCAAAAACAATCAGATTGATCCATGAAATGTCGATATCTTTGATTAATTTTTGATTAAAATCAATTTTTGTGTGATGTTTATATTTTTACAAGGATTTATAAGTGTTTATATTATTGTACAAAGTTTTCCTAATCAATCTTGTTCATCTCATTGCTTATCAATTAAAGTCGCATTAAAATCATTGGTGACAAATATACTCAAGAAGTCACTTCAGTTTCATTGGGAATCTGCTCGAAATTCTTAAACTCTTGATAAGACCTTCTCGAATTGATAAGAACTATTTCAAAAATATCACTTATTACAAATATGACTTGTAATAAAAACAGATGGGATTCGCAAAAAGACACAACAATGTTTATGATTGCAAACATGAATTTAATCACACCCATCCAGAATCGAGTTTGATCAACTATCTTCGTCATTTCACAGGATAAATTTGGGTTTCTTAATATGGACAGTATATGATTAGTAATTAACAATATAATTGTTACATATTTTGCTTGCTTTTTTGACTGAATCAAGACATCAATGGCTAATCAATAGAAGTATAAAAAGAATGAACTGTCCAATATCGAGATTATATCATGGCTTTTTTCGGCAATTGGTTTGAGCAATGATATCGTGAGTCCTTCCATAATAGATCTTTCTACAATTGAAATGCATACAACTAAACCTTGTGAAATGATCAATAAGACAGAATCACAAAAAAGAAATGTTTTTTTTTCTAATTCTATTTTTCAAAAGTGCCTAAAAACAAACAAAACAAAACAAAACAAAAGAGAAAAACTAATTTCTACGTTCCGCATGAAAAACAGTAAGGATTACAAAAGTGAGAAAAATCATACAAAATCTTTTATATCATTCTAGTGTTATAAAATACGTGGTGGTAACATAACATAACGATCATCATGAATAATTGATATTGGCGTTCTCAAAGGTACTAAACCCGATTGATGATTATTTTCATGATTATCGAGTAACTCTGTCTTACACTTATTAGTATGTTGAGGTAAACTGTCAATATGTATTTGTCGTTGCTTTTTCCAATGATCCCAAAGTGTACAAATAAGTTCACCAGCAAGAACAGTATTCATATTCGCATTAATAATACGTAATCTTAAAAATAAAAATAAAAAAAGATAAATTTAGAAAAGATCATTAAAGTTTAAACTTACAATAAAATACCATCTTGTCGACAATATCGATCAACAAAAGTTGGAAGCATTTCAGTATCAAAACGTGTTGCATTTTCCGAAGAACAATAGTCAATTCGATTTACTTTTAGAAAACGACGAATAAAATTTTTACGTGATGTTAAAGTGAAATAATACAACCATTTAAATAAACCATAAATAGAAATAATCGAAATAAAAGCAAGCCAAAACCAAATCATTAAAAAAATCTAAATATCAATACAATTTATCCTATTATGTTTTTTCTCTAATAAAATCATTCTTCTACTTTTTCGTTATAAATATTATTAGGCAAAAGACATTGAACATCATACGGTTGAACATTATCACCAAGTGTTCGAAGAATAAATCGACACATAGTTATACGTGGAAATCTTTCAACATCTTTTATTTCTCGTCCATAAAACCATTTTTGAAGAACTTCAAAACCATATAAATGAAATCGACTACCCATAAAAATATTGAGAAGAAAAAGTTGACCAATAGCATTGGCTATATAAAGTAATTTAACAACAATATAACCACAAGCTAAATAATTTCCCGAATGTTGACCCAAACTGCAGCATAATAAACATGAAAAACGTTTCCATGTACTATACCTAACAATAAAGCAACAGAAGTTTTTTTATTAAAACATGATATATGTATATGTATGGACCATTTCAGACAAAATGATACATATTCACCTTTCATTTGACTTTGATTTTTTACAAGACTTATTATTCTGAATAAATTCTTTTAGCATAGACATATAATAAGTACCGAAATTATTTAACAAGGTTTATTTTCAATTTTTTCCGTTGCCGTCAACGGTAGAAAAAATTCGAATAGTGATTCGAGTGGAGAGAATTATTTACAATAGTAATTTAAAGAAATAAAATTATTCTCAGATTCTCAAAGATTGGATCTCCACAAAAATCCAAATCCTCGTTTTTTAGCATCTAGAATGTGTAAATATAATAGACTATAAAGAACGATAGAGTAAACGATTCTCTATTAAATGAGATGTTTCCGACTTTTTCGCAACGTCGTTTCATCTGAGATACAGCAATTTTACGGAATTTCCTAAAGGCAATTTTTTTTTCTATTGTCTATAGATAAGCTTTTCTTTTTCTTCAAACAATGTACTGCATCTCAACCAAAAAAAACGTCACAAAGAGCTCGAAGACGTCTCATTTTGTAGAAGATGGTTTATTCTATCGTTCTATGTAGTCGATTATATTGACGCACTTTAAATGCGGAAAAATGGGGGTTTGGCATTTTCTGAAGTCCTTAGCTTTGAAGACATGATAATAATTCTTATTTCCTTAGATTCTTTTTCGAAACAGTTTCTGTACTCGAAATCTTATAGTGCTTACAACAGCGGAAAAACTCTACATAAACCTTGTTGAATAATTCAGGTACTGATTGTATGTACAAATATTTGCTCTCTCAGCTGACTTAGCTAAAAAGCAAGTAGTGAATATCTCTCTAATCATAAGAAAAAAAAAATCACAAAAAATCCTACAGCACAAACCATATCTATGGTGAAATTTTCAGCAAGATCAGACTCTACAAACTTTATCTTGAAAGCTGATGTTATATATATACCCTATCAAGTCAAAAGCAAAAATATTTGTTTTACCATCATCTAGAGATTCCGAAGAAGGATTTTTACCATTTCGCCTTGTTTCTTAAATTGTCATTCAGTTGTAGGAGAATGTTTTGGTTTGTGTATATTCGAATAAACTAAAGCGCATGAAATGACAATCGATGTTCTTCTTTATGTTACATTGCTAACGCTAGTTTTTTCTGATAAATCCTTTGAACCAAGGTCTCTAGCGATGATTTTTTCAAACTATCTAGAGTAACTTAACATACATGTGACGTAAAAAAATTAACTCTAGAAAAGTTCATTATCCAGAGATACACATGTCTTAATTTGGTCGACGTCATGTTGCTATCGAATGATTTTATTCATATACTTACATGAATCCATGATGATAATCACGATGATAAGTCAATGCTTTATCGATATGTTTAACTAATGAATTCATAGCATCTTTTCGATTTTCACTATCCAATGGATCCATATCTGCTATCATACTTGTAATAACTTTTGTATCAATTCCACAATTTCGATTTATCTTTCGCCAAATAAAACCAGGTACATAGAACATTATCATCATGACAAAGAGCATAAATGGTACCCATTGATAATACGGACTAAAATAATATGAATAAATAAAATATATTTTATTTGTTTATTTTTGTTTTTACAAACATTTTTTCAGGTCGTGATTGATTTCGATTTGGCAGTGGCTTATCAAATGGTAAATAATAAGATGAACTAATCCAACAAACCCAATTCACATAATCGACTTTATGTTTACTATCGACCATTTGTGTAAAACAATGAATTGGATTAGTAACAAACTGTGTTGTTGTAACAATAATAAAACATATACCAAAGATAATCATCGAATATTTCCGACTAAGTCGATCAAAAAAATCATCATTTCTTATACCAGGTAAACCAAGTTTACCAAATGCTTCAACAATAGGATAGAGCATTTTGAAGAGTACGATCTTGTATCGATAGCTGAATTAATTTTGATGTGATGAAAAGAAAAAGAAAAACACGACTAACTGTTCAGTCACATGGTGCTTCTTTTCTTTTCTATTAGGATAAAGCATGTATATCTGTTTTGTTTACCTCCCATTAGACTATTTAACAGAGGATTACAAAATGACTTTAACGACTAGAAAAAATTTTCTTCATATAATTCATTCATTATCAGTCTCACAGAAGTTTTATTATTACCACTACATGGACAGAAAAAAAGAAGAAAAGAAATATATAATTATAGTAATCCAAATAGGTAAAGATCAAGTTCTGATCAATTCGACGTATACAAGCAAAAAAAAAACAGAAGAAAAAAAAACATACAATAGTGAGAAAAAAAGAACCAAGACAACATTATCATCCTCTTTTTTTTCTTATTTCAAAAGGTTCAGCTAGTCTCTAATTTAATTGTATTTGTTTTTCTGAAATATTTATGATAATATGCCTGACATAGGCGGTAATAATTTTTCGTTTCCTTCACCAGAACCATTTTGTTTCAATGAATCTTTAACACCTAAACCAATTATTTGACCACCATTATCCGATTCGGGTGATGCATTCGAACGAATTTGTGGCATTATTTTCCAATTATCCCATAAGGCACAAATTACTTCACCAGCAATAACATTATTTGTATTCTTTTTAATAATACGTAAAAGTAGTAAACCATCTTGTCGACAATAACTATTAACAAATTCTTCAAGACGTTTAACAGGTGCTTGATGATTACTTGAATCAATATCCATCGTTGATGATGATGTTGATGATCTATAATATGTAACATCATTTGCTTTTAAAAATCTACGAATAAAATTTATTCGTGCACATGATGGCAAATAAAATAACCATTTAATAAGACCGTACACTGATACCACAGCAACAAATGTGAGCCAAAACCAAATTAATAAAAATATCTAAAAACAACAAACAATTCTCTTTATGAACGAAATAAAGAATATCAAACAAAAAAAAATTTACTTTTTCATTATAAATATTAATCGGTAAAAGACATTGAACACTATATGTTTGAACATTATCACCAAGTCTTCGAATTATAAAGTCACACATAGTTATACGTGGAAAACGTTCAACAGCAGTTATGGTTTCACCCTGCATCCAGCGTGTAATCATTTCAATACCAAATAAACTAAATCCACTACCCATAAATATATTTAAAAGAAAAAGTTGACCAATAGCATTCGCTATATAAAGTATCTTAACAAAAACATATGTTAATAATAAATAATTGCCTGAATGTTGACCAAATTTACAACGAAGAATTGTTCCTTTACGTCGACGAATATTATATCTAAGGAAAAAAAATTTTAACATTCAAAAACAAAAAACCACTAAAACATACAAAAAACCATGAGCATAATCTCGATGATAAGCTAATGCTGCATCAATATGTTTCGCTACAGCTCGTACAGCTTTTTCTCTTTTTTCACCATCTAATTGATCCATCTCAGTAACCAATTTTGTAATAATTTTTGTATTAATACCACATAATTTATTAAGATTACGCCATATAAAACCGGGTAAATAAAAAAGACACATCATACAAAGCAAAATAAATGGAACCCATTGATAATAAGGACTAAAAAAAAATGACTTTATAATTAATCAATTTCGTTTTCTTGTCTTTTATAACATACATTTTGTTTCGTTGTTGTTCAAAACGTGTTGGTAAAGGTTTTTCAAATGGTACATAATATGAAGAACTTATCCAACAAACCCAATTTACATAACCCGTATGACTACCTGGTATATGATGTGTATAACAATTTATTGGTTGACCAACAAATTGTGATGAACTAACAATTAAAAATGATACACCAAGTACTATCATGGAATATTTACGACTTAATCGGTCATAAAAATCATCATTTTTGATACCCGGTGAACCGAGTTTACGAAATGCGTCTGTGACTAAATAAAGTGACATCTGAAAATATAAAATTAATTAAATTGAAGTATCTATATCAATAAAAATATTTTCAAATAAGTATAATAATGATTGGAAAATGGGCAGATTTTAAACAAAGAAAATAACACAAGAAGAATGAATGAATAGAGAAATTTAGAATAGGAAGAAAAATAGTTGGTGGACGAGACAGGTCAGCACTGCGTTTTTTTTTCCTTGTTCTTCTTTTCTCTATTTGTACAGAGAATATAGACGGCGCTGTGTCTGCCATGTGAACATCTTTTCTCAATAGGGCAAAAACATGAATGTTGTATATGTACATACATATGCACATATCAACCAATCTTCTTCAATATTAAAGAGACTACGAAGGAAAAAGGATCAATGACCGCTGACTCACTCTCCGTGTTGTCATTCGAACTATAATATTAGAAGATAGGTGTTCTGTACGGAGAGTGAACGTTTCGAATTTTATTCTCTCTCTTTCTCTTTTTCATTCTTCTTCTCACAATGCCGTCGTAGTAGTAATAATACATTTCAGCGGTCAGTGGACCGACCAATAGTGATTCATTATGTGCTGATATAACGCGCGTATACCAAATGGCATTCTTTCTCTCTTCTCGTGTACATATTCAGTTGCTTGCTACGAACGGATAGGATAGAATACGAAAGAATATATAAATATGTACCATTTTTAAGCATTAATGTGAAACATAACACTTGCAATGTACGAGAATGCGAGCCTCCTGTAGATCATCTTTAGTAAATGGGATTATATTAATATGAAGTATGACAAAAGTATGAACGAAAAGAAATCTTTCAGATCCTATATTGTTTCAAATCAATAAATCAGCTACATAACTAGAAAAAAAGGCCAATTTATTTCGTTTTATTTTCTAAAGATTAATTTAAAAAAAATGAACCATATCAATTGATCAATATAGTAGAACCAGAACCTTTTAATACAATGCAATCGACGATTAATTATCTATCTGATAGAAAGAGAAAAAAACAGCTGTAGATGGACGTCATGATTAGGTACCGTTTCGTCGAAAATTTATTTTTCGTTCATTCCGGTTTCGTCGAAAAAATAAATTCTGCTTAATCAATGAAGAATAGATTATATCATTTGATGAGATTTTTCGTCATACTAATTAGGAATAGTATCTAATTACTTGCGTAGATCAGTTTGTCAAAAAAAACTTTATTATAGAGCAGATTTAGATACATAAATAATAAATTATTAGGAGAAAATATGAATAAAGAAACGAAAAAAATCAACACTTTTTTTATTCCAATTAGTCCCAGAAATTTTTCAAGAAATTTATTCAACGTTAATGTTTGTTGTTTAAAACGTTCGTTAAATTTATGTAATCGTACATTTCGATTTACAAATAACTTTTTTCGTGGAGGAAATATACCAGTTGCTAAAGGATATGATGAGAGTGAATATGAATGTAAAGAAGAAGACATTCACATTCATCCACAACACCCATGAATGATTTTCACAGTTCCAATAAATAGTTGTATTTAAAATTTAATTTTGTGTATAGCGAAAAGTATCAAGTATTAAATTTGGTATATTACGTTTACTTTCAACATTAGAGAGTATCAGTTTATGTAATAATGAATGAATATAGAAAAAAAATTGAATTTCCCCTTTTCCTTCGCATATTTATACTTTTTCAAAAATGCAGATTACTAGTATAGGGATATCAATTAGTTTCTTTTTAAGGAACTAGTTTAAGTCAATCAAAGCAATCTAGCTTATCACTCTGATTATATTATTTTTCATGACAGTTTAATTTTTCGACGAAACGAGAAAAAAAATTAAGCTTTCGACGAAACGAGAATCTACCAACGTCATTTTATGGTAGGCATTGAGTACGCATAACTAATAAAAAAGATATGACATAAATGTTAATAGCTATTATCAAAGCAAAAATACGAAGTATTATGACATAGACAGTTCATTTTATAAATATTTGAAGTTTTGCTTGCAATTTCAAAAATAATTATCTAAGAGAAAGATTTGAATGACGATGTTGATCAATTTTACTTAATAGAACCAATATGTTTTATAAAATGGTTAACTAAATGTCAAGCAAAAGTGACGTCACGTTTCTAAATTTATAACCTTTCGAAGAATTTTTTCTTGTTCTGCATAAAAAAGTGTAAAATTATATATTAACAATTCTTACCGTTCTTTTTGTTTTTATTCAAATCAAACTTTATAATTAGAAAATATATGTCGTAATTGTTACTATTTCTGTTGTTGTTATTGTGCTGACTGTTGTTACGGCTGAAAATGAGGAGAAAGATATAGGGCTCATAATATATAGATTCGATAATGGCATTTTGATGAAGGATGGTGTATGTGGGCATAAAAAGAGTATGAGTACGTGTCTGACCGTGAATAGTGTAGAACAAAGGAACAAACAGTAATTTATAACAAGAATCTTTGACATGTATATCTTATTCGACAAGTATATGGGTATCTGTTAAATTGAAGAGAAAAATTTCGATAACAACGAATATAACAAAATATTTTACTTTCTGTATTTAGTATTAAAAATATGTGAACAATGGTTTTTTTAAATTTTACAGAATAAAAATAAAATATGCATGATAATAATGAGACATTATATTTACAATATGAACAAAATTTGTTATATTGTGTTTCTTGCATCAAAATTGATTAAATTAAAAAGAAATTGTTGTTTTTTTATGAAGTTTTATATTCGTGATAAAACTTGCAGAAAACTTATTCAATATTGTGTGATATATGAATAATGTTCAGAGCTCTCGTTGGTTTCTGGAAGTCGGAGGAGCTAAAACTTAGCAAATAGTTTTTTGACAACATTTTTAAATTTTTTGCAGACGCGACATAAAAAGTGGAAGAGACGACTACAACACTCAATTACCTCTCAGATTGAGATCTATGATAATGCCATCAGATTATACTTTATCTTTGTTTTGCTGTTTGAGTACATTTCCTTGATGATGTATGTTATTGTTATCATCTCAAAAGATACTGGAGCTATGAAATTGAAAGAAGAAGACATTCAAGGTGTTCTCTCTTATATTTCGTCATTCATTTCAACAAGAATGAAATATTCAATATGCCTGAATAAATGATTTTTTTTTCTCAGGTAAAAAAAAAAAGAATTCTGTTGACTGATCATGATGCGTAAATCTATAAAAATGATGTTTTCTTTCTTCTGCTCTCTTTCTTTCTTTTTCTTGTTGTTGTGCAGTGTCATTTAGTTTTGTGACTTTTTTTTTTCGAAGGTGTCCATTTGCGTTGTGCAGTTTCTATTTTTATTTAACAATCGAGTCAAAGAGTAAGTTTTTTTTCTCGTGTAGCACATATGAATATTATTTCTACTTCCTTTTTCATTTTTCTTTTACGTCGCTAAAGTAAAATCAATATGAATAATATTGACTCTTTCTTAATCTAATATTCGTCATTAATTGATTTATATTTAAATGCTTCTATATATTGAGTTATATCGGAGAAATGAAACAGTCATGTAGATTGAATAGAATTCTATACCGATGAGTGAAAAATATGTAGTTTTGGTTTGATTTTTTTTCAATGTACTGGTGACATTATATTTGAAATAAATCTTGATTAAATATACAGGTATGTCAATAGGTTAAATCAAATTCGAGCGTCTGTTGGAAAGAAGAACCTGAAAGTTTATAAAAATGTGTGCTGAAAATGATGAGTCTAAAGTAACTCAAAATTTTTAGATCTGTTGTGTTTTTATTCATTATCAATTTATATCAAATTTACTTTTTTTGGTGGCTTTTTTTTCAAGTTATTTCTTGAATGAACTATCGAGCAGATTTGATTCTTGTTGATCATCAGCAACAAATATTTGTTTTATTTTAGATATGAAATCTTTATGTAGCGATCGTCTTATTTTCTCTTTCAATATCTTGACTTATTTATTTCTATTGACTCGGTGTAATATTATTGGCGGATCTGAGTCTGTATGTTTTCTATGAAATCTGTTAAAAAAAATTTATTTTTACAATTATTTCTAGTGTTTGTTACCCAATGTTTCCTATACAATTTGTTTATCTTCTGATACAAATATTGTAGTTACATCGAAATCATTTACAAGAACTGATTTAATTAATGAATGTCATCAAGATTTTATTGAAAAATTTCTTAATAAATCTTGTCACAATTCATCATTACCATCTACTAGACGTGTAACTCTGACCACAGCTGAAAGTAAGCCCAGCAGATAATCGAAATTTTCTCATTTCTTAACATATTTTGGGGATTTCAGGTTATGGTTATGGGCTTTTAGCTGTATTTACCATATCAATTTTATCAATTGGCGGTTTACTCACTTTTCCCATTCTTTATAGTGTATCTTTTAAGTATGTGCTTAATTTATTTACTGCTCTGGCTGTTGGAACACTTTTTGGTGATACAATGTTTCATTTAATTCCTTTCGTCAGTATATTATTAAAAAAAAAACTATTTTCTATAAATAGGAAAATTTTTATTAATATGAATAGGCACTTGGTCTTCATAATCATCGTCAATATGATGAACATGCACATTCATTGTTTTCCGTACCTGATTATGTATGGAAGATGTTAGTGAGTGTATCAGGTATATATACTAATAAAACAATATTTCTACAGATTTATTAATTCATTTATAGTTCTCTATGTTTTTTATTTATTGGAATTTTTTCTTCACTCATGTGCACATTCTGGACATGAGCATACTGTATGTTAGATGAAAATAATTTTTTTTTTGAATCTTATAAAATACTTTCTTTTAGCATGTATTTATCGATAATCATACAATGCCTCATCATGAACATTCACATGTGAATGTAGAAATTTGTGAATTTACCCCAATGAATGCTGATGTTGACTTAGAAAATCGTCATCAATCACATACATATAGGAATGATAATTGTGATCAACATGAGTCAAATGAAACCAATACAAAAGTTATAGCAAATCAAATAAATGATGATAATGATGATAATAATAACAACAATCATTCCGTATGTTTTCCTTGTACTCGTTTACATGGAAAATTACCAAACTCATTATTTTCACATGTTTTAAAAAAATATTCATCAAAAACTACTCGACATACACCAGTTTCTGTTGTTGTTACTGGTTTAAAAGAGAACAACGAATTGAAGAATACCAATCCATTTATTCAAAAATTTAAAAGTAAAATAATTTTTGTTTTCTATTACTATATAAATTCTTTAAACTGTTTTTTTCTTGGATACTAAATATGATATATTTCAACGAAATGAAAAAAATTTTAATATATTCTTTTTTTGTTCATTTTAGAAATTGATTCAACTGGTTGGATGGTATTGATTGGTGATGGTATTCATAATTTTGCTGATGGTCTTGCTATGGGTGCAGCATTTAGTCAAGATCTTCTTTTAGGTGTAACAACAACATTTGCTATTGCTTTACATGAATTACCACATGAATTTGGTGAGTACAATTTGATGAAAGATAAAAATCATTCTTGAAATACAATTTTGATAAATTAATCAGGTGATTATGCTATTTTGATTCAATCTGGTTTTTCACATTCTCGAGCTATTTTATGGAATTTTCTTTCTGCAATGACTGCTTTTATTGGTTTTTTTGTTGGCATAACATTATCAAGTAATGATCATATTCGTCAATGGATATTTGCAGTTACTATTGGCATGTTTATCTATATTGCACTTGTTGATCTTGTATGGTTTTTTTCCTTAAACATAAAATTTTCTTTATAATAATTTTTCTTTTTTTTTCAGTTACCAGCTTTATTATCTCACAATCAAACTGATTTAAAACGTTTTATACTTGTTAATATTGGAATTTTAGTTGGTATTGCAATTATGTTTATATTAGCTTTATTTGAAGATACTTTAATTCGATCATCAGCATAGTGTTGCTATTTTAGCTTATAATTAGTACTTTTATTTTTCATCATCTATTTATCTGAAAGATATTAGGGATGGAGCGGTGCAATAAAGTAACGATTGATTTGATGGCACTGGTGATAACCATCACCGTTGCATCCCTAGATAGTATTCTGCTTCTTTGCTTTTATCTTCTTTTTTGTGCTTTCTTATTTTCGTTTTTTTGTCCAAAAAAAAAAAACTGGTGATGATAGTGATGTATCTTTTACGCTTGATCTGTTCTACAATTGCATATAGTGATATATGATGATTTTACAATAAAAAAAAATTGTGGCTTTTTTTAATATAATTTATTGTTGCGTATAAATACACGAAAAAAAAATAGTAAGTTACAGAAACAAGATGAAGATGATTTTTGAAATTATGTTTTAAGGTCAACTTGAGCTTGAATACAACCAAGATGACCTTCACTTGAACGAATATCAGCAGTTATTCGAAATGTACCAGATAATTCAGATGGTAATGATGATTTTATTTCTACGGTTGTATCAGGTATTGAATAGGTGTTAGCAGGTATTGGACACTCACATGGAATACCATATTTTTCAAAATATTGTGGACATACTTTAGCCCAATCTTCACAAATATTACCATAATTGCATGAACCAACATTATCAATACATGGTATTTTTACATAAAAGCCTCCAACTTTTCTTTCCATGATCACTACTATCTGTAATTAAACAAATATGAAACCAATATCTCATTTTACAGTATTGATGTACATACATAAATATCTGTTGGTAATTTAGATGCAATATCAACAGAAAGAGCAAGAGTCATGTTTCCTGTAATAAATGTAGACATGTGTAAAAAAAAATTGTATTTTGTAGACAAATAATTTTACCTGGTATTTCAATAGGATCTGGACCAATAGCAAGTGATTTTACTTGAATTGGATCAGAACTGGGACCACAATTTTCCCATGAAAAACCCAACATTGGTGATGTCTTAAAAAATTGAAAAATAAAGTAAAAAACAAAAACATGTACACTTACTAATTTGGGTCTTTTAGCTAATTTCAATGCATCGATGTTATACAACGATAATAGAAATATTGTAATATATATGAAACGTAAATGAATTCGAAATGCCATGGTCTGAATACGAGAGAAATTGAATCTAAAGCGAAGACAATAAAATGATGCTTTTTATATACGAAGATTTCTACATCTTTAGAATAGATAAAAACCCATTGTTATAGATAAAAAGCATAAATAGAAAAGAAAAGAAGCAGAATACTATCTAGGGATGCAACGGTGATGGTTATCACCAGTGCCATCAAATCAATCGTTACTTTATTGCACCGCTCCATCCCTAATATTTTTCATATATTATTGTTATTAATTTATATTTTCACAAAAATAACTATATATTCTTCAGATTCTCCGAAAATTTGCCTTATGTTCCTTTTTCAAATATTTATTTAAATATANGCATCGATGTTATACAACGATAATAGAAATATTGTAATATATATGAAACGTAAATGAATTCGAAATGCCATGGTCTGAATACGAGAGAAATTGAATCTAAAGCGAAGACAATAAAATGATGCTTTTTATATACGAAGATTTCTACATCTTTAGAATAGATAAAAACCCATTGTTATAGATAAAAAGCATAAATAGAAAAGAAAAGAATAAAATATAGTTTGCTTGATTTTATCATTCTAAAGTAAATGCAACTTTTTAAAGTACGCTCTTATCTGTCTTTAAGCATAGTTCGACCGCTAGATATTATCTCATACTTTGACAAAGAAAAAGAAGAAGATTGTGTAAAAAACAACATTCTTAAGGTGAACTTTAAGTTTAAAAGACATTATGATGTTCATCGTTTACTTTTCAGCAAAAATGATATTCTAATTTATTTGAATATAAAATTTGCATTCTAAATTAACTAAATAAATATCTAACAATCGAGTAATATCTTTCAGAATTGTACGTAGTTATCTGATGTGAAGAAAAAAGAACAAAATATTATTGTGCAATCGATTAACACTGACTACTACATGTATATTCAATACTAGATGTGTAAATGTGCATACTCATTCATTACTCAATATTTAGGTACATATATGTGATTTCTCTTTCCTACTTTAAGCTTGTAGGTCAAAAGAATATGAGAAAAACGTAAGTCGATATTGGCAATATTGATTATAGTTGTAATGACAATTTGTTTGTACCTGAATGTAGAACACATATTACACACATGACAAAATGAAAGAACAGTTGTATACTTAATTTACTTAATCTCAAAAAAATTTAGCAAATGAAAATATTTTAACATTGAAATTAATAAAATTCAACATAATTCTGGTAGTAATTAGATACTAAGAAGAACAACTCATAATAAATCTGTAAGGCAAAGACCTGTGTATATCATAAAAGAAACTATTGATAATTGTGTTTTTGTTGCTTGACCAATTATTTTTTCCGTATTTATATATAGCCCATGCACTTCGCTTGTCTCTTACATGATTCATTTATGAAAAATATTATAATATGAATCTTAATATTTCATTTGGTCATGTATACTGAACGTAAACAAATATTTTATTGTTGATTATATTATAAATACTTTATGACAGTCACTTTACATAGAAAAAGTAGTGTTTATAGATTTTGATTGTTTCAAATAGTATGAAACTGTCTGTATTAGAAATTTTATTTGTAAAAGTAGAAAAAAGAGAAAAAAAGAAAACATATACATGAGATATATTCTTTATAATATGCTGATCATTGATGCGTGATGAAAAAGAAAAGTGTACTAAAAAAAACAGATACGAACAAGACTGACTCTGCTTACTATCTTCTCTCGTCTGTCTTGTTTTTTGTCTCTGTCTCTGTCTTCCTCTCTCTCTCTTGGCCTCTGCTCGCTTACATTTTTTTCGTTGTCCGCTCTCATCTATCTTTGTTTTCTTCTCATTTACCTTCTTTCTCTCCTATCGTCACCGCTTGTCTTATTGCTTCTTTCGTTTTCTCTCTCCTTCATTTCCCCTATTCCTCCCTCATCGGCACTCAGCTTCTCTCGCCCTGACTATCTTCCATCATTTTCTCAGTTTTATGAAGTCCTTTTACATCTGTCATTTTCGCCTCGCTTTTTTCTCTCTCTCTCTCTTTCTCTCCCTCTTAGGTTCAAGTATTTATAGTGTTTATTTTTCTCTTTTTACTTTTGAGTATATTCGCTCCATTTTACTCGTACAACTAAGTAGTAATTTTATTGTTCTTCTTTGGTAAGCATCACTAGAAGTATAAAACGAATACAAACATTGAGTGCTTACATTTTTCATTGTATCTTGGAAATATGCTTTTAACAAAATACAAAAACTATTGTTATTGACACTTTTTTCTGCATATTAATTATTAAAGGTTTGCAGTCTATCTTTACAGGGAACAATATGCCTTTACTATAATGATGTTTTTGCTGTTCTTACATTCTGTTACAGAGAGGTACGCGAAAATATATTATCAATTTAGGACACAGTGTCCTGAGTAAGTGGATACAATCTATCGATACATGTACTTATAGTTTTAAATTACTACAAACAATGATGAGATTAGTGAAAGAGTTTTTGTACAAAAAAAAGAAAAACGACATTGAGATAACAAGTGAGGCAGAATAAATGAACCTCGCAATATTTTCTCAATATCTTTGCCATGTCGTATTGTTTTGGACTAAACTTTTTCTAATAGGAATAGCACGAAGTTCTCTATAAAAACATATGAAAATATTGGTTGCAAGGATAGAACTAAAAACTTTATTCGAGTAATATTGTGACAATGCGTATTGCTGATAATTTTCAAGCATAAAATTGAGTTTTTTCGTATTTTTTGTGACCTGGTATTGGAATATCAAAAAGCTTTACTGCCCATTCTGTAGAGCTTGAAAAGCAATATGTCATAGTTATACTTACTCATTTTCTCAAAAAATGTTTTTCGTCCATAAAGCCATATTCCTTGTTGTTTTTTCAGATTTACAAGTGAAACATATATTTGCACTCTTCGGTTTTGTGTTATTGAACAGACAATTTAGCCGAGACAAAAGTTACTCTTCTGCTGCACACAAATTGACCTTATCCTTCATGTATGATATGAGTTTGAGCATATTTCATTGTACCTGGAATAGTGCTTAAAAGCATTTTAACAATTATTTATTAGCTAAAAGAAACAAAAGAATTAGATTGCACATTCATGATCGAAAGTTATTAACAATACATCGTTACAGTAGCTATTGAACAATTTTTGTTGCTTCCATTCTTTTAACACACACTTTTCTATGGTTTTGCATGCAATTTTATGCTGCAACTTTTGAACTTTTTTTTTTCTCTCGTCGACTATAAGATAGATTTTTTCATATTTTGTTATGTATTAGCCGTGGTTTTTTTTAAATGTCAATATCAAAATCCACTGTCTATGCTAAATTGGTTAAGACAATTAACACTGCTTAATATGAAAAACAACATAATGTTGTATCCATTTCTTTTCCTTGTCAAATATTTTATGCTGTATTAAACTTTAGTTATCACTAGCATGAATAATCAATAATCTAAATTTATTTTTTCAGTTATGAAAATTTCGATACTTATTCATTTGATCTTTTTGCTTTTGGTATCATCATTTGCCAAAACGAACGAACAAGAAGATAAAACAGTAAGTTTATAATTTGATATCAACATGAACATTTATAATTTTATTGTATAATTAGTGTTTGTCGACTGATGATACCTATGCAATTTGTATTATTCGTAATACAAATATAACGATTGTTTCGCATTCGTTTACTGGAGATAAATTTAGTCAATCATGTAATTCACACATGATGGAAGAAGTTTTCGGCAAACCAGTATGTGAAGAACCGACCATTGAAAAAGAAACTCCGTCTACTGCTCAGCGTATGTTTGTTTTTTGTTTGTAGTTTGAATAATACTTGTACTTGTATAAGTATTGGTTTAAAGGTATATAGTAAATATGATAGGTAAATTTTTTTTAGGATTTGGTTATGGATTTCTTGCTGTATTTATCATATCTATTATGTCACTTGGTGGTTTATTAGTTTTTCCAATTATTTATAGAGTTGCTTTTCAATATATTCTTGCAACATTTACTGCTCTAGCTGTTGGAACACTCTTTGGTGATACAATGTTTCATTTAATTCCATTTGTAAATATCGATTATTTTTTTTGTTTTTATTAATTTGTTGAAAAAATGTTGAGGTAAAAAACAGAAGTTATATTTTTATTTTTTATAGACAATCGGTCTTCATAGTCATGAATCGGATGGACATGGCCATGGACATGGACATGCACATGAAGTCGCTGATAATTTATCAATTTCTGTTCCTGTTTATCAATGGAGAATGCTCCTTGCTGTGATGAGTATGTGTAGAAAATGTTTGAAATAATGCAACTTCCAACTTCTTGTTGTATTTTTAGTTCTTTATGGATTTTATTTACTCGAAGTAGTGCTTCATTGGATTACTCATTTTCGCCAGGATGAAGTAAATTTTTGTTATTTAATCAAGTCAATTGTTTTTCTTTTCTTCAATATATTTAATATGTAGAATTCCACTCATTCTCATGCTCATGGTCATAGTCATACAATGCAACTTCAAGAAAAGTCTAAAACTGATCAAATCAATAATCATGCAACAGTAAATATTGATGAAAACTTAGCACATGATCACCATTCGCATAATCATGTTCATCATCATAACTATAATGAAAGAGATCCAACATTGTCATGTGTTACTAGAAATTGTTCTTATTATCATGACATGCAACAAGCATCGGCATCACAAGCAAAAGTCAATGGTAACGACAATAAGTCAGACCCTCAAAATTCATCCAAAGGTATATTTTTATATTAGAGAAGAGCTCTAATAACTGTACTGAATTCAACGTACCCTTGTACTAGGACAGTTATCAAGAGAGTACCTTTTTTGGGTATTCTGCTTAGAATTGTCTCGCTAGGGAAGGCCCACCAGAGTCCGATTGCTTTTTGGTCGAGACTATATAGAAGTGAAAGACTATGATGAGCAATGTAGAAGTCTAAGAGAGTTCGGTTGTTTGAGCCTTTGTTCTTGAGATATTGAATTTTTATTGTATTTTTTAACAGAAAATTGTAGTCCATTTAGGTCACCATGTAAATCGAATTTTGACTGAAAACTTTTCACAAATGAAGCTCTCAATGATGACTTAAGTATTTATTATCTGAGATATGAGTATACGAAGAATAGTTACTTTCCGAATATTGTCTTGATCATAAAGCAATCAAACACTTAGAGACATTCTCGTCTCTCATCAGTACATGTGTACTTACTAGGTGTTCGTTCAGTTTCTATAGCATTCAAGGAAAAATTCTTCAATACATTGCTATACGGAACATTTAGAAGCATTTGGTAGTCAAGTACTAAACACTCATAAAGTACTCAAAGGTTCCTGTGATATACTACATCATAGCAGAATGCCCTGAACTCAGTACATTTACTAGGGAGATATTCTTCATGATTTGTTTTTATTTTTATTTTTTTAGTTACACGAGTTACTGGTTGGATGATAATTTTTGGTGATGGTATTCACAATTTTGCTGATGGTTTAGCAATTGGAGCTGCTTTTAGTGAACGTCTTATGTTAGGTTTTACAACAACAATTGCAATCGTTTGTCATGAATTACCTCATGAATTTGGTGAGTATTTTATGTATATGAAAATCTGTGAAAAACTTCGTTCTATTGTAAATATTTGAGCAAAACATTTATATTTGTATTCTTCTGCAGGAAATTTCGAAATCGTTTGAATTACTTTGATTATATAAACATCGAGCTCGAATATTTTATTATTTTAATGAAAATGTACAAACAGTAGATTTTTCTTATTCGGAGAGACGGCTTTACCTGAATATTTCAAAAGGTAATTCATTTAACATGAATTAAACCTATTTATTGAGGAAAAAAACGTCATGATGAAAGATTTGTTTCTAAAAAAGTGTTTTATTATAGGAGATTATGCAGTATTGATTCAATCGGGTTTTTCTCATGGTCGAGCAATATTTTGGAATTTTATTTCGGCAACTACTGCCTTCATTGGATTTTTTGTTGGCGCAGCTGTATCAACGAATGAAAGTGTTCGTCAATGGATATTTGCTGTGACAATTGGCATGTTTCTTTATATTGCATTAGCTGATCTCGTAAGTTTTGATAAAAAAATATATTAAAAGAAATTTGATTAAGAATTCGATGTTATTTTAGTTACCTACGTTAATATCTGATCGAAATTTTCAATTCCGACGTTTCATTTGTGTAAATATGGGATTTTTAATTGGTGTTGCAATTATGTTTTTATTGGCAGTATTCGAAGATAAAATAGTTGGATTAGGATCATAATGTTTTCATTTATTTTTCAAATGAATCAATGATCTTATTATTTATTGACTCATTTCAATGACTTTCTTTCGTAGTTAAATAGGTTTGTGATTTTTTTTTTTTACTTTTCTTTGCTAATTTTTTTATATCAGTTTTCTATTTAAATAAAGATTTGCCTAGCATCAGACAGATTAAAAGAATAATCTTTCGACTATTTTTCAATGAAAATATTTTATTTGTTAATTGAAATAAGATTCCATAAGGATACAAAAGAATTTGAAAAAAGGTTTCTTTTTTTTTTTTGAGAGAAAAACGTAGAGAGATGACCTATTGTTTGATCAGTAGATTCAAAAACGATATATTGTTTTAATGCACTCTGATATTTCTAATTTCCTATTAGAAACTATCGAACAAGCTAAATCAGCAAACCCTAATACTATGATATTGAAATGATCTTTGATCTGAATGAGAAGTTCATGTGCAGTGTCGTCTATAAAATCGTCAGGATAAAAAGATTTTAATATCACTTGAAGACTTCAAGCGATTTGCGCGAATTCTCTATAACTTCGTTCGATATTCGTTTAAGTTTTATTCAACATAGTTCAGATCAAATTCCTATGCCTATAAATTTTAGAATTGAAATAGTTTTATTGCTGGCTGAATTTGAGTCACCTACAGTTGTAAAACGAATACTTCCAGTTGAATTTGATACAGACATGGCAAATGAAGATGACATTAACGAGATCTTTACACGCTTTTATGAAACTTATACTTGAGTAAATAAGTCACATTCTGTACATCCTTCAGTAATGATAGAAGAAAAGGTCGATACAGTTCATGTTAATTGAGAAAACGTATTGGCAGGAAGTGTTCTGTTTTGTTTGAAATGTATTGAATACTGATATGAAAATAGTTGTACGAAGATCTATTTTTAAAGATGACTAAGTAATAGTCTTTACCAAACTGATTGCAGAATGCTCTTTTATTTTTCTAGCATCGAATTCATTGACTAAACAGAATTTAGCAAGAAAATAGCTTGAAAAGTCAGTTTCCTGAAGATAAAATGAAATTGATAAAAAAATTATTTTTATTCATTTAGATAAATATTAATCCATATTGCATATTATTTTTTGAATTCTGTCATGAAAATAATTTTGATTTATTGGTTGAACTAAGGTATATGAAAAACTATAAAAACTTTCATCGTAGGCAAAAATGATTAAAAGTCTTATAGTCAAATACCTGTATTTGACATGACAAGAAGTTGACGATAGAATTATGTATGCTTTAACTATTTGTTCAAGATCAAAAAACGGTCACTCTCAATGAAACATTACTCAGATCATATCGTGTTGAGCTTGTATATATTCATTACAAAGAATGAAATTAATGAAGAATCAATCTGAGGATGTGGGTGTGATCGAAAAGACCCACCCACACCATCTATACATAAAAATAAATGAGAACCAAGGAAAGGACATTAAACAGTTCTCTTTTTATGTAAATCGTAATCACATCAAAATGTTTGAAAATTTGTTTTTGTTTTCTATCAGTTAATGAGTTTCTCATTTTTTGTTGCATAATCTTCAATTTTCTATGAGGTTCAGTCAAACTTATTAAAATGACTCATTTGAACACCTCAAATCTCTTTTAGCCAGAAATAATCATGTTTATCCAAGCAAGTAATGATAGAAATCATCAAAAATTTTAGTAAGAAAGGAGGTACCGAAAAGAAAATCATGCCATTTATAAAACATCAGATATCAGACTATCTGACCATGCATTTATGTGTATTATCGATTTTTCTAACGAAGACTGATTTTATTTTAGAAGTGACAGATCTTAAAAAGACAAGATTTCTCACATAATGATGGCAACATCAGTTGACTGTCAATCAAGAATCTTCATGTGAAAAATTAAAGGAGAGTAGCAAAATTAATGTTTGCAGAATGAAGCTACAACGTTAAGTTAATTTTTCCCATCTCCTACGTATTTGTTTTTTACTACAAGATTCACCTTACTTCGTAAATTATCCGAACATCACATACAAAAGATAACATATTTTTGTAAAAACATTTCCTTATAAAAAAGTGAAAAGCAAGAAAGAACATGAGAGCAATGTTTATTTCTCTTCGATATTCAATATCAATAATTTCTTCAACTGCAGTTCTATTAAGTTTTTTTTTATCATACTACTGTCATTTCATCCATTTATAATAAGAATAATCAATCGAAATATTTATATTCAGTAAATATGAGTTTATTTTGTAACCTGAATAGTATCCTTCATTATATTCAAAAATAATTCATGTATAGTCTCTTTCTACACATCTTCATTGCTTTCGACGATAGAGACATGTAGAAAACTCTGAAACACTGTTACGACTTGGATTCAGTTGAAGTTGAAATCGAAATGCAAAGCATCTATAATATAGGTTTTCTTTTTTTTATATTTCAATAATTTTATTTTTCATATTAATCAACAAAAAAAATGATAGATAACATCTGTTACAACAGAATTTTAGCACAAAAAATGAAATAACGAACTTTCAAAATTAAGCTGTGGGTGAAGAAAGATTTTCTGATGTCTGTAGACTTCATTCGAAGTAAAGCCGATCAAAATCAACATGTCTTTCTTTTTGAAGACAAAAAATTTGTTTTCATTGAATCAAATTTGCGAAAGCTGAATTATACATTGACTAAAACTAAATTTCTCTATTTTAAGTTCTTTCAAACTAATAACGTTACTGTGCTGCTTAGCGTGAACAATTCTATCGAGTTTTGGTTAAGATATAATATAATTGACGATGACTGAATAAAAAATGTCAATGATATTTTCTACACTTCTCTTTTTTTTTGTGAGTATATTTATATGAAATGGCATGAGCAAAATATGCTTACACTTTCGAGTCTTTCACCAAACAATGAAAAAAAAATACTTTGTCAGAATAAGATTGACATAAAATAAGAGTGGTGTATGCTTTTGCTTCGTCGTAATTGGAAGATTTTAAGAGTGATGGAATGCATTCTACATACTGTCCATATGAAACGATACTGTTGGGATGTAAAAGTATTTTTTGAATAAACATGAAATGAGGGGTGTGTGCACATAGAAACAAATCTTGGCAAAAATTTCAAGTAACTATGAGAGTGGTGTTGCAGAAATAGAAAGACATTGTTCATTTAACATGAATCTCGTCTATTACATATTGTGTTTTGTTTTAGAACCAATTTATGGAGATAAAAGATATACAGTACGTTTTTTTCAAAAGTTTATAAAAGATTTTTAACTTAGAAGATGAACTTCCCAATGTGGTTCGCTACAGTACGACGGAGTAGGTACGGGCGATTCTCGTAAATATGTTACAATATCACAACATTTTGGTATGCCCACCCGATCATTTTGAACCGCTGAGAAACCATTTCGAAGGTTACTCTCTTTGTAAAGTTTTTGTTCATGGTGGTTATAATGTGGAGATAGCCTTCCAAGGCAAAATTGAAGTTTTCAATGATGAAGAAAAAATTATGAGTCTTCTCTTTGTGTAAAAGCAATAAAATACTATAACAATCTGCGTGAGCAGTACAACAAAAATGGAGAACACGGCCTTGCCAGTCGAGAAACTTTAGATATTGATCGATTACTTGGACAATTACAGGCCAGACTCGAATAATATTAAAAATGAAACATTGAACTTCTTTTCTTCTTACGCAAAAGTTAAAAGATAAATATTCAAATAAAAGAGAGCTGGTTTCAATCATTTTGTTGATGATGTTTGAATGAAGGAGTTCTTCATTGATCATTTTTATATTGTATAGTTTCGAGATACACCGTTCTGATGAAGAACTCTCTCAACTATTTAAGTGCTCCATGCGCTATAAAATAAAGCAAAGCAAAGCAAAAGACTAAAGAAATGTTTCACTCTTATAGTAATAAAGAACTCTTTATGAATAAATCTATACCTACCAAAAGGCTTTGCATTGTATGCCATCTTTGCGAATCACAGAAAAATTTCATTTAAATAGCAGCTGGGTATACTTGGTAAGATTCTTCAACAATCTTGTATCAGTGAGGAATATTCGAAGCCATACTGTCCGATAATAACTGTTGAAGTGTACGTTTAAGATGAAGTGTAAAGTAAACGATCTACTCGTTCTGGTGATTTTTTTTGTTGCATCAAAATTCATGTTTGTGAACGAACATTGACAAAGTTTTGGCCGTACTTACAAATCAAACCTAAAGAAAAGCGCTTCTCTGAGAGTGTGAGTGTGAATGTCGGAGGAGTGTTGCCGTGCGAGTAGTTGGAAAGGAGAATAAATTTTTGCATATGTTATGTCTATAAGCAAGATTGACCCTGCTGCAAAACTGCTAGAGAGCTCTCTGCGGGATTGAAATTTGAAACATCATGTAGATGTAAGTGCTAGTCACAAAAAAATTGTTTTTTCTTGGATCTATTTTGGGATACACTTTTTCATCGTCCTTAACTTAATCTCATATACATGCAATAAAGAATCTCTTCACATGTTCTTATGATACATAAGTGATAAGCGGTCTTTCAACGTGTACCAACGAACTCTGTCACAAGTTGTGATCAGATACCACCATGTCTATTTCAATATATGATGGAGTACCAGTGTGAATCACAATCTGAATAGCTTTGTATGTTGTCTGTAGTAGAATGTCAACATTTCTTCCACAATGTATGGTGGAGTCACAGAGTATCTGTTGCGTTCTAAGACAGAGTATTACCTTCTCTGCCACGGTCTTTAGCGCAAGAACCCGAGGGACTAGGAGGTACGACCGCTGAATGCATTCAAATTTTACTACATGTATTTAAACACTTATTTTAGATCTTTTTCATAAGCGAGAAAGATATTATGATGCTCTATTCGAGCCGAGCTAAAGTGATAGTAAGATATTAAAAGTTTCGAAAAAACGACAGAGTATATGTAGGTAAAAAATTCATTGGAGTTCGGATCGAAATCAAATAACCGAGAAGAAGATTGGAATTTATCACCTGGGTTCATAAGTACAATGGTACGATTCAAATGATCAAAAACTCATGACATGATTTTTAAAGAGACACTAATGATCGTTTATTTCAATGGATGGATGGAATATTATTAGGCCTAATGTTTTGTATATTGAGTGGATATTTGTTTGGTCAATTATCCGGTGGAAAAACAATTACCCATACCCTGCATCTATGATGTTTTGTGTTCTATAGATCATTAAGCAAGAGTACTCGGTCTGTTACTCTCAAATAACTATGATTGTTTCTTTTTTTCTCCAATAACAGGCATAGAAAGTATAAATGTGTATAGAATGTTTGAAATCAGCTCTAAGCACAGTAACTCATACAAGACTGCAGTAAACATCACGATCGACTATTGCAGAAATGGAAGTTGAATTGAACTTTCAACATGGAATATTGAGAGGATATGATGGTCTAATCAGCGAATAGTAAAAATGATGATTGACTTTGACAAAGAAGATAACATGATAAAAACTTGCTGATTGCTTGCTGATGTGAATGAAGCTGTGACTGACTTTACGCTACTATATAGCGAAAATGAAGAGTGACTATTTCCTCATTGGATAGATCTATATATGTTGACCTTTTATTTCACGATGCCAGAGCCACCAATGACAATATCATTTTCAGACATTGTTCAGATAATGATCTCGTTCTGTAAGATGATGTCTAGGATTAAAAAAACATGCCTCGAGTGATCCGTAGTCAAAATATATTCAGTTTGTTATGCCGTCGCAGTTTCTGTTCAAAATTCCGCCTGATATGTACATGTAGTAAACGAATGAATTGGATATCTCGCTCAATTTTATGTGTTCGTTCTTCCATTTTCTTATAAAAACAAAAAAACATCATCAAACCGAATCAGTCTACACATAATTTCATAGAAATGACATCATCCTATCCCGTCTTAAGAGAAATAATGCAACTAGTTGTTTCTCTTATATGCACGATAATTTTCTTTATTGACTTACTCATCATGATTGTCATAATAACGACAGGATACTCGAAGTATCATCAATCTGAACTTGATATGAAAAAGTTCTCTATGAGAACAATTTGTCATATTGATCAAGTTATCTCGCATCCTCAAAGAGAAAAAAGTTCCTCATTGATCATTATCAACAGTTCGTTTTTCATTTCTTTCGAAGTTAGTGCAAAGGAAAATAGCACAAAACACCAATTTGAAGTAAGATCGGCACCAATAGCGTCCAAACCCAATGTGATGAGTATAAACGTGTAAATACGTTTGATTTCATTTTAATCTACATTTTCTTCTATCTCTTCAGATAAACAGCACATATCCGTGCTTTATTGATTCGACCGATATTCAACGATAACCACTAGTATATAAACCGGATACCAGTTCTGCTAGCAATGATTTTATCTGGTATCAGTTAGTGCCTAACATCGTGGTGACAGCAGTAATCTTCGTAGGATTCGTTTTTTTTTCACGATTATATTTTTCCAAGAGATTTTTATATTACGACCACGGTGCTTCTTTCGTGTGCAAACACATCCTACTACTACAACATGATTAACGGATTCATTTTCTGATTATTCAATATTTTGTTGTAAAAAGTGAATAAAATTTCATACGAAGTAAAAAATGTATCTTATTCCATCAAATGTAATCTAGTGCATTCGAACTGTTTTTGTCTAATTAGTTGTCATGCCCTATTCTATTATGAAATTCTTTTTGGTATTATTTACTGATATGAAAATCTTCTATGATAGAATGAAATGTGAAAATTATAAAACTCTATTTAGAAGGTCTTGTGGTTTCAGTCAGAGATAGTAAACTGTTTCTACGCCTTACTGATATTATTCGTGAAAAATATACAATTTCAATGGATGTTGACAGTGAATAACAATAACAAACAAAATAAGAAAAGTGTTTTATGCACCGTGCTCAGTGTCGCTTGTTGTTCATTCAACTATTAATATCACTAATGATTTCATATAAAAGATGATTAGCAGCAATCGCTTGACAATCGAACTTTATTATGTTTTGTGTTCTAAACTCAGCTAATGTATAATTTATAATCATTAAAAGTACATCAATAATGCAGAATCGAGTAGAAAGACAAAAGAGAAGAAGGACAGTATCTTATTTGAAACTAATCGTTATCTGGAAAAAAGAGTATGGGTGTGGGTGTGGGTGTCTGAACTGTTCCACAGCTATCCATGTTCTTTGTCTAGACGAACTTTTGCGACACCTCGTATAGATGTTTGTATATTGAAATTCTTATGTTTGTCGAATCATAAATCAGTACCACGGTTGCCATATTGAAAAGTTATTAATGCTATGAATAGTGATAAGGCCAATCTATCGTTCACTATAACGAAATAAAAGTCTAACAGAAGGAGGTAATTAATGGTGTTTCCATGTATTTATTTATACTTTTTGTTCTATTATTTTATTGTAGTATTTCTGTCTTTTATACTTTAGCCAACTAATAAACAGTCTTCAGTTTATATATTATATACAATTTAATTGGCGTGTTTTTTGTTTTCATAGTTGAACTTCCATATTAAGTACAAAAACAAGATTTCACATATAATATATATATATATTAATACAAATGTTTAATAAGAAGCACGTACTAGTATAAAAAAGTATTTTGTTTTTATCTATCATCAGACCTTAATCTTTTCTCTTAAAAGAATGTAAGCCTGTTTTTTGTAAAGATATTGATAGTCAATAAGCAGAGAAGAACGTTATTCTATTTTATTAATGTACTACATCAAAGAAACAATCAAAATATCTCAAAAGATTCATTTATGATTTTGTACATTTATATTTAATATATGTGGGCGATGTGAAAGAATTTCTATAATTGATGTATTTAGAATGTAATGGGGAATTTACGTCAGCCATATATATATAATACTCTCATAACGATAAGCAAATAATACGATCTAAATTTGTTATTTTCTGTATAACAGCAATGAATTTCTTGTTTGTTGTTTGTTTTATCTTTTTACTATTGGTATCGTTTGCCAGCAATAATAATGCATCAGTAAGTTTTTAATCATTCAACGTATATGTAGGATTGTTTCGTTTATTGATATCAATAGTGTTTTCTATCTAATACGACCTTTTCACTTTGTTCATCAAATGGTACTAATATAAGTATTCTTTCAAAATCATTTAATGGAATTGAATTAGCAAAGCAATGCCAAAAAGATTTTGTCAAACAGCTTCTCGAAAAATCATGTGATCATCAGACGATGAACTCTTCAATGAAACATAAAACACCAACTCTTATTCAACGTATGTTATTTAAAACATTATCTTTCAATATTCAATCGAACTTTGAAAATGTTTTTCATAGGATATGTTTATGGTTTTATAGCTGTATTCATTGTATCAGCTCTGTCATTAGTTGGTGTATTAACTCTTCCAATTCTTTATAAAGTGTCTTTTAAATATGTACTTAATTTATTTACTGCTGTTGCTATTGGAACACTTTTAGGCGATGCAATGTTTCATTTAATTCCATTTGTATGTATTCAAAATGTTTTCTTTTTTATATGAGACAATAGAAAATTCTGTCTATTTGATATCATAGATCTTTAGTCAGCATAATCATAATTTGAATGATTATGACTATGATCATTCGTCATTTTTTATTCCAAGTTATCAATGGAAAATTCTATTAGCTGTATTTAGTATGCATTGCAAAAGAAAGACTATGTTCTTATATATTTAACATATTCTTTTTTTTTTTTTTAGTTCTTTACATATTTTATTTATTAGAAGTATTTCTTCATTGGTTTGCTCATTATAAACATGATCATGTAAAATTTTATTTTGAATAATCTCTAATAAAATAAATCTATTATAGACTTCAACCCATTCACATATACATAATCATTCAAATAAAACAAATGAACTTACTCATTATACACAAATTAATATTGATGCTGATTTAGAACATAGTCATCTTTACCATAATCATACACATCATAATTTACATCAACATTTAAATTCACCATCAATATATTCGAATGCAAAAAGTTTTTTTAATAATACAAGTTCACCTTGTATACCATGTATTTATTCAAATGAACATAATCTTACAATAAATCCATTAATTGAATATAATTTAAAAGACAAATCATCAAATGAACAAATATCACTATCACACCAAATGTATGCTTCACAATTTAGTAATGAAATAGATTATATTCATCCAATTATACAACAATTAAAATGTAAATTAAAACAATGAATCAATAATATAGATGTGTAGAATCAAGTTTCTTTTTCGATCCCGACCCCTATTTAGAGCAAAACTATTCCAAAATTTATTCGCATCACATGAAAAATAATTCTTTAATACTTGTTCTTTTGATTGATTTAGTCGATGACTAGGACTTTTTTTTTGATCGTCTCTCTTAAATTGTTTTCTGATTCATATGATTTATAAGATAATTTGCTTCGAACCATAGAATGTTTTACTATAAACTTGAGTTCTGGTCATGGTAAAGTTTTATTATTAGAACGACAATAATCTGTTTTTTTATGTTCTTAGCAATTAAATGTACTGGTTGGATGATATTGTTTGGTGATAGTATACATAATTTTGCTGATGGTCTAGCTATTGGTGCTGCATTTAGTGAAGAGTTAATACTAGGTATTACCACAACAATCGCTGTTGCTTGTCATGAAGTACCACATGAACTTGGTAAGTAAGTTAGGAAAACATATGACATAATAATTTCAAGTCTATATTTTCTATTAAAATAAACCGCTCTTCAATATAGAAAACATTCATATTAGATGCCACGAGGCTTCTTGTGTGTCTCAACAATTTCAGGTTGTGAGCAAGGCTTCGCAGATCCTGTTATAGTAGTCTTCTCGGGTGTCATCTGCATATAAAAAATTTTTCTCTAGACATCGAATACTCATGATTAAGAATTATCTCTAGAAATTATTTTCATTGTTGTCGACGTCTGAGATCATGATCACTATATATTCTGTAACCGCCAGTTTGTCTGAGAACAAGTATTTAGAAACTATCACAGATTAACCAATACATATTTCTTCTGCTCGTAATATCATGATATGGTTTCGGTGTGGATTTGGGAGTCTAAGAAACCGTTGAATCCAAAATTTTCCGACTCTGACCTGGATCGAAGACTAACCCGACCGACTCTAATGAGTCTTCTATTTTGCAGCAACCACGTCCAAGTTGTATTAGTAGCTCCTCCATCCCCAAAAATATTGAGTACTTGAATATTTTAGAAGTCCCAAGAGGCTTCTATAGTGACGAGAGGTTTGTTTCATAGATTTCGTTTGTATGAAAAAAGATTGAAGTGCTATTGTATTAAATATAAGAAATTATCAATAACTTTTTTTATTTAGGAGATTATGCTGTTTTACTTCAATCCGGGTTTTCACATTCTCGAGCACTATTATGGAATTTTCTTTCGGCAACAACTGCTATCATTGGATTTTTTATTGGTTCGATTATGTCAGATAATGACAATGCTCGTCAATGGATATTTGCCGCAACCATTGGCATGTTTTTATATATCGCATTAGCTGATTTGGTATGATTTCATGAAAACAAATATGCTTAAATAAAAATTATTATGTTTTCATATTTTTCTTTCAGTTACCCACATTATTAGCGGATGGAGAAATTGAATTGAAGCATTTTCTTGTTGTTAATATTGGTTTTTTATTTGGTATTACAATTATGTTTCTTTTAGCATTATTTGAAGATAAAATACTTAGATTATCAACTCGATAATATTCCGTGCGTTTTTCATTTTTTTCTTATTCAATAAAATACAAAATGAGGATAAACTTTTTCTTTTTTTAATGCTACTTAAAATATCGAAATAAAAAGAGTAAAATAAAAAAAATAGTGTTCGGTAAAAGCTGGAATGGAACATATTTGAGCAAGTGTTTAATTATTTCTGAATTGTCAAGTCAATATTAATACAGGCGATATGGCTTTCACTTGAACCAATATCAACTGTGGCTCGATATTCACCTAATAACTCAGGTGGTAAATGCTTACTCACAAGTACAGTTGCTTTTGATACAGAATATGTATTTACTGGAATTGGACATTCACATGGTAAACCATATCGTGATGCATACTTTGAACAAAGTTCAGTCCATAACTCACAAACATTATCATAAGTACATGAACCAAAATTATCAACACATGGAACTTTTACAAAAAATGGTCCAACTTTACGTTGAAGTAAAACTACTGCCTAGAACAAAAAATTCAAAAAGTAGATATACTAGACAAATGAATAAAGTTAAATTAAAAATACATGAACATCTGTTGGAATTTGAGACGCTACATCAACAGATCCAGTAATGGTAACATTTCCTGTAAAATCAAATCTTATAAATGACATAGATTATAATACAATAGTTGTCAAAAGTCATACTACAAGGTGAAAAAGTACCTAAATTATATATCATGTTGCACGATATTTTTACCACAAACTGATCTCGGTAAACTTTGATCGGATTTCGAATAAAATCACTGCCTTTGTTACTCTGTCACAGATACGAACCTTCAATAAGTTGTGATCCTGAATTTAGAGCCTGTTGGATCGATTTCGAACCCGACGGCTCTATCTGAGTTGTAGCGACGTTTCCATTATTTGGAACGATCTCCGTTTCATTAGTAGCTATAATCATGAACTTTCCAAGAAATATTTCATTAGAGCAAGGAATTCATCGGAGAAACTTTTTAGACAAATAGTCCATATGAAAGGTTACTTTTTGATGAATTCCATTGACTCTCATCCAAAGAATATCCCATAGATAACTTCAACAATCAGATAAACTACAATCATTTGATATAAAAATTTTATCGGTGCTAGAGGCAGCACTGAAGACGTTTAATAAGAAGTTGAACGCTGTGAAATGTATTGCTAATGCTGATAGATCATCATTTGAATAAAACATCTATGCTGACCTTCTAATTTCTTTGAATAAAAGACGATTAAGTTCTTATTTCTGCTTTTATGACTAAAGCATTCAACTTTGTATACTCTTTACCAAGTAGCGATACTCTTGACGACTAGTATATTATCTATAAATTTACCCGGTACTTTAATTGGATCAGGACTAATATCAAGACTCTTCAATTGAACTGGGTCTTGACTAGGCCCACAATTGTCCCATGATAAGTCAAAATCTGATGATAGCTATTTCAAGAAAATATAATAAAATCGTCTTTGAATACAGCAATAAAGATATTTACTTCAAAACTGAATGTATTAACATTATACAATGATATAAAGAGTAAGGAATTATATATAAGAAATAAATAATTATAAAAGATCATAATTTTGATAAAAGACAATATCTAGAAAAAGAAAACGAAACAAAATTAACAATTAAAAAATTGTTAGCAAAATCATCAACCGAAAATTATCATATAATCAACGAAACAATTTTTTCTAATTAAAAAACAAAAACTAAATGCAATTATGAAACTATTTTTGGACCAGTACCAATTTTTGTTAGAACAATACGCTCAAGAACATTAGGCATAATTGATAAATTAATTGAAGGAAATTTTTTATCAACATTTGATACTTGTTTATGAACATCATCATTTATAGCTGGATAAAAATATTTCAATAGGCTCAAAAATTCATCAACATGTTCTTGTCGAATAAAACAAAATGGATTTGGTCCAGCATCAAACGTATAAGCAACTTTCATTGTTTGATTTCCATCCATTTGATTATAAGAATGAACAAGATCAATTAAATGTTTTGATTGATCATTAAGATAAATAACCGGTGGATACGTATCCATGCATACAGCATGAAATTGACTACTATCCATCATAGTAATCTTAGCAAATGCATTAAAATCTTTTGTTTTAATTGCTTCTATTAATTTATTTATTTTATCATTTATTGTTGAAAGACGTGCTTGAAATAATGTTGATGTTTCTCTTGTACGTTGCATAGCATCTGTTGATGAAACTGGTTTTTTACTTGAATTAAATATTAAAATTATAATTCGAAGTTCTGGCCAATGTTCAGCTGGATAAACACATGATGAAAGACATTCACCTTCACTTGACCATCGTACAAAACCACCATAAACACTTCGTATAGCTGAACCACTACCAATACGTGCTAAATAAGCAGCTGTTGATTGAGGATCATCAAGTTGAAATAAATTCGTTAAAGCAATAGCTAAACTTGCATATGCCGATGCACTCGAAGCAAGACCACTTGATGCTGGAAATGTATTATGTGAACGAATTTCAACAAATTTTATTTGATTATCTTTTGATCGACGATGAACTTCTTGAAGAACTTTTTTCATTCGTTCCGAAAGTTTTGTTTGTTGAATACCATCAAAATAAAATGTATCACATGTCATAGATGATGATGTCGATATAGTTGTATATGAATGCATATCGTTAAGATCAAGTGTTATGCTAAGGGAATCATTATCAGGTAAAATTAACTCATCATTACGTTTACCCCAATATTTAATGAGTGCAATATTTGGTGAAGCTTGACATGTTACTGAACGATGATCAATATCGTTAGACATACTTAAATTATCTAGAAAAAAAAATTAATTATTGATTTATTGCAAAGGAATAGTTGATTTTCCGCCAGTTTTTTCGATAAGACGAATATTTCGAATTTCAATGGATTTACTTAAAGCTTTACACCTGAACATAAAAACGCAATTAATTAATAATTTATTATTTTCTTTGTTAAATATTTAATACTTACATATCATAAATAGTAACAGCAGCAATCGTAGCACCAACAATAGCTTCCATTTCAACACCAGTTTGATAATGTGTTGAACAAATACAACGAATAAGAACTTCATTTTCTTCATGTCGATGTTCATATTCAATATCAATATATGAAAGTGGAAGTGAATGACAAAGTGGAATTAAATCTGATGTACGCTTGAAAAATAATATTCTTTCTTAGAGAGATGTTCTATTGCAAAAAAAAAGATTAACTAACTTTAGCTGCAAGAATTCCAGCTATTTTAGAACATAATCGTGCATCACCTTTTTTTGTTGTTACATTAAAATAGGACTGATATGTATGAGAATCAGGGAATTTAACAATAGCTTCAGCAATTGCACGGCGTTGACTACTGGCTTTATTACCTATATCAACCATAGTAATATTTCCATCAGATGTAATATGTGAAAATGTAGAAGAACAAGCATATTGACTAGGAAAACGATGAAAAACAAAAGAAAATCTTCTTAATAATGAAAACATCTTTATCTTAAAATAAGAAAAAGAATACACAACAAGTTTAACAACGGTTTTCATTTATTTTATTTTTATTGATTCATTCAAAACAGTCATTTTTTCTTTTTTTCTTTGAATTCACTTTTGATGAAGATCTAAACGAATATAAAATATTAATATTTTTATCTTAATATTTTAAATAGATACGAACTTATCAGATGATTGTTTCGTTAGTTTTCTTTTAAATTGTGACCATACTTCATCATTTTCAATTTCTTCATTGATTGTTTCAACATTTTTTTCTTGTTGTTCTTCTCTATTTGATGTTGAATGCGGTGAAAAAAGTACAGATGTCAGACGAGATTTTAAATAAAACTTATAAAATCATATTTTTTTTCAAAGAAAATATAACAATGTTAAAAATTACTTTTGAAACTTGTCGATATGTATCAGCATTATGAATACGAACATATTGATCAATAGAAGCTGATGCTATTAATGGTAATGTTGGATGTGTATCAATCGAACGTATACTACCAATAACACCTTTATATTTATGTACGACAGCTGATGATGATAAACGTTTAATATCAAATTGAGCCATTTCACCTTGAGTATTGCCAACAACAAAATGCCTAAGAAAAACAAAACTCACTTGATTACAAGAAGTTATTTCTCTTGAGGATTAATATGTGAAACACGATGTAGTTTTGCTAATTACAAAAACATTGTTTTATTCTAACTATCATGGAAAACATTTTTTCACCATACTTTAACTTAATCCTCCAGAAATCCAATAAGGAAAGTAGTTCATAGATTATAATGAGACACTATTGTTATACGATCTGTGGCACGGAGAGAGAGAAGTGGTGTTAAAGTGTCTGTCACAATTTGTGAGATGAAAAATGTTTACCCTTTTACTTCAACAGTCCTTTTAAATCGTGTTTCACAAAATAAATGTCGACTCTACGAACTCATTATTAGACGAATGGAGTAATGCAATAGACATTATTGGATATTGTTCAAATTCAACTTCATTAACAGGTCGACGTGCATTTGATTGTGGATCATAAAGACGGATCTAGAAGAATGAAATGAATTGAATTGTTTTAAATAAAAAAAAAAAAAAATCAAACTTGATGATGTCCAGTTGCTACAAGACATCGATTTCGTTCATCAATAAACTGAAAATCTGTTACCCAAACTGGCATTCGTAGTCGAACAGCATTTGGTCGTACCTAAAAATGAATAAATTTCCATGAAATTAAAAAAAAATGACTCCCTATTATAATAATATCTTACATTTTTTGCTTGAAAGATAACTGATTTATTTTTCATTTTTTCGTTTTTCATTAATTCTTCTATAGACCATATTTTTAAATCGTTTTCTTTACCACCCGTACCAAAATATGTTCGATTGAATGGGTTAATACGTAATCGACATATATCTGGACCAGCGTTTGCTTCAATCTAATATTGAAAAACAAAAATGGTTTATTAAAAAAAAAATAAAGAAAAATTCTATCTGACTTCAGACACAAGAGATTCATTTTTGATACGATCAATGGATAGAACACCATTCTCAGAGCATGTAATAAATCTAAATTAAAAGAAGAATATACCATAAAAAAATGATAAGATCATAATACAAACCTGTCGTCGTCTAGATAAGCTAGACCTCTAAGTGGACTCGAACGAGTAATTGTACCAATCTGTTGGATTGATTCATCAGCAAATTTTAAACGTAAAATATTGTTTTTATTTGTTGTAATAAATGCCTATAAAAATATCAAGTCATTAGAAAAAAAAAAACAATGCAAATAATTCTTGATTATTGTTTCCGTTTTACCTGCATATAATCAGTCTCATTATTTGCTAATGACCATTCGAGAAGAGTAACAGCATCGGCATATGTTTCAGCTGGTTTATGAATTACATATACACCATTGTTTGTTGTATCAATACCTTTTAAAACACCACTTTCACAACCAGCTAGAACGTTAAAACGTATGGTCATATTTATCTAAAAAAAAAACACAAAAGTAACTCGTCAAGTTGAGTTCGATCTCAATATATATATATTTAATCATCACATTGCTTTATCTCTAATAGAATATCTAGGAACATCATATCAGTATAAAAGACTCCCAGGTCGACGAATAAGGACTTTATATACGTTCGTCTTACGATCATATATCTCACGCACTTAAGAGGGCAATCATGATACAATTGAGTACACGAGCTGCTTGATAAAAAGAAGTTTTTCTTTGTTTTGTACATATAGTAGAATTGATTTTTCAAATTACCAATTCCAAAATTTTAGCGTCCAATAATCTTTCTTTCTAAAGTTAGTTAATACCGACTTTCTACCACGAATATATCCTTATGAGAGAGGGTAATAAAAAGTATCCTGTAAAATGTCACTTTTCTCTCTTAAATAATAGTTTTGACGGTTTTTTCAATAGAAAAAAAGACATTTTTAACGTTTTTCATTCTCATGACACAATTGCAAAGCAAACTGAATACGATATTGGGAATCAAGTTTATTTTAGAGAAATTTATTTCGCTTCATAATTGTTTCATCACAAATGAAAACTATCAAAAATGTTTTTCTTTCTAGAGAAAAATCATCAAAGCCATTATGTAAGAAACAGATGTGAATTCTGTTTCATTCCGAAAGTATTATTTATTTTTGAAATATTTTTCTACCATTTTGTAGAGAATAAAAAGTTGTATAACATACACAAAATTCAGCTTGGAACTCTTTGATTCCGAGTATCAATAGGAGATAGATTGTTATCAAAAGGACATTTAAGACTTTGAAAAAGTCATTATTCATGCATGATGCCCTTAAAAAACTTTTACAGGAAATTTTTATGGCTTTTTTTTCTCAACTGAGTATGATATGGGTAAAAAGTCAGTATTGACTAGATTTTAAAAGAAAGGAAGTATTGGACGCTAAAATTTTTAAACTTTTAGTTTCGAACAACGATCTACTGGATGTACAAAAAAGAATTCTTTTTTCGTCGAGTACCTCATGTACTTAATGACCTCATAATTTCTCTTCTTAATAATTCTTTCATGTCCATTATATAGCCTAAGCGTTAGCTACTAGACTATTTCTACTGCATTATTACGCATGAATCTTATTCTTAGTAAGCAATGTTAGTTCAAAACTAATATACCATGCATGATCTGATAAGCTATGTTATGTTTTGTTTTAGACTTAGAAATTCATACAAATTCTATTAGAAAAGAAAATGAGATCAATGATCTAAAAAAAGAATAAAATATTATTTTTTTTGACTTGTTTAGAGATTAATAAGATCAATTTTAGTTAAATTCTTGGATAAAAGAAGTTTTTTTTTCTTTATTTTTTACTTTAAGAAAAAAAAAACAGTCAACAACCAAAATGAAATGTCCTAGTTCATTGAGAATTATTTCGTAGTTGTTGCTGATGTTTTAAGTAAACCATGTTTATTAAGTTCTTGTTTAAGTTGTTCAATTAATGGCGTTTCAGCTACATCATCATCCCAATGTTCTTCCCATAAACGTTTATCTTCAGTATCTAAATCTTCATGCGACCATTCTTCAACTGGAAATTCTTCAAATTCATCATCTTCTTCTAAACTTGTTATATCTAATTTTTTATCTTTCGCCGTTGTTTCATCTTTTCCAGTTGTTGTTGTTGTTGTCTTATCTTTATTCTCATCGGTCTTTTTATTACCATTTTGATTCTGTTGAGTACTCATCTTAAAAAGAAATGAATGTGAACTAAGTACAATTATATGTATATGTATTTATATATATGATTCTCTCTTGTGTTTCTTCATAATCAATAATAATCAAAAAATAAAATAAAATACATAAATAACAACACAGACAACAGTGAAAAAAAAAGACGAAAATTCGGACCAGCAGCGGAAAGTTTGTTTTATACAAATAAAATAGTAATGAATTGTTAATTTCTGGGCTTTTCCTGTGGAACGAAGAAAAAAAAAAATTATAATAACAATAGAAGTTATTATTATTGCAAAGATAAAGTTTTAAAACCATGATTGATTGTGCATATTTATGAATGGCTATTCGATTTTGAATGTTGAATAAGCCATTGAAGTGTTATATCTATATAAGAGAAGAAAAAAAGACATTAATCTTCATACTACTTTTCTTTTGATCTATTTACCAATATTTTCTTTTTCTTTACATGATATAGAATAGCAACAAATTTCACGATCTTTTATTGGTGAAAGATCTCTATATTAAAAAAATTCGATAATTCATTCTATATTTAGGAATTAAAAACTTACAATCTTTGAATAAGTTCTTGAACTTCGAGTGCATTTGGTAAATCACGTTTATTACCAAGTACAAGTACAGGAATACCTTGAAGTTGAGGTTTTTCAAGTAAATTACTGAATTCTTGTTTAGCTGCATCAAGTTTTTCATGATCAGCTGCATCAACCATAAATCTAATTACAGAACAAAAAATAAATAAATATGAATAACAAAATGTTTAATATACATACACAATAGCATTTACACCACGGCAATAACGTTCCCACATACTACGAAAACGAGGTTGACCACCTATTCAAAGAAAACCATTTATTTTAAAACGTAAACAAAAGAATTAACTTTGTTATTACATACCAATATCCCATATCTAAAAAAATTCCAACATAAAAAAAATAATAATTTATTAATAAAAAATTTGAATTTGTTTACTTTAATAGTGACATTTCCTTTTGTAATTTTTCTCATATTAAAACCTACAGTTGGTATCATATCTTCAGAATATTGACCTGAAGCAATTAAATTAACAAAAGTTGTTTTTCCTGAATTTTGTAAACCAACAAGTGTTAATTCCATTTCTTCTTTCCAAAATAAACTTTTAAACCAATCGAGTAGACGTTGTACGAAGCCAAACATTATTTAAAAAATTAATAAAATCTCTTTAGGAATGAGAATTATATGTATATATGGACTGTATCTGAAAGAAAAAACAAAGACTAATCAATGAAATTTCGAATTTATCATTGAATGATTCATTGCACGCGGTAATGTTGGACATCAGACATTGTGAACGTACAAGTTCTTCCTTCGATTTATTTATGCTAAATATTCAAACGAGTGTCGCTACAGTCTTAACAATGTGCATTATTAACTCGTAAAATAGCTGGCAAATGACGGTAGAACATTGTGTGTAAATAAATACTATTTTTATTTATTTTATATTTCAAATGTAAAAAGAAACTTATCATTTCATTCCTAAAGAAGAAAAAACGAACACTTTTGCATGTATAATTAATCTAAAATAATAAAATAAATCAACGAGTTTTATTTCCTTATGGATAGACAATATTAACTATACATTAAATAGCTTATATTTTTACTGAAAAATCTGTAGATTAGAGCGTTTCCTGAATTAAACTTTCCGGAAATTTTTTTTGGGTACTTCTTCATATTAAAGACACCACGTCACGTTCAGACAGTGTTGTGTCAACTAAAATGTATATAAGGTGTGTATAATCTGAAGAAGAACGGAAAGTTATTTTTCTTGATTACTTAACATGTAAAGAATAAACTTGTTACTTTTTAAGAGGAAAAATATTTGAGTGTTCTGTTTATGTAATTCCGAGTCCGGAGAATATATTTTTGACGACTACAATGGAGATGGAGCCTTGTATAGGGCTCTACAGTACAAAAATTTGAAAGACTATATCTACTTTAAAAGAGATTATTGAGTAATAAAATAGTATGAATGATATATAAGAGCTTAGAAATACTCAAAGCTCTTTGTATGATGCTTCAAAGACGAAAAGAATAACATCAAGAAACAAGTGACCAATTTTAATCAAATTAATGATACTTAGGGCAGACGAAAAATATCGAGATTGATATCATACCAAAGTACAGAGAAAGCTTGAGAAAAGATGTATAAATGTAGTGGTAAGAGTGCTCTACATATTTTTATTGTAACAACATTTGTCAAGTGATAATATCATATAAAAAACTTCAATGAAAATGATGCACCCTAATTTTTAGGAAGAATAAATTAAATTCTTGTGTCTACATTAAGATGGGTATTGTACTTAATATGTAACCGAAATGAATACGTGATGAAGTATATTCTATTTCTGGCAATGAAGCTCAATCTTATAATACAGTTGCCAAATGGTCAAAATAGTTTCTAGAAAGACGAGAAGAGATTGAAGATCAACCTCGACTTGGTGAATCTATAATCGAGAAAAGATCTGAAAATATTGAAGAAACTAGTTACCTTACTGATGATGATCTTCATCTTATGATTGATGAAATAAAACTGATATGAGTCGTAGTACCATTGAAAGAATCATTGATGATTATCTAAGACTGAAAAAAGATTATTGCTTGATAGGTGCTCAATGAAAGGAACGGATTTAGTTTTCTCAAGAGAATTTGGCGAAATGTCAGCAAGAAATATGACGATTCTGTGATGCAATCACGAGTCATGGTTTTATCATTAAAATATTGGTCGAAAATCATGGAATGCTTCCTAAACACCAATTGCAGGAACTTCATCTGCTGTAGTTCGACGCATTTGCTTCACTTGAAAAAATCTATTTTGTATCTTTTTTAAGACGACTGCTTCTATCTTAATTCATCAAAGGGATACTATAGATCATCACTATTACATTGCTAATTGTTTGAAATCTCGTATCGAGAAAATTCAATAGAAACACCAACATCTAATACATATGCCATGAAATTTCATCACAACAATTCAAAACAATATCTTTATTCAGAGATTTCAAATTATCTCGAATCGAAATGTATCAAAGTTAGTAACAAAGATGACTGTATAAAAACTGTCGATAAATCATTATCACAAATGCAGTTACATGTAAATAAGTAGGGCAAGTTTCTTTGAAAACTTGATGACATGAAATCTAGAATAGTCTATTTCTATATTTTTCTCTTGAAAATCTCGTTACTTTTTTTGGTGTACTCTAAGTAATTAAAGTTCACTTGTTAGTTCATTCCATAATCGTAATTGAAAAATATTTTATGTTGAAAAATAAGATAAATTTACACTATTGAACGTTCTTGGACGTATTCTTTCCAACCCAAGGTAAAAAACAGCATCATAATCGATAGAGAACATCAAAAGTCAGGGTCATTATGCCACAATTTTCCATAAGCTCGTAAAATGGTGAAAATGATAGGAGCAACGATGACTTTTTGCTAGTAAAAAAGAACAACATGATGGATTACAGCAAAATACAGTAAAAATTAATGCAGTAATACACCTTTTTATAGTCGTTCAAGACGTCATTTGCGATGGTCGGAATGATCGTTCTGGGAGATCCTTGTTTTTCATGATCGTTAGTCAAGAGTCTTTTTACATATATACTTCAATGCAAGGTTCTTGTCTTATTCATTTTCCGTTTGGTCTCTTGCTTGATTCTTCTTTTTCTCGTGCATACTTGTTTGACTTCTGTGATTTATATGCAGTCCTTGGCATATATCAACATGATTATTTTTAGCTTTTAATAAACAAAAAAACAGCTAAATAAAAACAAAATTGCATACAATTTTGAATCTATTTTCATGAAAAATGTATCAGTAGATTTTATTCTAGTTTGTTTTCGTGATAAGCGTCATCTGAAATTGATAATGATTGATCTGTTGTCAAGTCTTCTGTTTTGATAACGTTGTTTTTGGAAACGCTAAAATCAACGATACTTTGACTCACTAATAAATCAACAAATGCATCTTTTGTATTCAATAGGTTCATTTATTTGATATTGGCATATAATTCATACATTGCCAAAATTCTTTTCCTATATTTTCGCTGTCAGATTCTTAGCTGATTCTATTTTCATCAGAGAATAGAGCAATGTCTTTAGTAATCTAGCAAGGTTCTTACGCTTGATTCTCATTTCATGATTAGTACGAATCTGTTATAATTTCGTTTTCACTACAATTTCATTGTTAAAATTTGTCCAAGAATTAAATAATTGAACAGAATAATAATATAACGAAAAAATTGCAGTATCGATAAAAGCAATAAGAGAAAAAAAGAAGCCGAAGTTCATAACCATTTTAATCAAATACTCATCGAGTAGATCATAAAAAACTTAAGAAAAAAAAATGCTGATATGAATGAAGAAGCCTGTACGAGTCATTTATTTAGACGCATAAGAAACAAAGGATGATTATCTATCTTTCAACTTTGGCAAGAATCCTTTTACTACTCTATTTATCGATTGAAAAAATCTGGACAAAACAGAAGCAAGAATATTGACTTGTGATATATGTATAAACATGCATAAACATCACACGACATTAGTTTTGAAGAACAGGCAAAAATCTGTTTTATATTGTCTGAAAAGGTGCTTGTCTGAACATTAAGATATCTTAATGGTTTTTCCAGATTTTTTATTTTCTTGATCAATTAGACAAGAATCTTTTTTAAATTGAACTTCAGATGAGAGTCTTGTTTTTTTTTTCCTATTGAACCGAATCTTGATTGATCGATCAAGAAAAACAAGATTTTGGAAAGAATAGGTCAAGAACATTGATTAGGTGATTCTTTCAAAATTCTAGATGTGTTTAACTTTGTTTAAAATGTAATACTGTTAAACAATTATTAAAATGTTAAATATAAAAAATCTTTATGTTTCTCTTAGCTACATCATATAAAATTTTCAATTACTTGAGAAACAAGAAAAATGTTTATTATTACTTACATATTATTCTATTTGTATAATTTTTATAAAATAATATATAAATTCTATCTGCATAATTTTATATTTATTCATTACTTGTTGTACAATAATAAAAATGAAAAAATACACTACCAAAAATAATATGTCAATTTTATATGTTTCGTTATTAACAATGTCCTAAAGGATTTTGACACGTACCAGAAAGACAAACAAGTTCATCAGCACAATCAAATGCACTTAAGCAAGCTTGTGAATGAGTACGTGCTGGTTGACATCTACCAAATCGACATATACTATCACCTACACAACAAGGTGTTGCAAAAGGATCTGATGAACATCGTTCCCAAAGTCGTATACATGGTGTACATGTTCGATTTATACAAAAATCATTAGCATCAAAACATTGTCGATTAAGACGACATGATTGTCCAGTTTTATAAAGGGCTGTACATCGATGACGATAACAACGTGAAGCACCACAACAATGAGATGAACTTGAACATGATTCTCTTGAATTGCGACATGAAACACAATAACCTTCATAACAAACAGTATTTGAATCATTATATAAGAGGCAATCGACAATAGATTCACATGGCCGTTGAGTACTGATGATAATATTTACAATACCAAATACATAGCGAAGAAAAATAATGAGAAAAAATATTCCTAGTTTCATGTTATGACAGTAAACGACAAATGATGATATTCTACATGTATTGAAGCCTTGGATAACTATTATCTTCTATTCTTTTTCGCTCTTGTGCTCTTTCTCTATATGTTACACAGTATTCTGAGAACAACAATATGGATAAAAGAAATAATCTAGTCTTCTTCATTGATTGGTAAATGTCATAGGAGAATATACAAGATCAACTTTTTCTTTTTATGTGTTCCTTCTCATTATTCATATAGGGTACATCTGTGACCCGCAAACGTCAAATAAATTACGAAGACCTCTCCGCGTTTCCGGATGCTAAAATCAAAATTTTTTCGATTTTTGCTTTTTCATTGCTAATATAACTTTCAACTATTCTATATCCAATGCCATATAAATGAGAGCTCTTCGTTGTCGGCTAGCTCATTTATTAAACTTAACTCTTTTTAACAGAAAAACTTGTGCTGCAAGTATTCGTTGTACGCAAAATTCTCCTAATGACAATGATTATCTGTTGTTCTAAAGATGCTGAGAGTATGGGTCATGGACCTCTATCACCGCTAAATAGGCCAAGTTTTCGATCATTTTAGTCAGAGAAAAAATATCCTGAAACATACAGAAAAATTTGTTGTTTGTTTTTCTTGAAATAAATTTTTACACAAAAAAAAAGTACAGAATCGTCCTCATTTTTCCGACATAATATATTCGATGGAACTAAATTTTTTTTATGGGTCCTACGTACAGTTTGGAGTGCCTACTTTTTTCTTGCTTTGAAAAATATTGCACCGATTTGACAATCCGAAACTCTCAACGGCATCTCATTCAATCTATTTAACTTTTTTTTATGCAAGAGCATGTCAGACTGCAGCACCTTGTTTTTAAAATTCTTACTCTTTATGTAAAGGAAAAAGGTGACAAATTAAGTGCCTCGAAAACTTCTCCAAAAATGATCATCGATTTATAGAAGTACATTAAAAAACGTCTCATTTTTTTAAACAGATGATGACAAAAAATCATTGAAAGTGTTTGGAAAAAACGGCATGTCAAACAAAAAAAAATTCTTACGCGAATTTTAAATAAAAAGTTTTTAGAATTACTAATTTTAATGATTCTGATTTATGTGTTTTCAGCACATCAATCTAATGAATATGGTCAAAAAAAAAAAAGAATTACGTATTATTCTTATGTAAACATATCATTGTAAAGTCATTCACGGACAACACACGATTTCGCATCTAATACAATAATTGAACAAAAGATATTAGATCAAACATATTGACTGCTTCTATAGATATCTATACATGTGTTTTTTATTAATTCTGCTTTATCATGTCAGATAATCGATGTACTTTATTTCGAAAGAAAAGTTCTGATTGATGAGCAATAATTAATACTAAATGAATAACAAAACTAAATAACAAATTGATTCTTATAGCCTTCTAATAAACAATACTGTAATGTACGTGATATGTTGTTCGTCATTCTTGACAATACTCTAATCCTTATAAACTCTCTCTCTCTCTTTGCACGAGCATATTTATACACTTTTGTTATAGGTATAAAGAAAATAAAAGATATGCGTAGTGATTATTTACTTGAAATAAGCATTCTTTATAGTGAAAGTTACAATAGATATGTATTCAATTTTCTATCGCTTTGTGTTTTAAAACAATATTATTGAAGAACTATTCCTTTTTTTTTGTTGTCTAGCTTGTACACAACTTAGGTTTAAGAATCATAAAGATTTCTTTTTCAATTGAAAAGCTAATCATAAACAAAAACTTGCACTTTTATTTCTTTTGTCTTTCATATGAAAGAAAGAATAATCAACAATAAAATTTCCTGATAACTAATGCTCATTGATTTGTCTTCTAAACTGACTGTTAGTTATACAGATCATATAAAGAAAGCCTTTTATCTTTTCGAACATAAATCAATTCGCATAATCGACAATTTCTTTTTTTCTGTTCTTAGGTAGAATACAATGACTATTGAGATAAGAGATTTTACATACTTCAATATGGCTATTGTGTACCTGATCATCTTTCATCAAAATTAAGTGACTAGTAATCCTAATATTATATATATATATATATATATATATTATAAAAATCTAGATCAAACTGAAAAGAAAAAGTACTAATCGAATTAATTGTTTATTTTTTTAAATATTTAGATGCGCAAATATCTTTTATTATGTATAAGTCTTTGTATAGTCTCGACAAAGTCGAATCAAATTAATCGTTTACGTCGACAATCTCCTTTTGCTGATGGTATTCAACCATCATTACATAAATATGAACCACGACGAATACTTTCAACAAATGCTCATCGTAAACTTGAATCGTATGTATCTATCTTTTTTTCTTGTATTTTAAAATCTATTAATTTATGATTTTCTTTTTATTCATTTAGAAACTATATGATTGTTGGTCCTAAATTAGTTCGTCCTTCAGATATTGTTTCTGTTTGGGTAACAATTTTAAATGACCAATGGTCATCAACAAATGTTGCTGTTTCATTATTTAATCAAAATGATGAAATAGCATCAAATGAAGAACGTTTAATACCGCAAATTCCAACAGCAATTATATTTCAAGTACCACAAAATGCACCAAATGGTTCTTATAGAATTTATGTTCGAGGAACATTACCAGATGGTGATGTTGTATTTTATAATGAAACAAATGTAATTTTTCATGCAAAATCTCTTTCAATATTTATTCAATTAGAGCGACCAATGTATAGACATGAACAACTAGGTAAAAATAAAAGAGAAACATTAATAAAAATAATATGCTATTTATTTATAGTTAGATTTCGATGTATTCCAGTTTATTCAGATTTACGTGGCTATTTTAGTACAGTTAATGTTTATGTTATAGTAAGTAAAACAAAAAGAAAATTAAATATTTATTTAGAAGATTTAATTTTAGGGTCCAATGAATAATATTTTAAGACGTTGGCTTAATTTACAAACAACATGGGGTTTATTTATTTTTTTTTTTAAGATTAAAATAATTGAATAATTATTTATTTTTTCTTTAAAGGTTATGTTGAATTATCATATCAATTTGCTTCATTTATTGCGTTTGGTACATATAAAATTCGTTGTGAAGCTCAACAATCAGCAGCTGAAAAAACATTTTTAGTTGATTTTTTTTGTAAGAATAATTATTCTTATTATTATAATTTAATATTTTCTTTTTGTTTGTGTCATATAGTACAGAAAAAAATTGAAGTTAATGTATCATTACCATTTTTTATAAATATTGAATCGCCAACTATTAATGGAATTGTTATAGCAAAGTATGTTAATCTTTTATTTCAAATGCAACAGTAGACAATAGAACCAGTCAATGGGGAAATGGTTCGTGTTTATGAAGATATACTTCATCACACATTAAGTTATACATATCAAAGGAAAATAAAACGAAAGATAAATTAGAAATTGACCAGAGATAAAAACACACAATCAGGTGTTTTACTGGAAGTAGAGTAAAAAGAAAGAAGAAGAGACGAAACTGTAACCATATGGACCCAGTCGATAAGCAATATAAATATAAACGTACGCGTTAGAATCTAATTTAAAAATTTCTAAATCAGATTTCACATTTAGTCTGAGATGAACAAGTCAAGTTAAGAAAGTGGATGTAGTTATGCAATTTATGCGTCTTATATCCGCCTAACTAAAACTATTTAGTTATTAGAATAGAAACAAAGAAAAAGAAATACTTTCATGTATTTTAGAGAAGGAGACCCTATTCAATCTTCGTTCTATGCTCATGAGATACTTGAGAATCTTGAGCCAGAAATCTATGTGATATGTACACATCTTGAGGTTTGTGCATGTCAAGTACGTGAAAAAAAGTTCGACTTGGTGGCGGTCAAATGAGAATACATAGTTGTCTTTTGACTTGACTTGGATCATAAAAACCTCTAATTTGGCCATCGCTGCTACTTGTCACAGATGCGATTGTACAGACAAATGTACTACAAAATAATGTTCGTGGAAAAAGTAATGGAAGTTTGTTGTTCGAGAAAATGTCATTCCAAATAAATTAGTTTTACAAATATGGGTGAATAGGTTAAAATATTTTGTATTTTAAATTATTAAGTAAAATGAAAAGATATTGTTGAATAAAAAGAATAGTTATTTTATTGAGATTTTTAATTGTTGTATTGTATGAAGTTATGTCTTGTCGATTTCTAATTTTGTCTCGACAAAACTGAAATTTCAGTTTAGAGTGATGAATGGTTAGTCAGTAGTAGAATTTTTATTTTCTATCTAATGCATTCTATACCAAGATTTCATAGATGAACCATGATAACAAGATTTCTTAACAAACCTGGACACGGTAGTTTTGAGGTTACAAAAGATTTTGTTGGAACTATTTTTTAACTATACCATCTCAAACAACTTTAAAATCTGAACAAAATGATGGATCGCTGGGTTTTCCATGACATTTTCTTAAGAAGTTAAAGGTATTACATGTACAAAAACCGAAAAATAATGTAAAGAAATGGACTAGAAGACGCCATTTTTTGGGTTCTTGTGATACTTTTAAGTTTTTAAGAGAGAGAGAGAGAGAGTCATAGAAAATGTGGTTACTTCTCATCTTATTCAGTATTTCGTGTTCTTTAGAATGGCATTGTGAAAAACATTGTTGCAAGAAAATTTTTGGGACCTCAAAATCAATGTGTCCTGAATTTTAGAAACTTTGCCGTCATAGTTCATCTACGAAGTCTGAATAAAAATAATCCCATTGATTATTAAAATCACTAGCTAGATTTGAGATAGAGGTTTAATATTACAGGAAAAAAAAATGCGTTGTTGTTTAACTTTGCTTCTTCAAGTGAAAAGATGTAATATGATTGAAACCTCTTTAAATCGTTTAGAGTGCTACTTGCGAAGGTAGGGATAGTAGAAGCATTTCTTCAGTACTAAATGAGTTTAAGTAACGGTTGGTGCTTTTTTTTAAAGATAACATTTCACCACGACTTTATGGTGGTGTGCTTTAAAAAAAGGTATCATTTGATGTTTGATTTAGTTATACAACTGGACGTGGTGTTCAAGGTTTAATGAGATTAACAGTACGTTTAAAAAATATTGATGATAGTTTTGAACCAGCAGTGAATATTATTCCAGTACCGGATGCACCAGGACCAAAACTCGATTATGAATATAAACGAGTAAGTTATGATAGATAAGTAAAAATGAATATTTTGAATTGTTGCCTAATTCCAAATAAAAAGCGAGTTGCCGTTTTTTGAATAACCTTTGATAGAAACAAGATAGAAACCTGCAGTTTTCACCATTCAGGAGGGAAGAGTTAAGGCTAGCGAAGTATATCGAAATGTAATTGTTTAGCAATTGAATCATCAGATAAGTTAATTACTGACTATTTAGATTTCAATATACTTCACTAATTTTGGGCCTTTCTATTAAATGGTGAAAATCACAGGTCTCTATATTGTTCCTATCAGAAGTTGTTAAAAAAATGACTAGTCGCCTTTTATTTTGAATTGGACAATAGTTTGATGGTCGTGCGGATTTTGTTATACCAACGTCAGAAGCAAGCCGCGAATTTGGTGATTTAACAAATCGTGAATTAATATTTACAGCAACTGTATATGATCCAATATGGAATGAAACAACAAATTCATCTTTTCTTGCATCATTTTATAAAACAGAATATCGAATGAAATTTCTTAATAGACAATCAGGTGTATTTAAACCTTCAATGTCGTATACTGCTAATGTAAGATACCTTGAATGAATACTTTATTCTTGATATTATTTTTTTTTCTAAGATTGCTGTACTTAATGGTGATCAAAGTCGATTTCGAGTTGCTGATTTTGATCGTAATACAACTTATGTACGTGTACAAACTAATTTTGATACTGGTTTGTCACCTGCTTCAATTGATTATCCAATACCTGATGATTCTATTGTAAGACACGTATTGATTATTCCAAATCAAAATCAAACAATGTACATGTCTATTCGAGTAAAATCTATTTTGATTTTTTTCGTTTTAAATTTCGATTGCTCATAGATTACCATTTTGTTCTTTTTAGGCTGAATTATTCGTTAATAATGAATTTATTCAAACAGCATTTATTGAACAGCGTTCTGTTCGTTATCGATCACCAAGTCAAACATATATTCAAATTACAACAAGTACACCAGAACCTCGAGTATAATTAAATTTCAATTTATTTCTCTAAAATAGAAATATTAATATTTAATGATTTTTAGATTGATAATTATATGATTTTTACAGTTAATGTTAGTCGTTATTGTGAATTAGTTCATTATCATGTAAATTTTTTGATTAAAATTTTCAGAATTTAGTTGTTCTTTTTTTCTCTGATTAGATCATTTCAGCAAGTCGTATTGTTTATACAGATACAATTCAAATGCGTGGATCACGTCAACAAACATTTTATGTTGCTGTAACACGTCGTATGGCTCCATCGGCACATATTCTTGCCTACTTTATCGATGTTACTGGTGAACTTGTTGCTGATGTTAATCATTTTCATGTTAATATTACATCGGATACAGTTACACTTAATTTAACACTAAATCAAAGAAAAGATTTAACTGGTGAAACAGTTGAATTACTTGCTTATGGACCTGCACAAGCAAGAGTTGCATTTGCTGGAACAGAATATGCTCAATATCAATTATATGGTGGAAATGATCTACTTGAAATGGATGTATGTAAACAAAATTTTATCATATTCACAGATATTCTTACACATGAGTGGGACCAATCGTTTTTGATTTCCGTCAAAAAAAAATTTGGTTTCGGTTTCACCAAGACCGAGATCATCTTTCTTTATAGCTATTTAGAATACATGAGTCATAACAACATGATATTCAACGGAAGTTTTACACGACGATAAAAGGTATCGGTCTCAATGAAAATGTTTGTTCTGGTCTCAGTCTAAAAACAATTGGTCACTCTCTCAATCAGAAAAGAAGTTTGATTCTGATCTTGGTTTCAGTCTAAAAGAAATTTGAATCCGATTGCGATCTAAATAAATTAGTTCGAGTTTCAATCACGAAAAAAAAATCTGTTTTCAGTCTCGGTGGAAAAAAGGAGTTGGTCCCAGATCCAGCGGAAACGAGATCGAGACCATCTCGCCCATATTTAGATATGCTTCTTCGTTCTTAATTGAGACTAAATGATTTTTCATAGAGAAAAAGACTATGAATATATCTTTTTCCTTATTTCAAATTGAGTTAATACTAATGAATAATTACTAAGAAAAGTATTAGCATAGGAAAACTATAACTCAATATCGAACATAAGTTTTCAGGAAGATATAATTAGATTAAAAAGTTTGAAATTTTATTGTTTATCGAATGTTACCTAAATACATGTAAATAAATCTAATAAAGCTTTGTTTAATATTCAATAGATTTATAACGAATTATATGAATATGACATAGCTGCTCATCCAAGTCCAAATATAACATGGTATTCCAATTTTTTGACACCATCAGAAAAAGTTTATCGTGTTGGACAATCAATTGCTGCTAATGTTTATCGAGCATTTCGTTCAGCTGGTCTTTTTCTATTAACTGATATAGAAATAGTCATTAATGAAGAAGAAGAAGAAAAATTTTGTATGGAATTAGGAGATCGACTTACATGTAATGATGGCTCATGTTATACAATTAGTGAAAAATGTGATGGTATTTTTAATTGTTTAGATGGAGCTGATGAACTTGATTGTTTGTATTCAAAAATAGAAAAACCAAGAAAAAAAAGATAATTTGTTTTATTTTCTTTTTATGATAGGTCCTGAAAAACCTGGACCAGTATTTACACCGATTAATAAACGTTTATGGCCATATTGGGAACGCTTTTTTACATTGTCATTTGCTTGGGAATCTGTTTCATCGTATCCAGATGGTCGAGCTCAATTAGCTGTTAGTGTTCCTCGTGTCATTGGCACTTGGATTGTTTCAGCATTTTCAATTAGTCAACAAAATGGTCTTTCAGTTTTGCCTAGTGTTCTTATGGTAAAATGATTTTGCTTGTTTTTGAAACATTCATTGTTTTTTAATGATACATAATTTAGTTTGAAGGTACAAGACAATTTTTTATTGCTGTTGAATGTCCACAAAAAGCTCGACTTGGTGAACAAATAGGTGTTCGTGTTGATGTATTTAATTTTCAAAGCCATCGTATTGAGGTCATTAATCAGTGAATTTTTGAAATAGAAAAAATTCCACTAAACATTTTTTTTTATCTAGGCTTTGATTATTTTACATGCTTCACCACATTATCGTTTTGTTAATCTTGATCAACATGGACAAGTTTCTTCGTTTGCACCACGAACATCTGATGGACAACATCATGTACTTCTTATTGTAAGAAAAAAAAGCATTTATTTATTTAATTCTTAAAAGAACTTTTGCAATATTTTCAGCTTCAACCAAGTAGTTCAAGACGTATTTATATTCCAATATTACCATTAGTTGCTAGATCAATTGATGTTACGATTGAAGGTATAACAGGAGTTAAACAAGATATAGTTACACGAGAAATGACTGTTGTGGTATGATGTATTATATTGAATATAAACTAAAAATTATTTTTTTTTTTGTGTTTCTATTAAGTACGAAGGCATTACAAATTATTATTCGACATCAACATTATTTTCACTTGAGCATACACCTCGACAAATGCTTGAATTTGATATTATTATACCCGAAAATTATATATTACCATTGAAAAATTATTTTCTTTATATACCTGGTTCAGCTACAGCTACTGTTTATATTTCAGGTAAATCCACAAAATACAAAAAATAAAATCTTTTGTTTTCCTGATTATTCAATTAATAGGTGACATTGCTGGACCATATTTTTGGGAAGGACAAGATAAACAGCTTACATCAGATAATCTTATCTATAAAACAGTTGCACCTGCTGAAGGTGCGTTAGTTGGTTTTTCATCTATGGTCTATGACATAATTTATATGAGACAAGGTCATGGTGCAAAAGGTTTTGATCAAGATAAACTTTATCAATTACTTGATCTTGCTAATATAGGTAATAGATTTTAGTTATTCTATAGAAGAAGAAAAATGAATAATTTATTAGAATATAATCGTTTAATGGCATTTTATTTTGATGATGGATCGGACATGGGTGTACATGATGGTGCATTTAGTAATTTCGGTTGGAAGAATGAAACTAGTGTATGGTAAGTAAAAACAACAAATCAAATATTTGCAATTTTTTCTTATATAATAATTCAATTATTTAAGGTTAACATCATGGGTAGCAATTGCATTAAAAGATGCAGCACAAGCTGAATGGGAAGAATATAATCTTTTTATAGATCCACGTGTACGTGCGAAATCATCTAAATGGATTATAGCACATCAATCTCCTGAAGGTTCATGGCGGGAACATAGTAATATCCTTGATCGAGAAAAATTTCAAGTGAATAATATATTAATAAAAATCATTTCGATTTTGTTTATTGTTTTCTAAATTTAGTCTCTATTACATTCGATTGATACAAATTTACCATTAAATTTATCATTAACAGCTCAAGCATTAATTGCATTAAAAATGAATACAGATATAAATGGATTAATTAAAGAAGATATGACTGATGCTATTGATCGTGGTCGTATTTGGCTTGAAAAATATTATCGTGTATGTGAAAAGTTTTTCTGTTTCTTTCATTCCAAATTCTATTTACTCTTTTTCTCTCAAAAAACGTTTTAGATGATTGAAGATCCATTTGAATTAGCAATAACAACATATGCATTACATATTGTTAATAGTCCAGAAAAAGATAATGCATTTAATATGTTAATTAATCGACATCGAACAAGTAAGAATTATAATTTTGATTATCTAAAATATTTATTTGTTGTCTTTTCTGTTCTTCCAAGACGCTGATGGTATGTATTGGTCAAATGTTGATTTACCATCGAATAGAATAGGATATGGAACTGTAACTGAACATTTGTTACCTAAATGGGAATCTGAATTAGAAGCACATGCTATTTCATCAACATCATTTGCTTTATTAACATATATCTTTCGTGCTCAAACATCATTAGGTATACCAATAGTAACTTGGTTACAAACACGACGAAATTTTGTTGCTGGTTGGTGTTCAAGTTATGATTCATTTTTTGCTTTAAAATCTCTTGTTCAATATGCTATTCGATATGGAGATAAAATACAACACTATAATTTACGCATAAGTATATTACCAACGAATGATATAGCTCAAAAAGGTGAACCTTTTGTAATTACGGATGAGAATATTGTTGATGTACAAAAATATGAAATAAATTCAGTTTATGGAAGAGTCTTTATTGATACATATGGAATTGGACATTCACTTATCCAAGTAAGATATATAAAAATACAACATTGAGATTGATATAATTAATTCCTCGACATAGTTAACGAATTCTTAATCGTTTTTTGCACATGTCTTTTCTATAATCGACTGGATTTGATAGTCTATCAAAAACCTGCAAATGCTAAGCGTTTGATTTTAAACGATATGTCGATATTTAGAAATATAATGTTCATATGAAAAAAATGAATATATATATTTTACAGATGATAGTTGCAGCCAATGTTGAATTCCCTGAACTTATTCGTCCAATTCCATATGAAGCATTTCATTTGTCATTAAATGTTCATCTATCTCAAAAATATAATTTTAGTTATTTATTATATGAACCATGTGTTACGTATGTAATCGTCTGCTTAAAAAAAGGAACAACATATTTTTATTAGAATTTTTAATTAAATAGATGGTTACCAGGTCTTACAAAAGCTCATCGATCTGGTTGGTCAATATTTACTATTGAAATTCCCACAGGTTATCGAATTGAAGAACGTTTTCTTAAAGATCTAGTTGGTTTCGGTATTGTAAGAAATCTTCGTGATGCTGAAAATTATCCAAATTCGCTTAATTTTCTTTTTGAATTTGTAAAATTCATAAAATTTTCTTTTTCTCTATAGAATAACATACACATTTCATTTAGTTTGATACAACTCCTATTTGTTGGCAATTCGAACTTAAACGTTTTATACCTGTTGCTAATATGACACGTTACTATGAAATGAAAGCATATGAATGGCATGAACCATGTAAGATCTTTATCGATCAGTTTAAATTTATATAATATTCATTTTATTTCTTGTATAGGGAGTGCTAATCGATCAATGTATACATTACGTACACTTTTCGGTCTTGATATATGTGATGTATGTGGTTCATATCAATGTCCATATTGTCCTTATTATGCTATAAGCCCTAGAATTGAAATTTCATTGTTTACAATCATTTTTTGTGTTGTTTTTCAGTCGTTTTTATATAAATTGTTAAATTATTTTTTTTTCTGTTATTGTTATTAGCACATTTAAATTTATAAATAAAGAAGCAAAAACAAAACATGTCTAATGATTTTAGGTCTTTATAATCATGAAATTTTATTTGGTGATCATCAATCTATAGAATATTATTTGAACAAAGTAAAGAACAGTCTGAAAGCCATGAAAGTGTTATTATTCATCAGATATAATGTGAGAATAGAAATTGAATATCTATTCGCGATGATGGCGATTGAGTGAGTGCTCGTATTTTTTATTCACGCTTTTAGTTTACTTATACTCAAGTGATGCATTTCATCACTATCGAAAATCGATCGGTACTATGCCTCACTTTTCTCTTATCAAAAGTGAAGAGGTACAAATGTTCCTATTGTTGTTTTACATTCGTCAACTTGATGCTTATATATGCCAAGGAACAGCATGGCGAGACGCGTTCATAAGCGTAATCGGTCTGTATCACATACATATATACACACCTCATAAGTGACAATTATAGTCTGCAGAGACATAGAACTTGATACATATATTGAAAGGCAGACACACGTCCTTATATTGTTATCGTAACACTATGAAATGTTATGTTTCATATTTTATCAATTGATATACTGGACTTGACAAAATATCTGACAAGTAGCTTTATAAAAGCTTTGAAAGACAAAAAACAACATATGACATCATAATCATTTTTGAACCCAGCTGTTTCGTTTATAAAAAAAATCAATTTAAAATGTAAATGATTTCATCAAAAAAAAATGCTGGCCACCTGCTGTGTACGAGGTCGATTTCTTTCTTCTTTAATACTTTATCTTATGCAATACAAAAGAAAAAAATATTCGATTATTCTTTTTTTTATGATTGATAAATGATTTTTCTTTATTTTGTTTTTTTTTCGTTGTACATCATTGTGTGATAACGATATAGATATAATTAGTAATATGTATTGTACGACTGTAATATATAATACATTAATAAAAGAACAACACAATATGTTAGTCATACTACTACTAGTTTCGTAATCACTATCAATTGCTCTCTGCACACCAACTTGAAAAGCGACATTCATACAGTAGAGTTAATCTCCATATGGAAATTACTCTCTTAGCTATCCGTTGTTGTCGCCGCCATCGTTTGATATAGCTTCAAATGTGCGGAAACATGTTCCACTAATTTTCTGTAAGTATATATATATATGTAAGCTTGTCGCACCTCTCTTGTCTCAATTAGAACTGCTCGTTTGAAGATAATGAATGCATATATAAATAGAAATTCGGGCGGGATGAAAATCTACATAATTTTATTAGATACAAGTGTAAGAAATCAAATGAGTTCATGAAAAAAAAAAAGAATTTATCATTTATTAGCACTTAATAAATAGTCGTCATTTTGACATTTAGACTAGTGCAAATGAGCAAAAAATGTCAATTGTTATAATTTGTCGATGTTTTTTTTTCTAAAGATTGAACGAAGGTCATCGCAACGTGACTGGCATAGTAAAAAGTCAATAGAGACACAAAACGGATCGATTAACTAGATCACAAATTGTGTTCACATGTATATGCTAAATAAATCAATATTTTGATAATTATAGAAATTTTATTACACCGATAAATAACAATTTCGATGTGTGAAAAGATTTGATTTTTGTTTTTTTTTTCGAGTATATCGTAAATACAAGAAAAGAAGATTATGATTTTGAGTCTTTTTTTTTTGTTTTATCCTTAATCAAAACATTTGATCATATGTCATTAAGTTTTCTTTTACATGTTCAATTCTGAAAGATTAGAACAGATGAAACTAGGATCTATCTTGTGCAATATTTTAATCCGTTCTTTTTAGTTCAAGTACTTTCTTTCTTTCTCTCTCTCTCTTTCTCAATTTTTCTTTTTTATGTGTTCAACTTTTACGTCATACTTATAATTTCTTTTCGCCTAATTACTTTTCATTCTGTCTGCTTCTTGTGTCAGATAGTCTGGACATTTCATCACCTTTTCCTACTTTTTTTCTTCTATATTGTATACTTATTCTCTTTTTCATTTCCGTATTACTCATCCGAGAGGTCTTTTAAGATGCTTATGTCTGTTAAAGATATTTTCAAAGTAATTTTTTTAATATTATGTGATGAGGATGATAATAGACCTTCAGACGTTCACCTGTCGACTATTTCGTGTTATTACTAATGAGATATGTTCGTGAGGGTCGATTGCTTATATGTTGTTTGCTGATAACTAATTTTGAACGATATGAACATACACGTATATATCATATTGTGAGATCATATCCATTCAGTTTTGGCTGATGACATTCTATATCCAAAGGAATAACTCACGAGAATAGGCACGCACATATGATGTTGATGATTACATAGAGAAAATGATTAATTAATTGCAATGGTCATTCACAATGACGTGAATAGTTTTATATTGCTCTATATATACCATGAGATTGGAACAAAAAAGAAAAAGAAGAAAAGAAACTAGCACCGTCTTGTCATGTTCGGGTCAATGCACTTCCTGGATATAAATTTGAAAGATAATCAGCGTCCGTAATAAAGAAAAAAAAAACGAGAGCCAGACAGTGTAAGAAAAAGAAAAGGAAGAAGAAAAAGTGACTATTCGAATGTCATTTGCTTTTTCATTATAGTTACATAGGGTTCGACTAATCGAGTAACATTATCTTAGCAGGCGGGCATCCATCATTACATCACACCTTCATGCTGCTGGTCAAATGCGTTGCTGGTGACAGCTAGACAATCAAATAAAAATTTTAGTATTCAGCACCAGTTAAGTTACGTGAAGACGTGCCGCTCGCCCTTCCGATACATTTAATGAAAGGTGTGTTGACCATCAATGAACACACATCACAATATGTATACAATCATGCTTGTGATGGTGACTAGACTTCAGAAAGAACAATTAACTCTTGAATAAAGATGAAAAAAGAAGGAATGAGACTATGCCAAACAGTCTGTCAATCTAACGTGTGTGAACATAATACAAAGAGAATGTACCCATGAGAAATGATCATCGATAAGGAGAACCGTCTGGTCACTTATTCTTTTCTTTTCATTTTTTAATTCTACGCAAGTCTATTGACGCGTGTCCAAATAATTCTGCGATTTCACAACTTGTTCTATTGTTGATGTTTGCCGCTTTGTACCCAAGCTGTGCTTTGTTAATTTATTTTGTCGCTTCGAGCATACATATATATATATATAAAGTAAGAAATGATGACAATGCAATGAATCGATAGATCGATCGATCGATCGATCCAGGATTTCCTTTTTTGATTCATTTTCACACTCACTTGAAAGGGAGTATATGGATGTGAATGATTGAGTATGGGACAACGAATAAAAGAGAGTGAGAGTAAGCGAGAGAAATGGGATGGACAAAAAAAAAGAATCATTCAAAACATAAGATGATGTTTTGTCATTCAATATGACGAATCGAGACTGGTTTATCTATTTGATGACCTTGAGGCGCCGACATCATATTCAAGTTGATTGAGATCGAATGTAAACAATTCATTTTTTTTTTCTATACATCGTTAACAGCATTGCAAGGCAATTGTCAAGTGCACTATATTCTAGTGTATATATGGGATCAGTAAAGTAGGTAAAGACAGAGTTTATTATTATTATCAATGTTAATCGCTGTTCAAACTACTATCTTATACTTGCTTCATCTCATATCAATCTCGCAAAATTATGAAGCAAATAAAGTAAGAAAAACGAAATAGATCCTATGGGCGGAGACAACCGCCTTAAGTCAATCATTTCTATTTTTAAAGAGATTGTTCAGAATGAATATCTAATCTTATTTGTAACATATATATATATAGCAAGAAAAAAAAAAGAGAACTCTCTAGTGAAAACATAATGTAATGAGCTCATCTCTCATACCCGAAGAAAAAAAACATTACGAAAAGGAAAAAAAATTAAATTGCATCACTCTTTTCTATTTTCCTATTCATGTTCTAAATAAAGCTGCCAAAAAAAAAATGTATGCGTATATGTGTTTCATCTTAGTTCAGCAGCGTGCAAATGGAATTATCATTCGAATGAATGTTCGTTGTTAAGTTTGTTTTCTCTTTCCTACCCGTTAATGTCTAATGAGGTTGACACACAGGATGATATCGATCCACTTATACACATTGCCGAGTGAATTATTCACGGATGATAACCTGGCGTGAGACCTTTTCATACTCATCTATACAATCGAACAGCTCATTACATGCTTGCGATAAGAGAATAAAACTGAATAGGAGAAAGATGGATCGAATGTCGATCATTTCAAGTTGTCATCAGTTCTCCAACACATACTATGTGAAACGAATACGAGTAAGTGCCCAATAAAATGCTCATATATTCATACGTACATTCTCAGAAGCCTCTCTTATGTATGTATATATATATGAGTTTGTGCATTGTTCCAGCTGCCGCCATCGTCGTCTTCCTTCTTCTTCTTCTTCTTCTTTCCCTAAAGCTTTTGTTAGATGAGGAGAAAAGCAATTATATGATTAACAAGAGCCTACTGTCGAAATACACCCGTGCATTACTACGTTAACAATAAGATCTTACTTTTCTCCACCCATCTATCAATTTCAAAATCGTTAGATTAGTCAAGCAAGGTCTTAGATGAATTAAAAGATCATGATATCTTTAGATACACACACATGAGCACACATCTGCACGATGTCTGGTTGTGTGTCGTGTCTCAAGATGTTTCCCTACATCAATATTTTTATCGTGCGAATTAGCCAAGTGTTGATAAGACGGCGACAAAGAAGAAAAAGAAAATTTAAAGAATTTTTTCTCATTTTCTTTTTTTTTTTGAATGTTTCAATATTTGAGATTCTGTACGAAGAAAATAAATATTGGTTAGGACAAGAACAAATTTCTTTTTTCTTTTTTTTTCAACAGAAAGATTGATCGATGATGATGATGATCATCATCTATAAGAAGTCAAAGAGAGAGAGAGAGAGAAGGGTAGAGAGAATTTCTCGTTAAAGAGAAAGAAAAAAAAATGAGAGGGAGAGAGGGAGAATAGAGCAACGCATTGAACATATTATATACACATCTCTCATTTCTATACATGTTCAAAAGAAGAAACAAAAGCACATATATATATATATGTACATTGTTGTTTTTCTTCGTATATTATAGATAATGATGACAATAATATACATTTTAATTTTAATTTCCTCTGTTAATTCTATTGCAATTGATATTCGTTATCCACAATTTTTTCATCAATCATTAAATGATTCATCAATAGAAATAACTGAAGGTAAAAGTCCCGGAAGTTTTATTGCATTTATTAATCTTGTTAATGATACAAATATTATTCCAAATGATTGGTTATTAAATATAACTGATTCAGATTTTAAAATTCAATCAAATGGTTTATCATATTCATTAATAACAACAAAAATTCTTGATCGTGAACGTAAAAATTTCTATGAATTTTTCATAAATGCTCAACATCTTATTCTACCATATGAAAAAATATCAAAATTAATACGTATTCGTATTCTTGATATAAATGATTGTATACCATCATTTAATCAAACAATTTATCAAACAACAATGATACCTAATATAACTAATTTTCTAATAAATGCATCTGATTGTGATGAATTAAATAGTGATAATAGTCGAATAACATATTCTATATCAAATTATCAAGATTTATTTCGTATTAATGAAACAACTGGTTTAATTGAATGTATTAAAAATACAAATACATATGAACATTATGAAATAATTGTTGTTGCACGTGATCATGGTAAACCATCATTAACATCAACAACATTAGTTCAAATACAATTAGTGTCATCAGCGGATAAAAAAAAACCTTTATCATCAACATCATCATGGTTACATGTTGAACAAAATCCTCAAAATATTCTTATACTTGCTGGTATTCTAGCTATTTTATTTGTATTTATATCATTATTTATATGTTTAATATGTTGTATAAAATATAAAATAAAACGATGTAAAGAAGATAATAGTTTAGAAACAACAATGACAACAACAAATTATAATAATATCGATACAGTATTAAATGAAAAGAAAACTTTTAGTTTGACATCATCAACAACATCATCGAATGATCTCCAACAACATACAGCTAATGGAGAATTTACACGTATTACAGATGATTTACATTTTGAACGTGCAGCAGTAAGTAAAAGAAAAAATTTCTTTTTTTTTTGTTAAATGTGATATAGAGGCAACATATTGCGACAATATTTTAGATACTTTACGATGCAATGAATGTCTTTCCAAATACATATTATTTACCGCTTAAAAGACAATCGGAATTAATTGAAAATGTTAATAATTCAAATAATAATGATACATCATTGCATATACCTCCATCATCATCATCAACAACAAGTAGTCCAATATCAACAAATGCAATTGATGCAAAAACTGGTTCTGATGATGGATGTTATTGTTCGAGTGATATGTCATCTGAACAATCGAATAATCTTCTTTTACTTAATCCATCATCACTTTCAACAGCAAATTCCAAATTATCAACAAAACATGTACGATTTATAGAAAATAATATGAATACAGATGGAGCTTTAAAACGTTTTGAAAATCTTTATGGAACACGAACAACATCAGACCATTGTGCTTCTTATGTTTGATCTGTTAATCTCATTTTTTTTTCTTGTGTGTGTGTATGTACATTTATATATCTTCAAAAAGAGAAAAAAGGAACAGTCGGTCGATTCGGATCATCAATTTTTTTATTCTTTCAGGTAGCCAATATTTATGCTTAGAGCGTCCGACGGCGACGACTAACTATGGGATGTCAATATTTTTTTCCGATAAAGAATTAAGCTTGTGAGTCTTCAAAAGGTCAGTCTACGACATTGAATATGTATGCTTGCATGCATATATTGTATACGTGCTTGCTACTCACAATCCGATTATCTCTATTGTGCGCCGCAATGATCATAATCCATATTGCGTGTGTTACTCTATTACTGTTACAGACGCGAGACAATCAGGAAAAACAAGTTGACCATTTTCTTTTCTCTCAGAACCATCTAATTAGTAATTCTCCAAATGACAAAGCTGTTGCTGCCATTCTTAATTGGAAGACAAAAGAAGAACTAGATTATGTTTAGAGAATATATTTATTATATGTCGAAAGACAAAAACAGAATAGCAGATGTCCGGTTATTTATTTTATATAAAGAAAAAAAAAAGAGAAGAATGCATATAAATATATTGATGATTACATATACGAGGCTTCATTGGCATGTCATTCAAAACCGATTTATCGTCGTTCATTTATCATTTTTAAATATTTTGATAGGATGATAAACTTAGTACATAGTATGATCACCAAACATACTTATTTGTAAAGAATGAGAGAGAGAGAGACAAGCAATTACTCACATATGTATAGAGATACATGATGATGAGAATTTAACAAGGTCTCTTCTGTTCTATATTGTTCAAGCAACTGTGACTGATCGAGTGCATATATATATATATGTGTGTGTATATATGATGAAATGACTTGAGATTTGTATGAATATATTGTTTGATGTCTTTCGTCGCCTCCATCTATATCTACGCGCTTGTCTTCAAAAGAATAATTTTCTTTCTTTTTCAATAAACACGAATGTTTATATAAATATATATATATATCTATTAAGACGGTAAATTGAAATTCTTGAATTCATACACACACTTCTATTGATTCAATGCATTTCATAGATAGATAGATAGATATACGTGTTTAAGTCGTGATGATTATGCTTGATAAATAACAATACGGTAATGAGAATTTGTGATTATGATGATGATGATGATGATGTCGATGAAAATTGAATTTACTCCCTTCTGAATTTTTTTCTTTTACTGGGAATCAAAAACAGCTTGATAGAAATTGTATGTGTATGTCATTGTTATATTGACTATTTGCATCTAATCTATATTCTAAATATGTGTTTGTATACGAATATGTCTTTGTTTCAATCAGAAGACTACAAGGACGGTCGTCATTCACTTTTTCTCTTTCTCTCTATACAGTCTAATTTCAATATTGACCATCAATGGATGATGATGCTCGAAAAAAAAATAGAAAGAACATTGACCTTCCTCATCGGAAAGAGTCAAGCTGTCCTCTTGTCTTCATACTATTTAAGAGAGCTCATCATTATTAGACATTATTACTTTATAAATAGGCGAATATAATCCAAAAATTGTTTACTTTCATATTATTATAGAGTACATGTGAATTTTATGTGGTACAGCTGCCGTTGATTGACCACTCTCATTAGTAGTCCGCCATAAAGATGTTAGCCAATAAAATTTCTTTTGTTTTTTTTTGTATATCAGAAAAGTTATGTTAAATAATTGATTCAATCTTAAATATGTTGCAGTGTTTGCATGCAACAAGTAAAATAGACAATGACTTTTTTCTTATTCTATACGATCGCGTAATACCCACTGGTGACAATGACCAATTGTGACCAGTCAAAAAATAAACTGACGAATGTAAATAATATGAGCATAAGGAATTGTCTATCACTTGAGCTTTTCTTTTAATCCCTTATGAGAAAACGAATAAATTTTTTTGACTTTATATATACCTATTTAAGTCTCGTGTTTGTATTTTATTACCAATCTTTCATATATAAAAATTGATCTGTTGAATAGAATTTTAATTAGTTCGAACTCAATTATTGAGAATATTCAAAAAAAAGAAGAAAATATTATTTATACTTTTTTTGTAGATAATACAATAGAGCAATGATTTCTCAAAGAATATATTATTATTTCATTTATATTCAGATTAGTATGTTTATTTGAGGAAATAATAAATAGGTTCTTTTAAAATTTCTTTCTATTGTTCATCAACTTTAAAATATTCTTTTCAAAAAAAAAGATGGATAGTAAATATTTCGAAGTCTATTATGAAAAGTTATTTTTTGAATTTTGTTTTGCTACAAATCAAGTTTTTATTGTTAAATGAAAGTAATAAATAGGAAGAAAAATCAATTAGTATCGAGTTGTACATTTAAAGCAAGATAATATTACAATGAAACTTAACCTTTCAATGAGACGAAAAAAGTTTATATATACTTCTATCTACGAAAGAAAATCAAGAACTGCTAAAATAAGAAGCGCAGTTGAATGTTCGACTGTTCTAGAACAGCCAATGATCAGTCGTCAAAGCTCATCGAAACAAAAGTTTAGACAAATGCATCAAGACATTTTTCTAAAGAATATAGACTAACAAAACCCATGCTTTTGGAATATATATGTTAATCGACCGTATTCCACAAAGCTAAACGAATTTGACTTCATTCTTTTGCGAAAAATGAAATAATTATGAACTATACAAAAATAGAGTCAATAATAGAAATCCCATGTTACGCATGCTTTAAACAGCCATGTACGTCTCTTTCAAAAAGTAGATCTCAAATTTTATATTCATGACCTATTTTAATCGAATACATCAATACATTGTTGAAGAGAAGTGATACTTTGAAAAACAACACTACGACCAGTCTTTCGGTATTTCTCTGAGGGGCAGACAAAAAAAATAATTTTAGTGCTCCCTTCTATGTTCGGAACAGAACTGGGACAAAAGCCTAAGTCATATATCGACTAGTCTACATTAGTTGTTAATTATTTTAAAATCATACGTATTCATTAAGCATTATATTTGAAAAGATACACTAATAAAACTTAATCGGACGTTCTTCGAAGTACTACGAAAAGTAATGACAGAGCCATTTCAATACCATTTAAAAAGACTGAAACAATTTTCTCTCCAAATGCACTGATAGTAATTATAGTGCACTATACAATTTTTTCAACATATCATCATTCTTCAACTAATATCATATAGATAAGAGCTGTTTCTCATGATATGTACCGATAATACTTAAGTATTTATTGTATGTTATTGATTTTTATAATACTTTTTCGATGTTTCTTGATCGACATTTAAAAATAATCCCTGAAAATTGTTTTTTATTAACAATAAAAAGCAATCAAATGATTCATTTGTAATACGAATTCCTAAAAAAAAAAGGCTTGGAATTTTGAGTACAACACTTATATAACTGATAAATAATGAAATCTAAATATCTAAGCTTTGTGCAGTTTTGTAGATGTTTGATTGACATTTTATAATTATTACTATAAAGAGTTTCATTTCAGTGAGCATACCTGATAATTGAAAACTCCACAGCAAACATCTGCATGAGTAGTTTTGTTTCGAAAAAAGATCGATTGAAAACTTCGAAAAAAGGAACCCAATGAAAAAAACTGTACTATATATAATATTTGATGCATCTTCATTTCTTCTTTCTACAGGTGAAAGTCACTATTGTATATGTTGGGTCTATCAGAAATTACTGAAAATATATACACTCACATGTTTTTCTTTGAAAATGATTTTAGTATTGTCGTCATTTATCATAAAAATTCAGAAAGTTTTGTCAGTCTTTGTATACGACATTGAAGACACTCTGTAATTTCTTTTTTGTATGCTCTGAGTAGATTTCGATAAAAATTTCATTGTTTTCGAGTATATTTTAGTCAATACTCTACCGACTCTTTATTGAGAGAATAGGGGTGTTAATTTATATTTACTTTATTTTATAAACATAAATAAAAATCTTTATAGTTACTTGAAAAATAAAGAAAATATAAAGATAAGTATAAGATTTTTTTCTATTAGCGAAAAAGAAACAAATCTGTGCTGTAACAAGAGGATATGTCAACTAGAAGTTTGCAGCATGCAGGTGTTCAGTCTTTTAAAGAAACCCTGTTATTAATTACGTGACGTGCCAAGAAATGGAGAACTGTTTTATTCATTTACTGAGTTCTTAGTTGACTGGTAGTGAAAGAAAATTGTATAATAATTTCGATCGATTTTAAGAGTGAGTCTTCTACCTAACATCTATTTGTGATGCCATCAAAAGTTTTCAAATTTAGGTTTGATGTTGCTCCTACACTATTATGAAAATCGATTCGTAGGAAACATTACATGACCTTCATGCTGGTCAGATCTAAATTCTTTTTTTAATGGGTTTGAGTAAACACAAAAATTAGCCAGTTATAGACACCTACATTCTTAAATATCTAGTTCAATAAAATCGTGGAGAAAAATGTCGAAAAACACTATCTTGTTGAAGCTTTCTTTTATATATCCATAAAACGTCTACAATAGTATTTTTTTTTGAACGCGGCAAGCTACATTTCAAAACGTTAAGTAAATTTTCACAAAAAAATTCGAAGCAAAAAGTAACAAAAGGATTTTCTTTCATATAAGTATATCGAACATTTTACTATTTCATTTTCATCAGCTCGTGTAAAATCTTCATTTGGTTGTTTGTTTTAGTTTTCTCTCCTATTGAAACTTTCAAGAATAATGCTTTAGAGTACTTTATATATGCTATTAATCATTTTGTTGATCTACGTGAAAAATTCAAATAAACCTATAAGGTTTTTTTTGACACCACCAAATCGATTGATGTTTCTATGTGAATATCGATTTCGCTTTTTTTAATCTGGTATTTGATATACCCTATGATAGTATTATGGCACCATGGAAAACGTTTGTTGTCAACATATCCTTCTGAACATCAGATCAGTCCTGAGTGTTAGATACCCTTTTAGTGCTAATCCTAGATGAACTTCTTTAAATTGATACTATCTGATTTTGACGATTTTATAACAATAGGGAACATTTAGATAAAGACATTTGATGATTGACATCATAATGAATCATGCACTGTTCAAATACGATTAATGTAACTGTTAAAGCATTATGCACACTATTACATGAAATTAAAATCTATTAATTATCTAGAGATTGTTACACATTCGAATACGATAATGACTACAATAAGGCTAGATGAGTCTCATTTATAGGAGATTTTGCAAGTGCGCACGGACTGCCAAAGCATTATTATTACGTAAAAAGATGGAATCGTCAAGAGCATATGGTGTGTCTCGAACATTTAAGTACTGGCATAGCCTGCAATGTTTGAGTCATCAGCGATTTATTGATTAGACTTTTTTCAGTAGTGGAAAGTTATGGGGGAGGGTCACTGTGTTTGAACAATCAGCAGGCGATAATTCTTGGGAGGTTAATTACTTGGCACCCCTTCAAAAATCCTGCAGAAAGTAACACATTGAGCCATAGCTTATTATCCACTGGTTCGTCGCTGGATATGCCTTCACATACAAGTGACTAAAAATACGTATATATAATGTTTGTGCTAAAGGAACCCTTTTCAATAGTTTCATGCTAAGATAATACTGAATATATTTCATTTTTTTATATGTAATTATATATAGAGCAGAGACCGAAACGAATCGAAGTTTTTCGATTAAAATTCGGTTCAGTTCGGTTCGTTTTCGATCTCTGATATAGAAATAAATTTTTAGTCCATATTAATATAGCAACACTCTGTCATGCAATAACTTTTATTTCATATTTATATGAGACAGATGGTATCTAATCGCGAAGAAACGATACGAATCAGACGTATTTGTTCATTATCTTCAGATGAAAGATATCAATCATGGAGAAGAGAAAGATATGAATTAGATAGTTAATTAGCTGTAGCTAATATTTTTCTGGGATGAAGTTAGAAAAGCCATAAACTAAAATGATGAGCTTGTAGTCTTTGCTTATGTCCTTGTCGAGACAAAATGATTAGACTATCAAAACGAATAACAGACAGTCGGGTGAACATTGATTAAAATTGTATAAAAAAAAATACCTTTCGTGATCGAAGCTTCAAATTTATTTTGATAGGGCCCTTATTAAAGGAAGAAGGGATTAAAAAGAATTTATATTATGAGTTTACTTGAGGACTGCCTGGAATGCTGTGGTTCAGTTAGAGGATAAAGATAGCTCTGCTCAAGAAAATATATTATCAAATAAAGTGATGAGCTTGTTGTTAGTTTTTTTACATTCCTGTTCTGCACATTCGATTTTACGATTGACGAAATGTATTTAATGAATGAATTTCTTCTAGTTGACATATCCTGTTGTTACAGCACAGATTTGTTTCTTTTTCGCTAATAGAAAAAATTTTTATATTTATCTTTATATTTTCTGTATTTTTCAAAAACAAAAAAAGATTTATTTATATTATATTTTATACATATAAAGACTTTGCTTATCTTTATTTTTCAAATATAAAGATTTTATTTATATTTATTCTTTAATATTAAGGTCCATAAAGATAAAGTAACACCCCTAGGGCAGAACGCAAAAAAAGCTTAATCCAATCCTTAATGTTTGTTTTGCTCAGGTCCATTCCAAGTTTTACCATAGAACTGAGGATGCCACATTATATGAAGATTATGTTTTTCTTTTTGTGTTACATTGAATAAAAACACTTCTTATTTATCGAAATCTTCTTTACGCACATTATTATCTGAACAAAATGTGGAACCATGAACGAAATAAAGCCGATACCAATATTCCTCATGATTCACCACCAGCTTATTCACTTCATCAACACGCGTGTCTCACACTTAATAGGACTGATCGTCTACGATTTATTCGATTTCCGGCAATTGTTATTGATGCTGTTCGACAGGCTATTCTCACTAGTTGGTGTCCTGGTTTACAAAAAGAGAAAGAATATGGGGGTGTACATGAATTTAAATTAAATGGAAATCCTTGGCAAGGTCAAGGCAGTGAAGCAGTAGAGTCTCGAATTATGATGTATGTTTTTATCGAATTAACTGCATGTTCGTTCTTTTTTCTATACATAGGTTATCGATTCTTTCAGCCTTACATCGTCATGGTTGGTATCTTTTGATGTCAACTGATGTTTCCAGAAAACAACAAGACAAGGATTCATTGATTTTTCAACTTGGTGTTCCTCCAGGATCAACATCATTTTTTGCCGTTTCTTTTAATGAAGGGGACAAGTTGCGTTTGATTGGTGCTCCACATGAATTAATACGTGCAATTCATCAAACTATTGGTACAGATAGCATACAACGCGAAGAACGGATTTATTCAGAAGCAGCTTATCAATTTAAATTGTATAGAATATTATTTTGTTTTTATATTTTAGTTTGCATAAATTTTTACTTACAACAGGGTCGGATTTCCATGGGAAGCTGATGGTGACGAAGCAGTCACTAGTCGACTGATGCTTCTCGCTCTGCTTGACTGTTTTACTTCGTTCGGTTGGCAATTACATGCTAGTATTGATATGAGTATTGGGCGTGAAGGTCGTGATACTGATACTTGGTTTTTTCGCCGATGTAATCCATGATTATTCATATAACTTGTCAGAATTCAATCATCAATACACAGCTCTTGAATGAACATTATTTTTTTAAAGATTTTCTATTATTCCACTAAAAGAAAGAATGATGTAACAGTAAGAATAAAGAGCTGATGTTAGTGTGGATCTTCTTGCATCCTTTCACTTCCATTAGTTCGAATTTTTTATAATCATCACTTTCAAAATAAAATGAGCTCCATTGTTTATTGAATAACTTTTCATAGGAACAAGATAGAGACCTGTAGTTTTCAATATTCGAGAGAGAGGATCCGAAGCTGCCAAAGCATATGAAAATTCAATCGATCAGCAATTAACAAATCAGGCCAATTCTTAATGATTTTTTTGACAAACAATATTCAGAAGCTATTTCCATTTTGATCGACCGCAAAACTGCCGTTTCTAGTTTGTATCGTTCGAGAATTATAAGACTTTTAATGAAAGCTCTGATTTTTATGTCAAACAGCAATCTCCACCTTATGAAACACTTAAGTCAGGTCGAAACACGTGCTGTGACTCATTGTGACTGTTCGCAGCTATTGTACTCACTCACATCCACACTCAAAATGAATTTGATGAATCATATATATTAATTGTTGATTCGCGAAAAGCGAACGAAGAGGAGGAAATGATTGAGATGATGTTTGTTTGACTGTTACTTCAACAAGATTTTGAACTTGATTGTAGTCAGAATTATTAAAATATGTTTGTTTGAGCTTCAAAGAAGATGGAGAAGGTGAACGAGAAATTGAAGATCGATCAGATTTTGATGCTGATACTGTTTCTTTCGTGTAAGACTTTTTAAAAAGAAACTTAATCAGTAATCTTATGATAGATTTCTTTATCAGTTTCATTTAGTTTATAAGACATATCTTTTGGGAACATTATAATTGATCAGTAAAAAAAGATATGAATGATCAGTATAAATATTGAATGCTCAGTACTAAAATGATCAGTAATTAATTGTAAAATGATCAGTTTTTTATATATAATTACCAGTAAAAAAAGATAAACTTGATCAGTACAAAATATATTTGATCAGTAGAAAAATAAGTTTTGCTCGTATAAATTATAATTTAGTATAAGAAAAATAAAGTTGAATAAATAAGAAAAAAACAAAATAAATAAAAAATCCAAAAGAACATTTAATACAGTGGGTGTGGGTGTAGATCTTTTATTCATTCACACCCACACCCACACCCTTCTGTATGGTTTGTTTAGTGTTTTGACCATTTATGTTTAATTGACGCTTCTGCTTCGCCAACATTATCAAATCTACCTTCTTTAATCCAACATTTAATTTCTCTTTTTTTGAAATTCTTTCATTTCCATTTATTCCATCCTTTTCTTCCACAACCTCTTCGTCTGATATATCACTTTCATATTGAGCAACTTGTACGACTTTCATCTTTTTACTCGTTGACACTAAGCTGAATGTGAAAGAAAGAAGCTAAGAGTACATTTATATATGTCGTACTTGTCAGCTGTACAACATATAGACGAAAAGAACAAAGAAGAAAAGAAAGTGAATCACCTTATAACACATTNCCTCATCCTTTGTGATCTAGTACTATGAGCACAAATGATAACAAAAAAAAAAGTGTTATCAAAAATTTATTATCATATTATTATTTGAAGTATGATCAAATAGCATAGCAAAATAGAGCACTCTTTTCTCTATTAGACTATATAGAAAGAAAGTTTTTTTTAAGCTTACTATATGGCTATGTAACGTCGTGATCAGAACTTTTGGTACACCCTAAGTAAAATTTATCAATGAATTTTAATCGATAAAAGAAACTAGGAAAAAATCAAAATAAAAGTTTAAAATCAGATTATAATTCAATAAAAATCTGATATTTTAATCGATTTATAATCGTCTTTATGCATGAGCTACATTCTTTTTATATGTCCAAGGACAGAAAAATGTGAAAAAAATGCTCTATGACGATTGCTGTTGTATTATCTCATATCTTCATAGCAGTTTTTGAAAATGATCATCAAGTAGAATTATTAATAGAAAGATTTTGTTCTGAAAACTACTATTTTTTTTCAGCAGTCAACATTAAACAATAGGAATGCAAAGCATCCCAATCTTAAAAGCACTGAAAAAACAATAGAAATCTCAATTGTATTCTTTGGATTACACAAAAGTACGACATGAAAAGGAAGTAGTAGCACTCAAACATGATTTGTTTGCTCTATGTGAACTATGGATGATTGATATCTCACGTTTTAGGGGAAAAAACCAGAACACATGTATAAGTGATATGTCGCCTAGTCTAGATTAATTGTTGGTTTTTGTTTTATTGAATCATGCACATTGATGAAGTATTCTATTCGAAAAAATAGACCAATTGAACTTTTTTGAAGATTTTGATTAAAATTTCATTGTTCCAGGATAAGCTTCATGACGCAAATCCTCCAGCTGATGATTTGCTTTTGAGTTAAGACTATGTGGATTATGTAAATTCAAATGAGTTATGAATAACCTAAAAAGAGTTCTTATCCTTAGCTTATTGCTAAGGCGTGTACTTGGATTTGGACCGATGTGGCTGAATTCTTAAAGTGGGCCATTTTGTACCGGTTAAATCAGGAATTCCAACTGGTCAATTCAGTTCGGCTGAAAAAATCCAACCATATCTTGTATACTATGGCAATACTACACTTTGGTGATATTTTTTAAATGAATGTCGTGATCCCCTTCAGGAGCACTAGGAGAACTGATTTTGAAATTTCGACTTTAAGCTTTTAAATGAAACAAATCTCAATGAGATTAGCTTATTGTAAATGTTTTAGATCTTCTCTCTGTTTTTATTCTAACATATAACTATGATAGTAGTGTGTCTTCCGCTACTCTCATAGAAGTCGTCAGATTTTATGTTTTTATTTCATGATAGAAGCAAATCAAAAGATCTAAAACTTTCATAATGAACTATTCTCATTGAGAGCTGTTTCTATGAGAAATTTCAGATAGAAATTTTAAAATCAAGTTGTATGTTGTTACGACCAGGATCACAGAATTCATCTAGAAAAACCGTCAAAATGCGCTAATACCGTAGCAATAAGCTAAGAGTACGAACTCTTTTCAAAATATTCAAAACCCATTTCATCTACATGACACAGATAGTCTCGACTCAAAAGCGATTTATCACTTGCAGAACTTTGCTTGATACTTAATACTCTATCAACTTCTTATGAGTTAAATGCAAAAAAATGTAAACCAATCATCAGTCTTTGTCTTGCTCATACGTATTTCAAGTATTACCATGGAACTGAAAAATGCTAAGAATAGTAGTGGATGAATCGTGATATGCAAAATATTTTCTTTTTTTGTTATCTATTAAATTCAATATAATATTTTTTATCAAATCTTCATCACAATTCAAATTATATGAAACTCCTTGGCACGGTCAAGAAAGCGAAGCAGTAGAGTCTCGAGTTATGATGTATGCTTTTTATCAAATGAATTTCATGTTGATCATGTATTTATGTTTGAATTCATTGATTTTTAATTCGGTGTTTCTCCTCTAACAACATAATTTTTTGCTGTTTCATTCAATGAATGGAATAAGTTACGTTTGATTGGTGTTCTACATGAACTCATACATACAGTTCAACAAGCTATTGGCACAAATGAAATACAACGCGTAGAATGGATTTATTCGACAACAGTTTATCCATTGAAATTGTATATAATATTATTTTCTTTGAGCTAGTCTATATAAAGTTTTAATTGCAAGCGTAGTTATCCATCGGTAGCTGAGGATGGTAAAGCAGTCACTAGTCGAATGAAACTTCTCGCTTTACTTGACAGTTTCATATCGTTCGGATAGAAATTACATGCAAATATTGATATGAGTATAGGTTACGAAGGTTGTGATATTGACACTTGGTTTTTTTGTCGAAGTAATCACTGATTAATTATATTGCTTGCCTGAATGCATACATTCATACAAACACCTTAAATGAACGTTGCTTTTTTTTAATGCTTTCCTATTATTGCAATAAATCTCTTTGCATTATATGATTTGTGTTTATATCATCTCGTTAAGGTGATGAAGGTAAAAGCCATTATCTTTTAAATCACTATGGTGCTTTTGAAATTAAACTTTGAAAAAAAGAAACTAGCATGTAATAGAAAGCTCTAGAGTTTATCAATACAAAGAAGGTTTGTCAGATCTTGTTGAATTCTACAGAAACTTCGTCAAGTAAAGAGTACTTTGACATGAAAAGAACATCGGTTTCCACTGTATGCATTAAAGTTGTAAAAGTTCCGAATTGAGACGGAATTTTTGAAAACTAAATAGTACATTTTCTAGTTAACTGTCGAGACTACAAACTTTCTATTCAAAATTTTTTCTGAGCATGGCTAGATTTTTCTAAAAATATCGATTTTTTTTTCGTTAGTGACGTGACCGAGTACGAATATACAAACAAACAAAAATGCTTTTATAATCGAATGAGACGTTCAAAACAAATTCAAAATGATATAAATCCTTGGTCAAAATTTCTCCAGGATGATAAGGCAAAAGTTTTTTTTTTGGGACTTAATAGGGTCTATAGAAAATCGGTATTTAAGAGAAAGCTGTTTGGAGTTTGATTTTGCCAACAATTTTGTTATAGATGTGATGCGTGTCGCACAGTCTATCCTGATATTTTTGAACTTTTTCTGGGATGATTAGAGAGCTTTTTGATAATTACTTTTTAATTAATAGTTAACTGAAAAATCAAACATTTTTTGATATATCTATGCTAAAAGAACTTATTCAGAAAAAAACTTTAAAGAATCAAAAGTCAAATGAAAGGTGAGTATGTCTCGTTTTATCTGACACGGTCTTTATATGGTTCATATAATTATAATAACTATATATCTATTGATATTATATACAAATTAAAGATTAATAGTAATATTTAGCATCAAATAATAAACAAGTTTTCTTGCTTTTATAGGAATATGCCGTGTAATATATATTATTCAAAATAAAAGTCTTAGTTTATAATAATAAATTATTTTTAAAATAATTTCAACAAACAAAAACAGTTTGTAATAGAATCAATGAGTTTAGAATAAGGACGAGAAGACATTGAAGTACTTTCACTTCAGTTCGCTCAAATCGGCTGATTGGTTTCGTTAATGGTAAAAATTTATTTAAAGTTTTTTTTTTTTATACAAATAACGCAAACAAATACCAGTGTCAATTTTTTTTTCATCTAGTAGTTCTATACGAGAGCGTGCAAAAGCTTAGTAGAGCACAAGTTCTGTATCATACGATCTTTCTTCTACTTCACTGACTTGTCTTTATTGACATCGGATAATGATGCATAGCGAGTTCATTGTCTGTTTAATGATGATATAAAAGTCGCAGATTGTGTACCTAAACAAAAGAAAGACAAACAAGCAAACAAAAATCTGACACATAGTCGTATTGCTCCAACCGTGGAATATTGGTGAAATATCAAGGACATATTCTTTGTTTCCGGCTACAAAATGAAAAGTAGAAAATATGATTAAAAAATTGATTTTCTTAAGAGAAAGAAATGTACCCGATACTAGAGTCCAAAACGGATCACATTCGGTGGAATCATAAAAATTTGACTCGTGCCGGATACTGTCCTCTATTACCTTAAATTCACGAGTCCTGTTTGATTTTCTGTTTTTCTTTGCAATTATTTTAAAAATAATTTATTACAATAAACAAGGTTTTTTATTTTGAATGATACTTTATATCATATATCTCAGTAAAAATTGTATACTACTATTCATCTTTAATTAATGGATAATATTAATTATTGATAAATTAATGAACATCGAACGAAATAAAATAATTTAATGATTATTCATATGAATGGATATAGAATTGTTGGTTTAACATCATAAAAGTTATGAGATGTCAGTGAGAAAATAATAATAATACAAAAATATATTCTATACATGAAACAATGAAATATTGATTTCCTGGTCATTAGAGAGATTTGCATAAAACCATATGAATATAATTCAGTCAAATATAGAAGTTCATTTTCAATGACTGGCTCGATCTATTTGACAACCATCTCGAATTCCTTTCAACAGATTCTAAAGAATAGTCTGTACTTGATGAATTTTTTTTTGTAGAACTCAACAACCTTTAACAAATCTTCTTTGTATTGATAGATTCTAGAGCTTTCTATTATATGTCACGTCTTTTCATAATTTAACTTTAAGATTTCTACAGAAATCAGAAGAAGTTTAAAGACATGATTTTTCCTTCTTCTATCATTTAACGAGAAGATACTGAAGTTCGCAAAAATTGGTCATTTTGGTCCAAAACTCGGGAAAGTGGTAGAAACTTTGGAGGAAAAATGCAATGGCTGTCGCAGCTCAATTACAATCGGAACTAGAAAAATTCGACCATTCGATCAAATCATCGGATTTCTGCGTCCGGTATGAATCTGTCGGGAATGCATGTATTCCGACACCAAAATTATTGATCGCAATATAAACGTAAATCATTTCACATTTCAAAGAAATTTTATTGCAAGAATAAAACGTCTTAAGAAAATAGCGTTCATTTGAGATGTGTGTGTGAATAATTGCATTCTGACAAATAACGTAAATAATCATCGATTACTTCGACGACAAAACCAAGTGTCAGTATGAGAACCTTCATGACCTGTACTCAAATTAATGCTTGCATATAATTCCCAACCGAGTGATTCAAAACAGTCGAGTAACTCAAGAAGTTCCATTCGACTAGTAACCATTTTGTAATCAATGGCTGTCCATGGACGATTATGCCTGTAAATAAAAATGTATGTAAATTAGAAAATAAAAATATAGTAATACTATATACAATTTAAACTGATAAGCTGTCTCTGAATAAATCCATTTTTCATGTCTAATATCATTTGTACCAATAATTTCCTGAACTGCAGATATTACTTCATATGGAGCACCAATTAAACGTAATTTATCTCGTTCATTGAATGAAACAGCAAAAAATGATGTTGTTGGAGGAGGAACACCGAGTTGAAAAATCAGTAAATCCTTATCGTGTTGTTTTTTGGAAACATCCGTTGACGCCACAATATACCAACCTTGATGATACAAAGCTGATAAAACTGACATCCTAAACATAGATACAAGATGAAAGTGAAGTTAATTTGATAAAAAAAAAGCATACATCATAACTCGAGATTGTACTGCTTCGATTCCTTGACCGAGCCAAGGATATCCACAAAACTTGAATTCATATGCACCTGCATATTCTTTCTCGTTTTGTAAACCACGAGGCCAACTAGCGAGAATAGCCTTTCGAACAATGTGGATAGTCGTTGCCGGAAATCGAATGAGTCGTAGACGATCAGACTGATCAAGTGTGAGACACGCATGATGACGAGTTGAGTTAGTTGATGGCAAGTCATTAGAAATAGCAGTACTGTTTTCAATAAATTCATGTTTCGACATTGTTTTTGTGTGAAGGATGCACGTAATAATGTGATGGTAAATTATATTTTATTGAATGTTACAGAAAACGAAAAAAGAAATATATTTTCATATCAAGTGTCTTCATGTGTGTAACTGTTATTTACCGTCACACTTCACTTCTCATCTCTTCGCCGCAGTCAATGATTACATGTTCGTGAACCATGAAATCAATCACGAGTACTTAACATTCACTTAAGATGGGTATGACGATGATTGTATTGTAACAAGTAACATAAATAATTATCGATTACTGTGGGGATTCGGACTCGGAAGATAGAAAGAGAAATTCTAATGATGATAATGAATTCAATGAAAGCAAAAGAAAAAAATGGTTCTTAACTTTATCTGTTACTAGAATATATAAACAGGAGGAAAATGAACAATTTCTAAATAATGACATTACAATTAAGCAAAATACTTTTTTTGTTTTACAAAGTACCATTAATGTACTCTGTTTTTTTTTCTCCGTAAAGTGCAAAACATAGTACTTTTACAAAATCGTAGATATCTTGGCTACTTTATTTTTTGCTGCGGATGTTTAATATTATAAGAGCTTGATGAAATGCCAATTACTTTCGAATTCGAAATTCACTAACGCACTTGGAATGAAACTCATGTTCACAAACTGTTGTTTGCAGCATATAAAGCTTATCACTGACAAAAGACTATCTATCATGTTAAATTGTTCTTGCAAACTAAAATTAGAGAGTTATACTAAAGCAGTAGAATTGATTTCACAATATCTTTCATCTGTGTTTGTTTTCATGCGAAATCCATCAAAAGTATTGTCATACTGTGACTGAAGTGTAGCGCCGCCATTCCCATGAAACAAGCTTTTCACGAAAATAAAATATATGCGTGAATATGTCTTCTGATTTAATACATTTCGGTTACAATTGTTTTCTGTTGTTTCTAATCAAACTAGCTCTCACGCACTGTAGGACAAATAACTGTTGCACAGAGCATGGGACTTGTTATGAAATTTTTCTTTAGTTTTCTATTAATTTCAACACAATAATTTTTCCCACGGCATACTTCATTATCATGCGTGTCTCACACTTAATCAGTCTGATCTTCCCCGACTTATTCGATTTCCGACAAAGATTATTGTTGTTATTTGACAGACTATTCTCGATAGTTGGCCTTGTAGTTTACAAAAAGAGAGACAACATGCAAGTGTATGTATATGAATTCAAATTATATGGATACCATTGGCAGAGTCAAGGATCCGTTATTTGCAGGTGTGATTATCCATGAACAGGCAATGATGAAGAAACAATCGCTAGTCGAATAAGACTTCTTGCTTTACTCGATTGTCTTGCATCGTTCAGTTAGAAATTCATGTAGGCACAAATATAAGTACGAGTCCTGAAAGTTATTATACTGACATTTGGTTTTTTCATCAATGCTATTAATAGTTATTTATATTACTAGTTAAGAGAGAGACTCATTTGCACACAGATCTTAAATGAATGTTGTTTTTTTAAGACTTTCTATTATTACAATAAAATGTCTTTGAAGTAAAAGATAATTTACTTTTATATCCAGACCGATGATTCTATAAAGACTCAGGAGATTAATATTTCATCGTATTATATATAGAAAAAATATTTTATTTTATTTTGTTGATATCTCATGACTTTTGTAATGTTAAACCAACAATTCTATATTCAATCATTTGAATAATAATTGAAATAATTTTTTCACTCGTTATTGGTTGACTTATCAATACTTTTCTGATAAACACATATGTATGGACCAAATAGTTAATATAAGTATTCATCAACGTATATAATATAATACATAAATTAAAGGTTGATGGCAGTATACAGTTTTTATTAATAAAAAAAAACTTTGTTTTCTTGTTTAATTATATACATATATATAATATGATGTATCGTTCAAAATAAAAACTCTTGTTTATAATTTAAAATTATTTTTAAAACAATTTCAACAAAACAAATCAAATAGAATTAAGGAATCAAAAATAATACTGAATAGACCAAAAATAAACCACTACAATAAAAACCTAAAGTATTTCTGATTCGTTTCACTCGAATGGATTGATAATTCGGTTGGTAACAGACCTTGATTTAAAGGTTTTTCAAAAGGTAACGTAAACAAACACTATTGTGAAGTGATATTTTTAGCCTTATTGAAGAAATTTTCTGTGTTGTCAAGCAGAAAAAATACATATGAAGTGTTTCATAGACAATTTTCAATGGTGATCTAAGAGTAAGTTTTGAATTATTATTTAGTTCGTGTGTTGACATATTATTATATGTGCATCAATAATAGTATCATTCTTTAGGTTGGTTTTGATTTTTTCGTATTATTTTCTGAAAGTACAACTGAAAATTATCTATGAAACGCTACATATTTATTTTTCTTACTAGGTAACAGGCCATATAACTTCCACTACTAAGAAATGTTTGAACCGACGCAGAGATATTCCTATTTTTTTTATTGCAGCGATATTTATGGTCAATTTTGATTAAAAATTGAATATGAGTAATAGTTGAACATTTAATATTCTAGTCTTAATGTGGATGAGACTCTTCAGTAGACTGAATTAATTTGTTTTTTTTTGTCGTCGTAGATGACGATCCTAATGAATAAAGAAAATAAAATAAAATAAAATGAACTTAGTATACTATTTGTAAATGTATACTTTGTCGATTGAATTCGATGAAGAAATCGATCGTTTTTTATTTTTCTGTCTTTCTTCCTTAATACTAAAGTTATGTGAACAATGAGGACATGTAATATTGTCTAAAACTAAAGCTTATTAATTGAGATTTGTAGAAAATAGAATGCATACCTGATGGCTTTGATTTTTCTTCTAAATTACAAATGATACAAATATGTTAAGAAAACAAAATAAGTATATACTTTTTTATCTTACTTTCAACAATTTCATTTGACATAACTGTTGTTTTTGTAAATCGAATAAATTCATTATTATTATTAATAAATCCAAGAGAAAATGCAACTATTGCATGAGAAAGTTTATAAGCATGTTCTAAATCTTCAATAGTCTTACAATCTGCAGTCCAATCTAAATATTTTATTATATATATATATATATACATTAACTTATTGTGTTGCAACATGTACTTGACTGTTCCTGTTCGTTAAATAATCGTAATGATGATACATTGATTAAATCATTATGACGTGTTTTAACTATAACCAATTTTACTCTAAAATTCAACTATTTATTTTCGTTTTAATATGAAAATAACCTACTCAATTTGTCCTTTGTTAAAATGTTCTTCTGTGAAAGGAATCAAGAATGGATTCAGATCCAAAATTGTCTTATCTGTATTATTTAATTGAAATTTGTTGACGTGTATGTAATATTGTCGATCTCTAGGTACTGTTAGAAGAGCTACTTCAAGGAAATAATTTTCAAGTTTGTCAGGACGTTTGAAGCCAGGTGGAAACTGAAATTATATGAAGACAAAAATTTAAGTTTTTTTTGTACATATATGTATACTTTTATAATAATATTTTTGTTGCCGCCAACAGAATGAACGTAATGAGGTGATTGTGGTTTATTCGCATTCTTACCACCAGTAGGAAAATAATCCGTTTTATATCGAATATCAACTAATGACTTTAAGTCTTTCGATAAAATGAGTTTTTGATTAAACAAACTCCCTTCATAATCATAATATTCATCTAAAAATAAAAACAAATACAGAAAAGATTATTAAAAAAATAGAAATAAATATACCTCCATCAAATGTATTACAAGCAACCAAATTACTCGATGAATCTATTACATGCGAGAGATATAATGAATGTTTACAATAATATCATGCCTACTTTGATTTGAAATTGACGGAAGAGTACCACCATAATTTTTCAGTATTTGCTGTTTGTTGATAATATTATTTCCTTGAACAATTTGTTCATGGAGTTGAGAATAGTCGGTGTCTGTTGGAAAATTCGACCTATAAATAAAACACAAATCAATCTAATTATGCTAGCTTGTGGCATAACAGATTAAATTTACTCTTTGACATCTGCTCCATTATTATTTGACATGTTTGAAGTTTTTTTTGTTAATCTTCGGATAAAAATCTATAAATGGCAAAATTAAATTAATTATCAAATGAACTTCTTTATTTTCATGTAATGTTTATCAACAATGCATATGAAAAAAAACAGATATGATGCTAAAAGAATAACAAATAAGAAGATTGAAAACAAAAAAAATTACTTCGACTATATCTTTGTTTTTATAAACGTCCATTCGCTTTTTTTTTTCTAACTGAATTCTGTATTTATAATGGATGATGCAATTCTTTTTTTTCTTATTCCCTTATTTTCATATTATTTGTTTGTATATTTCTTGATGTTTCTTGTTCCATTTGAATACGATTCATTAATTTTACGAACGAATAGAAACAAAAAAAAGTTATAAATAAGTAGCGCTTTAACTTGTTTCAATAACATTTTTTTTCTCTTATCTCATCACTCATATAATCAGCTGTTACATATATTGTTGAGTCATTTGACATCGATGGTAGAAAGAGAACAGAAAAATAAACACACATTTTTTTATTAATCATAATAATTTCTAAATATTGTTACTCATAAATGTTGATCTTATTCATTTCTAATGTTTAATATGTTTCATCGTTTATTTTTCAAAAGAATAAATATACAAAATCTTTTTATTAATTATAAATTTATATTAGAAAATTATTTAACAAAAATTAAAAATTTCAATTTCTAAATAATAATTTCGAATACAAAAGATTGTAGTTTTTCATAAATTTGTTAATCGTATTTATCAAGATCGATTGATTTCTTTCTTAGATACTTCTTCTTTTTTTTTTTTTCTTCTGTCTCGTTTATATGCATATTGATCTGCAAAAACATGGATCATGAACAACGATTGCTTGTTCGTCTGCCCGTTAGTCTAATCCTAGTATAAAAGTTTTGATCTTTACATAGCGTCAGAGAATAGACAATGGATGCAGAAAGAACGGGCGAGAGCGAAATTGACCTCTGAACAACCTTTCGGCCACCAGTACGAGTATATGCACGCATACACACACACACGAGAGAGAAAGAAGATGTGAAGAAAGTTTATATACACGGACACGCACACACATGCGCAGCAGGAGAGCTGCAGAGGACAGACAACAGAGAATGGATAGATGAACGGACGAACGAACAAATGGCTCGACCACGAACTTTCTCTCTTCCCTTCTTGTATGTGTATTCTACGTGCACTGATACTCTGATAGCATGAGAGAATAAGAGAGAGAGGGAAAGAGCCGTTAAAGAGAAAGTGATCGACGCAGAATCCCTTCACGGCAGCACTCAACACACTACTACAGCACAAATTCTCTCTCTTCGCTTTTTCTTGCTACGTGCTCGACGACGGCGTCCAGAAGATTCTGTTCGTCGTCGACGACGGCGTTGAGAGTTCTCCTTTTTTTCTCTTCATTACCACCCTCAACACCAAGTCTCACAACACACGGGCATATGCATTTACACATACAGCACTCATGGAGGTATAGAAGAACACGAAAGAGACCCGGCGTGCTTTGGATTTTTCGACACTCCCAACAGTCGCTATGTCGAGGAGAAGCCGAGAGATGAACTTTACATATAGAGCGAGTGCGTGTATGTGTATGCCTCTGTTACATGATCTGGAAAGAAGAGAGAGAAGGACGAGATATAGAGTAGGTTTTCGGGATGACAACGATAGTAAAAAAACGCGCAAAAAACGAGAGAGAGAAAACGATTTTAGGGGGTGTCCTTCTATTTTTTTTTTCTTTTATCTATTACACGCACCGGGTTTAGCAAGTAAGACGTAGAAAGCTAGAAGAAAGAGAACGACAAGGACAGAAATAGGGCGTTGGCTTTCAAGCTTTCGTTCGGGACATGTATATGCTTGAAGGTTCTTCATTTCTTGATGCGCCATAGTTTCTCGATGGAATTGTTCGATAGCATCAATAAGTAAAGCCGTTCTCTTTAAACTCTCTCTATATATATATACGTGTGCTAATTCCCAGACCGAGTTTCATTCAGTGCAAACTATTGTATTCTCATTAATATTTTATTCTAGAATTTAATCAAAAGGTTATGTTTTTTTCATATAAAAGAAAAAAAACAAAACAAAACAAAGCACATCGTTTTTAATTATTATAACGTAAATATGTTTAATTTATCTCTAAGAAGAACTGACTGGGGAGTAAAGCAGAACGAACAAGAAAATAAACGTACTTATAATGTCGTTCTCTATAACTGTCTTTCGTGTATTAGTGTATAGTAAGAAAAAAAAGAACGACCGAATTGGTTTAATGCAATGCACTTTAGTAAAATAGAGTGTATGAATAGCAAGGAAAAGGTTTCTACATCTGTATTATGTTCCATAAATTGCACATATTCATGACATTATCTCATATGCATCGTTAAATAAAAAGCATTTCCATATATATATATATATACATATATATACAATGTATAATGGACGATGTCCATTCTGTTTTCTTTCATATCCTTCTTATTATTCTTATTCTTGCCCTTTTCTTCATTCTGAAATTCTTCTTTTTCTTTTTTTTTTCTTCTCAAACAACTACCAATAGACCAGATGTTGTTGGCGTCGAAAGAGAGATTTGAGTCAGTGACAAGAGCGGGCGGACGAAAGGAAAAAAACGGGGAGAAAAGTCGTCGCTCGCCATCATCATTCATAGGTAGTAGTAGTCCGCCAGGAAGAAAGATTGTATGTACAAACGCACACGCACACACGCATAGACATACATGCGTGGGCATAAGCACAAAAACACATAAATCGTCCGTTCAGCAGCCGTCCAGCAACGTTTTCTCTGTGTTTTTTCTCTCGTGCGTCCTTCCTTCCTTCCTTTCCTTCAAAATTCAGACGGACATACATAAACCTCTTTTCTCTGTACATAGATCCATTGACACCAGAACGTCGAATCGTGTATTTTGTAGACAACGATCGCTTATTTCTCTCTCTCTCGTCTTCTTCTTCGTCTTCTCTCTTTTCCTTCTCATCGAACGACGACGAAGAACCGGCAAACTCCGTATATTAGTTCACATTCTTATGCTGAACTGCTACTGACCGCATATACACAAATTTATACGTAGGCAAATATAATGGATTCGGCAGTAGTTTCTACGGTAAAATATTTTTTGAGTTTTTTTTTTGTTTTTTTTGCAAAATCTAACTTTTAAATCGATTTGTAGAAATCGCCTGTATCGCAATGGGATGCTGATGCTGTTGTTGCTTGGCTTCATGAATCAAATTTTGGCGCATTTGAAAAAGTTTTTCGAGGTAAACATACATACAGAAAAAAAAATACATTAAATTTTTTAGTATTAAAAAGAAAAAGTCGGTCGAAAACATTAGAACTATGTATTTTTTTTTTCTGTTTCGATGATTTCAAAGAAGGCAAAAGAAAAAAAAGGCGTTGTCTCATTACGTATTATGTGTTGATAATGATGAGGATAAAAAAAGAAAATTATCATTTCTTTCGTCATATTATCATAAATAATCATGTTTATTTTCGTCATCAATTTAGACAATGAAATTGATGGTCCAACACTTCTTAAACTTAGTGAATCAATGGTTGTTCGTCTTTTTCCAACCATTAAACTTGAAGTACAATTTCTTGATTTATTACATATACTTAAACAAAGACATGCTGCTGAAATGAATTCGAAAAAAACACTTCCTTCATCATCATCAACAACAATAAATGGACATACTAATATTAATCGACATTCAGCAGCACATCAAATAGCTGCACATGTTATTGCTTCATCATCATCGTTTGATAATGGTATTGAACAATCATCGAATTCAAATTCACCAATACCAGCAGCTACAAATGGTCATCATCATTCTCGAGCATCATTTTCTGAACGTTCACAAATTCCACAAAGACTTACACCAAAAGGTCCACCATTAAAAACACTTAAACGTGAACCTAAATATTTTTCAAGTCCAGCAATGAGGTAAAATATACAATTCAAAATAATTTTCTTTCTTATTCTTGTTATTATTTTAGTCTTCAACAAAATGGAGATACAAATGAAAATGATACAAAACATACATTTCCTCATGTATATAAATTACCACAATTTCCAGATACACTCCGTTTAGCACTTGCATCACAAGATGCAAGTGCATTTAAACTCCGTACATATTATCGAAATCTTTTAATCTCATCTATTTACGACGATCTTACTCGTACATACAATCTTTGGTATATAAAAATTCATTTAAAAAAAAAAAATTTTTTTAATTACAAAAAAATTTTTTTTTCCAGGTATCCAAATGCTCGACAATATAAAACTGTAGCTTCAGCACTTGTTAAAGCTTATCCATTTCTTGAATCATCAACAGATGGTGGAGAAGTAAGTGAAATAAAAGCTGACACTAAGCTTTTGACCATACAACAACAGATATAGAATTCCTCTATTTTATAGTGTACACGTTCTACTACGTACTGTTGATATGTTAATAGGTAGTGCCACATTCACCATAGTAGAAGTTTAAACCTGTTGGATCGAATACGAGTTCGAAAATTTTGAATCTAACAACTTCTGGTAGAAGGTGGCACCGCCTATGACATATCAATGGTGCATAGAAGAAGTTGATATTGCATGCATCATTACACAGAAGAAGTCTAAATCTTATAGTTATTGTTTATATAATATTTTTTAGGGTGCATGGATTGATGGTATAAAAGGTAAATTTAAACGTGGACGTCGTACAGTTACATCTTATGTTGATGTAACACAATCAATGGCTGGTGAAAATGGTTATGATCGTATTTCCGGTGATGAGGAATTGGGTGAAGAAAAATTAGCACAAACATCTAATGGACAAAAACGTTCACGACATGAATTTGAAGTTGATTCCGATGATGGGCAATATGAATCTGGCGAAATGCCAACAAATGGAAAAGATACTGTAAATTAATTTTTTTTTTTTTTTTTTTTTTATAAAATTTTTAGTTCTTTTTTTGTTCTATGTAGGATCAAACAAGTGATAATAATGATGAAATGGATGAAGATGAAGCAAATCGTTTACGTGGTTGTATAACAGCTATGCAAGAAACATTAGCAGCTACAGATGATCCTGATATATCACTTATATCAGATTATTTTAAAGAAACATTTGAAATACGACGAAATTTTGTTAAAACACATAATACCACTGAAATTCTTACCGAATATCCAGCATTACAATTACATTCATGTGTTCGTATTTTGATGGTTTTTGGAGAAAAAAAAATTCTTTTTTTTTTTTTCCTTTTTTAGTTACTTGCTGATTTTCATATGCAAACAAACATTCCTATTCAAACTGTTTTAATACATAAACTTCGTTCAATATCAAAGCCAATTATACGTCTTGCTAAAGAAACTGGTTGTGCACCTGATATACTTCTTTCTTATCATACCATTCTTTCTCAAAGACCACAATTAGAACAAAGTATAAACATTAATATTTATCTTTGTAAGAATATAAATATATATCTTTTCGTTTTTTTTTTCTATTTCTAGTATTAGCTGATACATTCGCTATTTTAATTGTTGCATGTTATTTTGGTGAATATCAATTTTTACTTATTGCGCCAGATAAAGTAAAAATTAATTTTTGTACTTAAAATACACAAAAAAAATAAAACATTTTTTATTTTTTTTAAAGGATGCACAATCTCCCTGGCCAATTATTCGTGGTGAACATCCAGCAACAATATTTTTCGATGCAAAATCATCATCATCGATCGCATATAATATTGAATTAGATTATGTCCAATTATTTCATCGACCATTAACAGATTTCTTAACAGCAATATGTACATTATTTGCAACATATACAGTTTTTGAAATAACATATGGTAAACTTGAAATGACATTATCATTTATTGATTGTTTACTTCGTGATAATGTACATTCACCATCACGTTCACCACAAGTACTTGAATTAATAAACGAACTCAACAGTATGAAAAATATGTAAATGATTTTCTTCGTTTGTTTTTGAGTTCGTTAACAAAAAAAAAAAAAATAGAGAATGAACAAAATAAAAGCAAAAAATCTCAAACTTTGTGTATACATATCAACTTCTCTCTTTTGTTTGTTTGTTTTTTTTTGTTTTTTTTTTCTTTACTACAAAAAAATATGAGTAATCTCTTTTTCTTCTCATTCAACATCATCTGTATGTGTGTGTATATATATTTTTTGGATATGATCGAAAGAAAAAAACGAAAAACAACATGTGGTTTGTTTGTTTGCTTGCTTGTTTGTTTTTTTATTTAATCTTTTAAACGATGAATTAAGATAATAGCAAAGAAATAGAGAAAACTAATTAGAAAACCAAATAGAATTCCAATTAAACGAAATAAATTACAATTAGGTGGTAAAATAAGAATTGTTTGTGGTGGATTAGAAAAATCATTTTGAGTTATAACATGACCATTTGATGAATTAATCAATGCATATAATGTAAAACATGATGCAAGAATATAACATAAACATAATAATAAATATAAGATTTTAGTCGATTTTTTAGCTTTTATTGTTATAGAAGCAAATAAACGATTAATAAAAAAATATATTTCAAATGTAAATGAAATCCAAATTAATATATAATAAAAATATATTGATTGATGATTAAAACCAAGAAATTCATTTAAATATGTTTCACATGATGATATTTTTATTTCAGCAAATGTTAATAAAATAATTATACATATAAAACGTATTATATGTATTATACCTATTGTATGAGTCAAATAGACAGTTAACATAATTCTAGTTGTTATGGGTTACATGTAAATAAATACAATGTTTTAATTAGATTTTGAATAAACTAAAAGAAAAAATACGAGCGAAAATTAGAAATTATGTGATAAATCAAAAACGAAAATACTTAAATATATTGTGTTTTGTTAATCGAATATATTTCATATGTATGATAATATTATTATAAGATTCAACAGCGAATTTATTCGTACTAAAGAAAGTGTTATTACGTTATTATTCTTTGCTTCATAGTTATGTGAATAACATTGTTTTCCTTATATCGAATAATTAAACAAAATGATAGAAAAAAAAAAAACTCTCAAATATCTTTATTAATCGATTTAGAATTTCATCTTATCCATATGAACATTATTTTTCATTGATTAATATAAAAATTTTCTTAATATATGATTAATTATTGATCATTTTTGTTTGACATGTACTTTGAACATTTTATTAAATACATTGTTCGATTGAAAAATATTGAATTCTATCTAAAAACAAAAATGATGATTGTCGAAACAAAACTCATGTAAATACAATTTGTTGTTTAGTTTTTCTTTTTTGTCTCAAGTGTCTTATTGATATTTCATAATGTAAAAGATTGACTTTAGAATATTTTTTTGTTATGTTCGATAGAAATTTTTTTCTGTTTTCTTGTGCCCTATATATTGCTTCTCATTTTTTTTAAAACAAAATTATTCGTCATGTATGCTCGTAAAGATATTCCAACTGTTTTACCGGATGCTGTTTTACGTTGTCGTAAATTACAAGCAGCAGCTAATGTTGAATTAGATGAAATGGAAAAAACGAAATATCGTCGAATAAATAATCTTGAATGGCAGCAACAAACATTTCAAAAAACAATTAATGAACGACATAAACGTTGGAGAATGTATGATCGTGCATTTCGTTTAAAATTAAAACGTGAATTAGGTGCTGATTTAGCTGCAGCATTAAGATTACGAACAAAACAAGATGAAGAACAAAAATTTATATTTGAACAAAAATTAATTGAAAAAGCAATAGCTAATCAAAAAACAGATGGCATGAAAAGAGATGTAGAACAAGAATCAGAAAGAACTACATCAGTTATTATTGAACATATTGCAAAATCGAATAGTGCTCATCCAAGTGAGTCAAATCATTGAATTGATTTCAAAAGAAAAATTTTAATTTTTTTTCTCTTATAGAATCTTATCAAGAAAAAGTACCTCTAAAAAATGGTTCAAAATCTGCTGTTGATACACGACGTGGACAAAGTGCAACAACGAAAGTTAGTCATTCGACATCAGTAGTTACTGATGCATCAAAATTATCACCACGACGACCACGAACAAGTCGTTTTGATAAAGAAATTCAACGAGATACAAGTCCTAATTTAGGACGCGAACATGATTTTGGTTCGGTTTTATTTCGAATATTATCAAATATTGCTGCTACACCTGAGTTAGATGATGATTTTACTATTAAAAAACGTGCATTAGAAGCTCGTGAACGTCGACTTATACTTACGCAAGATGATCGATATTTTAATCTCGTTAAAGAATTAGTACCTCAAAAAATACCCGGTGAACACGACAGTATTCATTCAGATGTAGAAGAAGATTAATAGAGAAATTATCTTCAACTTAGAGAATAGTATGATTTGTATTGTTATTTTTTTAAATAGTTGTCATTTATTTATTTTGTGCGTGTTACAAAGAAAATGATATTTTAAGCATAATTTATGCCTTTTTCTTTTTTGAATCAAACATATGCACTTACATAGTTATTCAATTAAATCTAAATTTCAGTTATGTGATTATGAAAAACTTTACAATCATAATGTTCAGTTTTCTTGTTGTGATTTATTTTTCTAATAAAGACGCTTTTTTTTTCTCTCATTCTATGGTAAAAAAAAAATATATAACAAAATACTGCGTACATTGGAAGGTCGTATGCTGTAAGTTAAGATGAATGATCTTATTTGAGTCAAATCAATACTCACACGGTCATTATGCTCTTTGCTCGAAAGTCACATCATCAAAATTCGATGATTTGCATTTCAATAATGTGACTATCGGTAGAGTCTATTTTCAAAAATCTTGATTTCGATGAAAGAGCTTATCGACGATATTCTGAGATGATCTCTTCAGTGTATATATATATATGATAAATATTCAAAAAGAGTGGAACGTAACGAATGATCGTCGAAACGAAACTCACAAACATATATTATCGAAAGACATTCAGATCTTTGTTTCAATCAGCTTAATATTGATGATCACTATTTCGTTGCTGTTAATTTCGACAATGAGGTATCCTAAACTAATTTTTTTTGCTTTGTCCGGATTATAGAACACATGAGATTGTCTAGGATGTGAGTGTGTTTTTTCTTCAGGTCAGATTCATGCGTAGAAAAGAAAAAATAAATGCTGCTGAAATTGCGAAATAAGGTCAAATGACATAGGCTATAAATACGTTGAAATTCGAATATCTCGATTCATGTATGCTATGGGCAGTTCATATTATTAATTAGTTACTTTGACAATAAGATCGAATATGATCAATTGGTTTAACTTACACTACATATGATCTTCCATTGCTAGAGTTCATGCCTAGTACCTAGAAATCGGAAGAAATTTTTCTTACATTTGAATAAAAAAAACTTGCTAGTTGTATACAACTAGTTTATTTTATTGATAATAATAAATAAATTCTCTCATATTATCACACTGCTCATCGATGTATTTTTCATTTGTTTTTTTCTCTGTTGTTGTTTATTTTACTTTTCAATTTATAGAAAAGAAAACGAAACAAAATCAGGACTAAACACATAATTTTAACATATTGCTTAGTAAATACATGGTGCAAATAGATAATCTTCTACAACAAGTAACCAAATAGATACACTGTACAAATACAAAAGAAAAAAAAACCAAAAAAGTAGAAACATACAATCACTAATAAAGGTAATCGTAATACAAGACAAAAAAGAAATGAAAGACTATAAACAAAAACAAAACAAAATAGTCACTACAAATCACTTAATGCTAAATGAATACATTCTTCCGGTACTTTTTCAGGTGCTAAAATAAAAAAATTTTAACATTATTTAATTTTCTTTTTTTTTTTCCATCATATAACTTACCCGATATGAGAGATGTTGTTCGTCCCATATCCATAACAGCTTGTGCTGCAGCTTGTCGTAATTGTGAAAGAGTCAATGAATTTGTTTTCCATTCATTTAATGAATGAAAAAATTCTTCTCGTGATTCACATTTAACTGTATTTTGAAATGTATCAAAAATACGCTTTAATACAAGTGAATATGGATAAAAATGCCAATTTTTTCGTGTTCGATCAGTAACATAAGCACGAAATAATGCATATGATACTTCACGTGAACGATTTGCTGCTGGCATAGAAGGTATACCATCAACAGGTAAACTTGATTGATATTGTGAAATTTTTTCTTTTAATTGTTCTTCTTCTTGTTGTAATTGATTAACTTGAATTTTCATTTGATCATGCGTTTGAATAGCTTGTTGAATTTGATGAGCAGCTTAAAATATTAAAATAATTATAAATATTAAGATTGATAAAATTTACTTACTACATTCAAGCATTTGTGCTTTACTTATTTTTGCATTAGCTGGATTGCTGAGTTCTGGAATAAGAAAACGAAGAGTATCAAAACCATTCTATACAAAAAAAAAAAAAGAAGAATATGAATGAATTGATTGGATGTTATTTGAAAAAATGACTATTAAATAATTACTTTTATATTTAGACGACGTTTATTTTCCGCGGCATTTTGTCCACCACTTGATGATGACGATGGAGATGAATCGAGTGTCTGAAAAACAAAAATTACAAAATTTTATATTGTAAAAGTTAAATAAATGCAGCTTATCAAATACTAATTTGAAAAGTGAAGTTAATGAAATTTTCACTTGTCTATCAAACCAATAGTCTCATTAGACGATTGACTTAATATATTATTTTATTATACGATGAAAAAGTATATTAATTGTTCAATGTCATCTCTTGATTTTAATGTTAATAGAATTTTGCACTAACGAGAGAATCATGCGAATTGATAACGACTGTTTGAGGTTCTACAAGGGTCTACAAAGATACTTTGGTGAAACTAGAAAAAGTCTAAAAGCATTCGTCCTCGTCAGCCTGTAGAGTTGAGTTAGGATAGTTTTATTGAATTTTCGATTCGACTGTAGGTATATACCGAAAAATCAAAAAATAGAATTTGATTCATAGGTAGACCGAAAGACCAGTAAGATATCCTGACATTTTCAACTGAAAAGAATGTTCTTTTGTTGAGATATCGAATTTCCCAAAAATTATTAATAGTTAATCACAGGCATGATACAAAAATATCGGGTTTATTTGAAAATTCTATATCTCAAGACAAAAGAACATTCTTTTTGGTTGAAACTTTCAGTATATTTCAGCGGTCATTTGATCTATCTATGAGTAAAATTTCATGTCAAAAATTCTTGTTTTCTTGATTTTTCGGTATATATCAAAGTTGAATCGAAAATTCAGTAAAACAATTCTAACTTGGCTTCACAGGCTCATAGGAGCGAACCCTATTAGACTTTTGCTAGCCTCATGAGAACATTCTTGTTGGCATAACATAAACTAAAACGACGGGTATCAGTTTCGAGTGGTTTTCTTGTAAGTAGAACTAGTTAAATTGGTCTCGAATGCGGACCTAACCGAATTCAAAAATTTTGAATCCGACGAATTTCAGTCGTCTGAGAAATCACAAGTATGTACTTTCAATTGCAATTAGAAAAATTCATTAAGGGTATTAAAGTACGCTTTGACTGGGTTCGGGTTCGAGCCTGAGAAAGTTTGATCAACTGAGTCAATATTCGAAAATTATGGACCCGACGGAATCAAGAGATAAGAAGTGAAATAATTAAAATTCATAGTAAACGAATTTGATGAATAAATTTGAAAATTAAAATAAAATTTTTCTGTTCTTAAAATCTAATTTTACGATTTAAATAGATAATAAACTCAATAAGTTCGGTTAGTTTTCTACTATAAAACATTACCCCATCTCCATGTAAAAAAATTGTATCATTTGATATGGATCCATTCTGTTTCTTTGGCAATGATGAAGACGAAATAGGAAATTGTTGTTGTGGAAAACTAAAAGCTATTTCTTCGGATGTTGAACGCGATACATGTGGCGTTTTATTTCTTCCATTTGAAGTTAATTCATTTGAATTTATTATATTCTAAAACAATAATAAAATAAAAACAAAGAAAAAAAAAAAGAATTTTCAAATAAATTAATATTAATTTACTCCAATATTATTGTCCTTCGAAATTGATAATCGTTTTATTTGTATTTGTGATTTTTTAGAAGATTTTCTTGGTTGTTTTAAAATTGAATTTTGTTTTCGTTGACTAGTTGTTACTGATGGCATTGATGGTGGTGGACTACGTTTCTGCTTAAGAAGATCAACAAGAGTTGATGATGATTGTTTACAAATCGATAGATCAACTTGTTGTTGCTGTTGTTGTTGTCGTATTTCATGAGGTAATGATGTTTGTGGAGAATTCATTACAATATTAGTTGATGGTGTTATGTTTGATATGTTTGTAATAGGCATGATTTGTCCAATGTTCTTGAAAAAAAAAACGAGAATTTTTTATATATTAATATTGACAAAGAAAAAGTTTGATTTTTTTTTACAGTGGTTTCCAATTGATTATTATAATTAATTGGTGGAGATATATTTTGTGGATAGGTATGAAATGATTCACCATGTATACTTTTAGACATAGTCATTGGATTCATTTGAACATTATTCTATTCGAACAAAAATGAAAATAAATTAAACAACATTTAAAAACAACAAGAAATTAATTTACATTATAATGATTTTGATTTGAAATATTGTTTTGTTGTTCAATAGTTAAACGTGGTCGTTCCGTAGCAACAGAAACCAATGTTTGAAAATCACTTAAATCTTGTTGCGTTTGTGATTGTCCGTCTAATGTAAAATCTGGCTGATTTTGATAATTATTTAATGTTGGTAACTAAATTTAAAATATTTAATAATTTATATAAGCCAATCAAATTTTTTTTCAATATTATTATAGAAACACAATCTATACAAATGAGTTTCTTAAGAATTTTTTATATATCATGTGATCAAATGTCATACACATATGAAAAGAATTAAGTTTTAATTGTACAGTTTTTCTAAACATTGTGTTTTACACAGAATTAAAATAAAAAATGATATTATAAAGAATGAAGTAAATATTTGGAAGAATCTCAAACCTATTGTAAGAGTATCTCGGCTTTTTTGAATCATGTCTAGTTGTCCGTGAGAGTACAATTGGTCGAACTCATATTTGTGATATAGATAGATTATCGAAAATGATAGAAGCTATTCCATGCAAAAAAAAATTTAAAAGCAGATTTTCAAGAGGCTTTCAAGTGGCCTGAAAAAACAACCAAGCCGGCTGATGATCCCGATCTTACTTTTTCCGATCGGATTGAAAGTTTTCTCCTGATACTTCAGAGGCTTTTTCCAAAGCTTTTTGAAAGGTATCAATATCTACAGAAAAAGTTTCAACCCGATAGGACCTTAAACAGGCTCCTTCGAAACTTTCTGAAGATCTGCTTTTAAAATTATTTTCTTTGAATAGCTTTCATCATTTTTGATAATCTAGTTGTGGTAAAAATTTGAATCCTACCGGTTGGTTCTTCCGTGGAGAACCATAAATGTTCCAGGAACGAAGGTATTCCTTTCCAAATGTTAAAATAAAAATTTTTCCGACTTCCAGTTTTTCATCACTAATATAGTTTAGCAATCTCGCCTGCAAAATGTCATATCAATGAGGACTCTTTGTTATTAGTTAGTACTTTTATTAAATCCCATTCTCGAAATCCCTACCAAAAAAACTTGCTCTGTAAATATTCTTTATATAAAAAATTCTCCTAATTATTTCTGAAGGTTCTGAGAATATGGGTGGGTCATGGACCTCCAAAAATCTCTGAACACGATCAGTTTTTGATAACTTTCATTGGAGAAAAAAGTTCTGAAAAACAAATCACCAACCACTCATTAAATTATCAATAAAATCCATGTCTGTTCATCTAATCATATTTTCTTTTATATAAATTACTGTCGACAGATGTGCAGGGTAAGATTTAGAATTTTTTTCTCAGTTAGAGTACGAGTAAATTATACCGAGAATATCTCTTTTACTGATTTAATGTCTTTTTCTAATTTTTTTTTAGACAGCATACTATCTGATCTTCTACATGTCTAGCATTTTCATACAAATCCTGTCTAAATCAATGAGGATAAATATAATGAAAATTGTTTATGAAGTAGATAAGAACCGTGTAGCATAGTACTATTTTGATAGATGATATTTATGAAAGTATCGCATTAGATCTATCGAAATAACGATAAATTTTAATTTGTTTCTTTCTTTATTTCTCAAAGGAATTTCCCTATGAATGTTTATAAATTCTTTGATAAAAAAAAAATATCTAGAATATTTATTTACTGATTTATGAAAGTTCAAGCGGTACACTTTCGAAATAGAACGATAAAGCATTATGAGTAAATTTTATATAAAAGATCAATAGTTGTAGTGAGCAGTGTTCCGACCCAAAGAGGGTGTTCCCCCTCTCCAATCTTGAAAAATTTTCGTTTTTCTCTATTGAAACTTCAATTTTTTATTTTTATTATTTTTTTATTTACTGTCACGGAGTGACCAAGATCCATTCCTTGATGTTTCTATTCGACTGCAGCTTTTTCTCACAGCATGTTCTGTTTTTTTCCTTTATCACATATGTAGTTTTTTCTTTGCTATTCTTTTTACCATATGAATATCTCCTTTTGTCTTTGTCACGCTGGTTGGAAGTTTCCGATCTTGTTTATTAACATAGATATTTTTATCGCGTCAATCTTTATATATAGAAGGTAACTTCGCAATAAATGACGTTCTGATCAGACTTTGCCCCCAATTCTGTCAATTTGAGCAAAAATTTTCCAATCAGCTTCTTGAATCATCGATTTCCTCCAATCATAGCGACTTTGTAACATTCCTGATGTGTTTAATCATGGAGCTCTTAGTTAGAATTTTTTACCAATAGACAATTTCTATTATAATATGAGAAAAAGAAAAAGAAAAGCTGAACTGATCACAAGATTTCCAACTCATTTCTTACTAATAATAAAATGCCATTGAATCCATAAACTTCTTATTTAATTGTTTTTTTAAACAAAAATGATACGTATTTCTCTTTCGAACTTAACACATAATAAAAACAATATCTTACAGGATCATCATTGTCTCGCGTAAAACCGTAACCTAAATACAGAATAAAAGTTTCTAAAACTATAAAAATTGAAATTTACTTGTTAATGTATCAAATTCACCGTCGAACATTGCTTGAAAATCAAAAAGATATTGTCCCATAATTGGTTGATGTAAATCTGGATTACCGCCAAGTACTATTAATACAAAAGAAAACACTTATTTTAAATATTTGGTATCAAAATTAATGCTAAAGACAAGAAAAGAACCCTCAATTGAGATTTCACAACCACAAGGATAAGAAAAAAGCGATTAGATTCTATTCTTATTTGTTGATGCTTAGATATATAAGTTAATGGTTAAATCGGCTAGTGTAAAATACGAGCATTCGCAAAAAAAAATACGATATACAGGTACACATATGTGTAATAATAACCATTTACCTGAGAGCGGGCAATCTACAATCGAACAAAAAGGAATAAACATCAAATAAATTTTCAATCATTTCATTGATTAATATAATCAAAATTACGAATATATTATTTTGACAAAAATAAACTTACCAGCGTCTTTATCAGTAAATGCATTTGTTGTTGAAAAAAGTAATTGGTCTGCAACTAAATCATATTCGTCAATTAAACTATATGAATCTGGTGGTGGTGTTGCAATACGACGAAAATTTGGATAAATTTTTGGTGTACGAATTTCAGTTATATTACTCAAAAGATGTCTCGCTTCATCGCTCTTAATTTAAAGAAAAAAACAACAAATATATATATATACATGAAAAATTATTTTATTTATGAATTCTATTATACCAATGGATCAATTTCTACTCGACGTAATGCTGTTTTAGAATTCAATCTCCATTTAATATATTCACCTTTTAAACTATTTATAATTTGTTGTTTAAATGGATGATTTATTTGAGTCTAATAAACGAAAAATAGTTTTTAATCATTATTCTATTTAATAAATAGAATACTGTAGATGTTTGAGCATCAAGTGGTGAAACAAATCGACAAACAATTGGTTTAATTTTTCGAATAACTAAATAATAATAATAAAATAATAAATTTTATCCTTTTTATAATTTACATTGTTGATGCCATGTTCTCCAAATAACATTATTTAAACGTATTTTATCTCGACATTCAATACGTGAACCACGAAAATTTTTCCATTTTGGTGATGTTAAATTTGATCTTTAAAATACAAATATATTCTAAAGATATACATAATTATGTTATGATTATTCACCTGTATTCAGTATTAAAAATATGTAGCAGAGAAACAAGACTAACAAATCGACCGTTAAATTCAGTATGACGTTCTGTTTCACCTTGTGCTGTTTCATTAACAATAGGTAAACCTTGTGCTAATGGTTCATTTGGATTTGGTATTGGTGATGCACATGGAACATCATTAGTTAGCTAGAAAATATATACAAAAAATGAATGAAAATTGACAAAAAAAATAACAAGTTTTGTTTTTTTGTTACTGCATCATCATTAATACTTGATGTCATATAATGTCCAGATTTAGGAGTTGATTCAACTTTGTTTTGATGATTATTCGAACAAGTATTTTGCTCAAGTTTTATTTTTTTTGCCGATGGCAACATGAACAAAAACTTTTTTTTCAATAAAAAACAAAAAAAATGAGAATGCGTATGTTTGTTGTCGTTTTCTATCCCAGTTTAAACAAACAAAACAAAAGAGAAAAGATAGGTAATAACATTGCCTTCAATAGCTTTCCTTTGAAGATTAACTTATCAGATTGCCTTTCATAAGTAATATCGATTAGAGCGACATCAATCATATTTAATATCATGGGTCTTGTTTAAGACCAATTAAAAAATAATTTTATTTTCTTATGAATCATCAAATATCATGCCGAACAATACGAATCATTTATTTTTATTTATTTTTCTGTTTGCAATCTAATAGGTATGATTCGATTTGATCTTGGCATTCTTTTACTTATATCAGTTATTAATGCTGATATTTATTTGCATTTTCCATCGGGTTCAAATAATCGTGTTAATGAAAATACAGCAAATCGTGCAAATGATCAAAATGCATTTGATTCTCAAAACAATAATAAAGGTGGTTATAATGTTCCGGATGCGACTAATCAAGCATATGATACAGATGCTTCACGTCAATATTATCTTGTAAGTTTATACAGCATACAATAAAAAAACAAACGAAAATTTTTATTCGAATAAATCAATATTTTGAATTTAATCCGATTGCGTGAATCAGATTAAAATAGAATGTTCGAATATTGATGAGGGCAAATGATAGTTTTTGTTATTTAATTTCTGTGATTCATCCTTTTCTAAAGAATAAGATAGTATCTACAAAGTAAACAAATATAATATATATATATATATTTGAGTGATATAATGACTTATTGATTAAGAATGACAAGGATAAATAGTTATGACTATGAATACTATTGATAAGTACAAGAAAAAGAATAAATGATTATATCTTATGAGAAAGCAATCCCAATTTATATCCACTATTTGAATTTATTTTGACCGTATAAAAACGTCTTGATGAGACTAGCAAAAGTCTAAAATGATTTGTTTCATAGGTCTTTAGAGCCAAATTATGATTCTCTAACAGAATTTTCCACCCAGTTTTAGGTACACAGAAAAAATAAAAATAAAAAAAAAAAACAGTATTTCAACATGAGATTTCGTTCATAAATAAGTCGAATGACTCTTACAACATCGTGAAAGTCATTCGACCTATCTATGAACAAAATTTCATGTTGAAATACTAGATTTTTTTATGTTTTCTATATATGTAAAACTGAACCGAAAATTTTTAGATTTTTAATAGTCTCATAAAGACGTTCTTGTAAGCTACAACAGGCAAGGTATTATTTTCACATATAGTCATTGAAATAATAAATCTAGAAATGATTAAAATAAAAATTCTAAACAAAACTACTTAATCAATTGAAAATAGACAATATAAATGAAATAACTTTATTTCGTATATTATCTTTCTGTATCTGAAAAATCTTAAGTTTTTGAAAAGTAAAAAAAAACAAAAAAAAAAAATAAATTACCATGAAATTTTATTTTACAAACCATCCTGTCCTTGTCCATCAGCACCTGATTGTCCATCGGAACCACCTTTATTATTNTTTTTAAAAAAGAAAAAAAAAAAAAAAAAAAAAAAAGTTTCAAAAGCACAACAATGGAAATTCAGGTGATGTTTTAAATCAAATAAAATTGAATGCAGATCATTCAAAACTATGAATGCGCAACGGTGCATCAACACTATTGCATTTCTATTTAAAACTTCCGCTATAGAATTCATATCAAAATTCTTTTTCATGTTTAAAATAGAAATTCTTTCAAAGTGGTTCAACAGGTAAAACAATTTTACGTTTTGTTTGGACAAATCAACATGGTTGTGGTGGTAATGAAGAAACAAATCCAACAAAACAAACATGCAATCTTATTCTTCAATATATGTGTCAAGATGGTGACATGAATGAAAATGATCTTGGTAATATAGAAATTTTTTTTTTAGAAAAAAAAAAAATCATTTAAATTTTTCTTTTAGATAAATTCCGTAATGGAGTCGAAACAACATCTCAAACATATACATCAGACAAAACATCGGATGCAGCTGGTAAAATAGCTGATGTTAAGACAACACGTCGACTTCATGAATCATGGAATTACTATGATCGATGTTATAATCGTGAACGAAATAAAGGTTAATTTCATATGTGTATTTTTCAATATTATAAATAAATTTTACTCGTATTTTCTTATAGGTCTTTTTACAGCTGATCAAAACTTACAAGGTAATACAGCTATTTATACTCGACAAGATCGTGCAGGTACTAAATATGGTTATGAATGTCCTGAAGAACGAGATTATTGGCCTTATATTAGTCCATGGGCTGACATAGCTATGTTAACAAGTAATACCAGTATGTGTAGGTGAGTAAATTAAATATAGAAGAAAATTAATTATTATTTTATTGAATTTTAGTTTTTATCAAAAAGAAAGTTTCAATGTCAAACCTCGATATGATTGTATTGAAACTAGAAATGATGTACGAACGTCAACAAAATTTAATAATGAAGTAAATTGTACGTCACATGGTGGTAAATGGTTATTATTATATTCCTATCTTGAAAAAGCTCCAGGTAAGAATAAATTTCTGAAAACAAAAGCAAAAGGATTTTTGTCCTTCATTCATTTATTATTTTAGGATATACAACACAAGCATCATGTGAAAGAGCTTCAAATAGTCGATATCAATACAAATGGGCAAGTGAGTATAGAAAGTCTTTGTAATAAAAAAAAAAAAAAAGAAGCTATTTGATACATTTCTCAAGTTCCTCATGATACAATCACTGTAAAAGAAGAATGTCTTGTACTTCATCCTCAACAAGGTCCATCATGTCTTCAAGCTCCTTGGACACGATCAAACTATCTTGGATTAAATTCTGATGCTGAACCATTATCATATGATTGGACTGTACCAAGTTTTCCATCAAATAAAGTTAAAAGATGTATAGCTCGAATTCGTTATAATATTTCAACATTTGATTATGATTTATATAATATTAATTCAAGTAGTAATGGGTAAATAGTGTTTTTTTGTTTTGTTTTCAACTCTATTTAAAACAAAATTCAATTATATTAGAGCTAAATCACCCGTAAGAAACGATCCTATTGTTATTGTTGATGATGGTATTCGATTACAAATTAATTTAAATACTGATCAAACTGGTCGAACATTTCAAGATCGAACACATATTTTTGAAATTTTACCAAGACCAAGTAAAAAATTTATTTGCGGAAGTTTTTAAGTGTTGTTGCTTTTTTTTAACCTAGATGGTATAAGTGACAATGAAAATATTTATAATTGGAATATGTTAGGTAAACGAGGAAATATTGTTCAAACATATCCAGCTGTTGAATATGATTTTACACCAAGAAATCTTCAAATTAATAGAAATGATCTTATTCATATACAATGGACAGGTAGAAAATATTGAATGCACTTTGTTCTTTTTTTTTTTTGGTTACTATCATGTAATTAAATCTAGGTTCAAATACACATAATAATAAAGGTGGTTCCGATGGACAATCAGGTGCTGATGGACAAGGACAGGATGGTTTGTAAAATAAAATTTCATGGTAATTTATTTGTGTTTTTTTTTTTTTATATAGGAACTGATCGATCAAATCTTGTAGAAATTCGAGATCGTGATGAAAATTATCCATATCCATATGAACAAACAACATTTTGGAAGAATGTTAAAATTCGTTGGAGTCCAATGGGTAAATCAAATGATAATATTCAAAAAGAGGATCTTGCTCTTTATTTTGCTTCATCTGGTTACTATCGGTTTGTTATCTTATTCTTTAGAATTATGTTGTTTGTTTTAATATTGAAAATTTTAGTTGTAAACGTGCAGTTGATTGTACAGGAGTTGACAATTCATATACACTTGAAACACAAACAACAAAATTAGATAGTCTTCTTAATGTCGCTCCAGCTTCATTTGCAGGTATTAGATTTTATTTCGTTTTCTTTTTTTCTCATCTATTAATTTATTTTAGGAGCACTTTTACAAGTTACTCCAGGTACATATCATATGATGTGTACAAGAAATAATAATTTTAGTAACCGTGCTCAAAAAGGAACATTAATTGTAACATAGAACTTATCGTTATTCTGACTATGTTTATTTATATATATATATATATAATTTTTATTCTATCGACTAACAATGGAAATAAAACGATATTTTTTTATTATACATTTGTTTAATGAATTTATATATTGTTTTGAATATAAACAAATAAATTTCTTTTTCTAGTTTGTTCATTAATTCAAGTTAACGAGAAGGAAAATATATCGAAAAATAAAAAAAAAATATTAAACTAAGATATGACTGAAATTATCGAAACTAGCTGATTGTAATCAGAAATATTTTCTGTAGATCACGAAGTTCTTTTTTTTGTGGCCAATCTGCATAGTCTGAAGCAGTGCCAATTTGGGAACCAAAAAGCTAAAAAAAAAATGAGAAGAAATCAAATTAGCGAAAACTATATATTGTTTTCCCTTGTTCTTAAAAAATCAATTTTTTAACAGAAAAATTACAGATTTCTCTCAGATGCTTGGATCGGTTGAGTTGTAACTTTTTTGCCTGACACCTACAATCAACAAAAATATTAATCACAATTAGTCCTAGTTATTTTGAAAAAATAGCTGATTGCGGGGACTTCAGGCCATTTTTTACACTTGTGTCTTCTATATTTCATACAAGGGGCAGCATCAGAAAAGTCTGTGTCTATGACAACTTTTGTTCTACTAGCCGAGATCTGTCTACCCTGAAAGTTAAAAATTTTTTTTTCAAATCATTCTTGAGAAATCCGAGAAAGAAGGATATTCGTAATGTCTTTTAGACCATTGTGATGTTCTATAACAGTGATCAATTTGATGATTTTACTGATCACAGTAAAATCTATTGATAGACGTGTCATAATACACTATCATGCTTTTGCCTAACAGTAGACTAAAAACCATATTTCGTGCTTATACTCATGAAGAAATATTTTTAAGTGTCAAATCGTTTTTGAGTCGCAACTATGTACATTATGCCGATTCTAAGGCACTATCCATACTTTGAAAAGAGTTCTAATTAAAAGTTTATTACTGACGAAGTACTTTCTCTTTAAGCACAATGCCGTGACTTCCCTAAGAAGCACCATGAAAATTTTATATCGATCTGTGATTTGAAACTCTACACAAATAAAATTCTTGTTGATACTATTTAGTTCAATGCAAAAGTTTCACTAAATTTTGTATGTCATACTTTGAAGTATGAATGATGTAAACTTTCCTTGTATACTGATATCTCCAGATGCAAAGCATTGAAATCAAGAAAACTTTTACAATGAACTAATATCGTTGAAAATTTTGTTTATGCAAAATTTCAAGTCGAAATCGAGTTTTCCTGATGATCTGGCGAGGACTATAGATTTCAGTGAAAAATTCGATAAACTCAAGAACAAAGATTCAGATAATATGCACCATCTAACACTTTGATACTACGCATCATAGCCTATCATCTGAATATAATTTCAATCAACAACCAATCGCACATATTGGGGACGTTTTCTCGTGAATTAAGTATAAAACAACATTCATCATATGAAAAAAAGAGCAAACATGAAAAATTTGTTTTATTGATTAGTACATACTGAATCTAATCGTTCTTGTTTATCTATCACGAACAATTCAAAATAATAAAGTTATAATAAATAAATTGATAAGCATGAAATAATCTATGTCATGTTTTAAATTATTTTTCTTGTATGAATATCATAATAGAGAGTTCTACACAGGTGCTGATATACGTACATAAACAAAATTTCATTTTAACCACGAACAAATCTTTTTTTCTTTTCTCATTCTTTATATATTTTAATACAACCTCTATTGGATAAAAAATATGTTTGTAAATAGTAAATTTCTATCTCTAGTGTGTACTTAAGAACGAAACGTGTACTCACACATTACATTATATCTTATGTTCCTATGACTCACAGCAAAAGATTATATGAAAATAAGTGTGAGTGTGAAATGAAAAGTCTGATGAATTTGTTTACATATGTGTAAAAGAAATCATGTTAATTTATCACATTATGTTATTTACATAGACTATATGCGATGAAATAAAGTTAAAGATCTGTTCTTAATGTGAGTGAAAACAAATTTTTTCACTGCTATAGTTTTCCAAGCATTTAAACAAATATATATTTCAACAAGTAATTTTTATAAGAAAATTAATGTTGCAACACAACTTCAAAATTGTATGAAATTTTTCTAAATAATATCTCTTTAATAGTATTATTATCAATTATGTCTTTTCGACACAAAATCTAATAGAATTCAATTTTAAAATAAATTGCAACAACTCTGAAAGCAAAAATAAAAGCGATAGTTATGGACGGTGCAAAATAAATTTTATTATGGAAAGTAATTGTAAATATTAGTATGTCGATGCTTTACTCCAGTATGGTGTTCCGAGGTCAACATGCACTTGAGAAAAAGTCGATTACTCAAGAGTAGAGTCGTGTAGGATTAAATTTTTTTTGGTCCAAGTCTCGACTACTTTTTTTCTATTAGTTTCCCTCTGGCACATCTCTACTAAGGAAAATCATCGCAGAAGTTTCGCTAAAGTTCATCGACTTTCGGTAATGTTTAGGTTTTTTTGGAGAAATCGGTAAGTACGAAAACAATAAAAATATGATAACTCCGCTAGAGAAAAATACCAAAAAAAAAAATACTTTCAAGATTGGGATGCGTTACTCGTTCGTAACACTTCTGACTCCATTCAGATCCATATGAGTACTAAAGTTAGACTTAATAGAAGAAACGATTGCTACCCTTTGTAGTACTAGAGTGTTGCCCAGGTATGCTAATTCATTTCAGAATAAATCCATATCCCACATATGACAATGTATCTTTTGTATATATACTAGAAAATAGTATAACTATTGGTTGAAAAGTCTCATTACGAAGTTTGTTTTTTGTACATAAAAATTGAATTCATGTTTGTTTTTTTTTAAGTCTATATTCGAAAGAAGAAAAAAAAACGAAAGAAAAGAAAAGATTGATGTCCAAAGAATTGGAACGTAAAAATAAAGAAAAAATTAATTTGAATTTGATGATGTTGCATGTTCTTCATCAACATTGTCTTCTACATCAATATCATCATCATCATCTTCTTCTTCATCACTTTGTTGTGGTGATGAACATGATTTATCCAAATCCTAAATATATGAATTATTAATATATAGGAAAAAAAAAAAACACTAAAATTCTTATACTTTTTTCGCTACTGTTGCAGCTGATCGACGATGTTTAGCCCGTCGATTTTGAAACCATGTTTTAATCTATAATTAAAAAAAGAAAAACTTTAATCAAAAAGAAAAAAGAAAACTTTCTTACTTGTCTTTCACTTAAATGAAGTGTTTTAGCAATTTGTTTACGTTCAACAGGTGATAAATATTGACTTATTTCAAATTTTTTCTCTAATTGTAAACTTTGTTCAGCTGAAAATCTTATTTGACCGCCTTTACGACGTGAAATATTTGTTGTTGTTGATGTTGTTGTTACCGGAGGATTGCAACGTGTATATAAATATGGCCAATATGCAGCAGTTGTCGGTTGTACTTGATGATGATGAGATGATGGTGGTGGTGGAATCATTGATGATAGACAATCTTTATTGACAGAAAACAAAACAAACTTTTATTATTTATCCTTTAACACAAATTAAGTCGATAAGCACTTAACACTCACATCACTTGTTCAATGGATTATCATGTGTTTTTTTCTCGTTCTAACATAACTATGATGATCAGCTCATATACTATTGATTTTTCTCGTCTATGAAATTTATGCTTTAAGAGCAAGAAAAAAAAAAGTACATATAAGTAAACTTGTTTATATGATCATTAGTTGTTATATTACTTTTTATTTTTTTTTTATCACCCTTCATAGAATAACAACAGTACGAAAGCAAGAGAGAGAGTTGAATGGCAAGTTCAAGAGCATCATAATTATATTTTTATCAATAATATATATGTCGAGAGAAGATAGTGAATATGATATGTTGATTATTCTCTCATAACAAAATTAAGGACAATAGCCTTGAAATGTTAAAGAAAGAAAAAAAGAATATTTTCTAACCAATGAATATCATTTCCGAAATCATTATTTAATAAAATTTAACATATGTGTTCATTTCCTTTTTTTGATGAGAAGGTTTATCTATATTTGAACATACCATTCCGGTCAATATGTTGATGTTGTATTTTGTCTTTAATTGATAATGGTGAAAGTGTATGTTGATAATTATTTTTATTTGTTGTATCATGTTGAATTTTTGTTGTTGGAGAATGTCGAGATACAGATAAATATGGATGATATTGATGTCGATGATGTAAATGTTTTTGTGGTGAAATTAAATTTGGTATTGTTGGTGAAATATCATTTGATGGTGATGTTGTTGAAACTGATAAGAGTTCAGGTGAATAAGCCAAAATTTGTGCAGCAAATGATGACCAAAGTGTAGTTGGATCAATAAATGTTGGTGATATTGATGATGATGATGATGACGATGATGATGATGTTGGTGTTTTTAAAATATCATCAATACGAAATGATGATAATTGATGTGGATTGGAATTTTTATATGATAAAAAAGATGGTGTATACACAGAGCAATTCATTGTGTCTCGTCGTATGTCTTATCTTATTCACGCGTACGTTTGATATATATATAATAATGAAAATAGGCAGAAGCAAAAAAAAAGACGAAGAAATTGAGATAATATCTCGTAAAAGAATTGCCGTTGTTGTTGAAAAAGGTGTATATATGTGTGTGTGTGTGTGTGCAACAACTGAATAGGCCAATACGAGTACGAGAAAGCTTTTGTGTGTATCGGTGTATATAATAGAGAGATGTTTGCTCTCGATTTACGCACACTGATGTCGTTGTATTTGGGATGTAAAGAGTGAATGAGAGAGAATAAAATGTTTTATTTGCCTCGTAATAGAGAAAGGTGATGATGAGAGGAGAAGAGAAGAGAGAAGCATATGCATTAGTAAGAGGACATTGATACTTGTTGAGAGTTCAAGCTTAAATTTGATTGAATGAATAGAAATGAGAGAGAGAGAGAGAGAGAAAAAAAAAAAGAAAATTCCGATTGGATATAATCATCTTTATATATGACATAGAAGGACGAACGAATGAGTGAAGTAGAAGTATGTGCGAAATGACAAGAGATCTATATAGAATATGTTATTATAATAAATTTCGAGCGAATATGTCAATTTTTTCTTATAATTGAAATTTTTTTTTTTGATAGATTTTTTTTATTGCAATAAAAATAAATATTTTTTTTATAGGTTTTTTCTTTTCAGATTATGAATAAATAGATATGTAAATTGATCTCTATATATATATGACAGATTCAGGAGAAAGACCAAAAAAAAACTTTTTATTAGTTTTTTGATTTAGTAAAAGTTGTTCATAGAGAAATATAATTTTAATCAGTTTGTAGTATATTTGTAATGAAGGTTGTCCTGAGCGAGGAAGGACAATTCGATAGATTTAAAGAGAAATACTAGAAGCAATCACTCCATTCTTTCGAACTATTTTTCTTAACAGAAAATGAGTTGATACGATCTCTGATTTGATTTGAAAGCACGTTTTTGTGACTATGATTGTTTCCATTCAATAAACTACTGAATCTGTCACTACCAAGGGGTGGACTCGGGATACTCTGGTTCGCAGTCCTCCATTCCACTTTGCCAAAATCGTATTTTTTATTAAAATAAACGATCGTGATATGGAAAAAGAAAGTTTAGTACCCTCCTCCCCGCGACGCACCTTTTCAGTTCTCAAAAAATTTCCTTGCACTCTTCCCCTTCACTTTTTTTCTCTTCATCACATCTCTGCTTGTTTGTAATCTATATAAATATCACATATGTTTGAAAAATACTCTATTGAGTTGCAATTCATAAGTCTTTTCTCTCTCTCTCTCTCTCCCTCTTCTTGATATACTTTTCAAAAAGAGCGTGAGTACATATGCAGTAGGTAAAGAGCGGTAAGTTATCATCAGCAAAGAAAATCATCTTATATATATCGAAACATTTGAAGAGTGTCTATGTATAAAACGATATAGATTTAAATTTTAATGATAACATATTCATCATCATTGAACACGCGTATGTATATTTAAATCTAAATGATCATCATTCTATAGACAGACTAGAAGAAGAAGAAGGTGGGGTATCGATTAACAGTAAGCAAACATCACCACGAGCACAATCACTATGAACTATTAGTCGGATGACAGGCGACTAGTGAGTGAATATGTGTATTTAGAAGTAAACAATCATGATGGTGACGGCGGCGAACGTGTTTCTATTTGATTGATTCGTGCTTTCATTGTGGTAATAAGAGACACATTATGGTCTGTTAGCTAGTCTATTGTTCTGCATCGATCTGCTGTCATTTACCAATCAATCGAGTATAAAGGATTAGTTAGATCGTGTAAAAAAGAAAACAAAAATCTGTCTCATTATTTCGTTTTCTTTCTTTTTTTGACCAATAATTTTAATTTGCAGTTTTACCTTTTTTTTTTGTGGAAAGTCGATCTGCATTGATTATATGTACATATATAAATATATTTGATGTAAACGAAATCTGAAACGTGCAATGAGGTAATAATTCAAACGAAAAATGGTGACGCCTGATTTTTGTTTGTGCCAAGTCAACGTTGATTTTTAATTTGTTAGACATTTCTATGTGTCGGATATTTTTAATGTTCTATTGTTATATAAAAGTTGACTTTAGATATTATATACACGTACGTCAGATGAATCATTGATATAATTGAGACGATCATTGATAAATGGAATTTGAGTATTTGAATGAAAAAATTTTAATAGTAAAAAAGAAATTTTCATGGAAAAAAGTCAAGTTGAAAGATCTATCAAAAAGAGGATATTGTCTTATTTGTTGTTATTTTCTTGCTATTACATAAGACATTAGGAACAAGATCAAAAAGTATTGATAAGATAATTATTGAAGTGAAATATTCATATTGTTCGAATGACTTTCGAAGTGAAAGTAAATAATTAAATTTTATTGAAATTTATAATCTGTACTATGACATGATCAATGCATTTCATAAAATAATAATTTACTGTTTGATGATGGAAAATGTATATGTCATAAGTAAAATTCATTTTTAATTAAGCATAAAATTACGAAAATAATTTTCTTCTAACACTTATTTACTTTCTTTCTTACTAGACTAAGTATTTATTTTTACTGATGTATACATCAATGACTTTTTGTGTGGCAACCTTGAAAAATAATTTTCGAAAGCATCTCTTTATGAACAAGTGAAATAATATATTAAATTTTGGAATATTAAATTCTACGAGTAGTAGTCAGGTAATTATTATTCTACTACATGGAATATATAAGTTAATGTATCTTTCATTTTCCTGAACAGGAAAGTAACTCAACAAAGAATATTTCTGTCTTTTGGCTATCTTGCAATATGGGATGCTGCTTAGCAGTACACTCCATAGCCCAATATTACTCTTCATACACACTAACTAAAGACACAGTAGTTACAAGAGCAGGTATATGTGATAATGTAGTCAACATACTATCGGACGGATAATCCAAGAGAGATAATCGTTAATGACTTGCTCAGGTTCATTTTGTGGTCGATGGTGCAAAGTTTTGAATACAGTATCTTATGGATATGGGTCGAACTAAGCTCTGTTTAATTGTTGTATAAATCTCTGCTTTGTCTGACACATATATATATATATACGTTTTGAACTTTTACACAGATTATAACTTGTATGATCATGTCTTTTTTGATTAAGCTATCTATGGGAGTATTTTATTGCTTCCTTTATATCTTTCGTATTGCAGTGTTGTACTATTATGTCTGTTTATCAAGAAAAAAACAAGGAGTTTTAGATCTTAAAATATACAAGAATATATGGTATTTTGACATTCAAAGTCTTTTAGAATCTCATAAAGCAGTACAAAATTCTAGAACTGTTGTTCTCCAATGGAACTGTGGCTGCTGCTAAAGCTCTGATATCCCAGAGTATTAAATGTTAGAATCTATATTATGATATAGGATTTCGAAATTCTCCAGAACACCAATTTCAGAGCTTCATCTGATTCTGCACTAATCTACTCGACTGTTCAATTTCAAAATCTTGTGGAGTTCGATGAGTGTTCACTGAATCCTCTATTTTCCTTTCACTTATATATAGCTGCGTAACCAAGGATGAGTTAAACCGGGCGCTGCACTACCACTAGAAGAAAGAAAAATTAAATAGTTATCACCATTGGAATTATATCACATGGATTTTCCTGGAGATCGTAGAACACTGCATTACCACCTACAATCTTCGAATTACGCCACTACATATACGCTTCATATCATGCTCTTGTGGAAAAGTTAAAAACTTGTGCATATTTTCAATATCATCTTTTTACATTATATTCGTATTATGCTGTTCATGGATAGAAAGAATTATAAAAATCAATGATTAAATAAAATACTAATATTAATCAAAGAACTTTCTTCTAAAAAGATTTGCAACGCTGTCATATGATATAAACAGCTCCGAAATCTTTTATGAAACATGTGGAATTAAATAAATTTCTTTTTTTTTTTAATAGCTTTAAACCTTTGGTATATAGATAATCATTTAAGAATAATATCAATACTATAAAAAACTATTTACTGAATGATGTCGCTAGTCTACAGAGAAATTTTTATACAGTTATTTATATATGGCAAATAAAAGAAATTAATAATCAAATTTATTTCTTATTTGTTGGAAAGTTGCACTCATTTTTTATTATCTTCTGTTATTTTTATATAAACATAACAAATCCATATATCTGTGTAGGAATAGCAGACAATAAACAAAACTTTATTTTTACCTTTTTTCTTATCGAGGAATAAATTTTGTTCTCTTCTAAGACAATATATTTACTTTAAATTCAAAAGAAAATTATTAAAGTTAAATTTTATTACCAATGATTCTTTTACAAAATTCGATAAAACATATTTTATAATTAGGTATAAAACACAAAAAAGAAAACAAAATGATATTGATCTCAGTTTGTTTTTTTTTTCAGATCTTCTACAAAATAATCACAGACAATGACAACAAAATAGTGAAATTAATTATTTATTTTTTGATAAAAACAGACATATCGTTACATATTTGAGAAAACATTTTAATCAACAAAAATGATTTTACAATCAAGAAAATAAGAATTTATTTTAGACGATGGCTATGATGATTTTGAATATGAGACTTTTACTTTATGATTAGTTTTTTTCCATCTCATCTAGCGTCGATCTAATGGCATTTATCACTTTTTATGTCATTCGGTGAACAACATTAATAAATTATCTGTTTTTTTTTCCTTTCGACAGAATAATTGCATGACTGTTTAACATTATTTGAATCCTTATTTCTACATGTTTATGGTAGTCGATCAGTTATTTATTACTTATAATTAAATTATTTGTTTCATCTTGTTGAAATATATTGCAAGAACAGAGACAAATATCTTCAATATTGAAGATTTCATATTAAATGAACATGTAGTACAGTAGCTTTGCATATTTATTTTTAAGAAAAATTATCAAATATTAAAATTGAGTAGAAAATAATGGTATAATCGAAAATGATTTTATTTAATTGTTTTGTAACAGGAATTTCGTGGTCAATAATTTTTGTTACTATTTTTTTCTTTTAGATTTTATTTAAAAAAGAAATAACGAAATGGATCAAGTCCAACAATACACTGAACCATGCAAACAATTTTTTAAAGATTCATATCGTTTAATTAAAAAATGTACTAAACCCGATCGAAAAGGTATTCATCGATGTTTTATATAGAACTCGTACTACTTTTAGATCTTTCCACATATTAACTTATCCTATCAAAAATTTTAATAATCGAATGTATTTCAGAGTGTAATTAACTAGTTATTGAATGTATGATACCAACTAATCAATCATAATTTATTTATTCAGGAAGGAAATCAAAAGAATAATAGCATATGTCGAAATAATTATTCTAGAAAATTATACTTGGATAATAGAATTGATGTTAAACTTTCATTAGTAACATCATGTGAATATTAAGTTAATAACTAGGAACAGCTTGTAGAGAATTTTCTAGAAGAAGATTAAAGTCAGTCTAGTCTTTAAAATCAATAATGAGAGATCATGTACTGTAACTTAAGGAGACTAATTATTGTTGAATCTAATGAATGTCTTTACTCTCAAACTAACTAATTTAAAATATGAATTGCCTGTAGGGTGCCTGGATCGTGATATGTGAATTTTAAGGTATTACAATCTATATCATTTGAGCATATTTGCAAAATTTTTACAGCATTGTTTGTCTTTTTTTTCGTTATGATTAGATAGAACTCGGTGAGTTAAAACAATATCATACATCTTCAAAAGCAATTTTACAATAGTTGAAATTTTGTGTCTAATTACTTTTATATATAACATTAATTGTATATTGGACTTTTTCGTAAAATTACTTTTGCATGTGTGATATTTTTTTTTGGGGGGGTAAATCCCTGAATCTATTCAACCATGACACAAAAACCAACGTTCCTGAAATTTATATATATAGGTACATGACATTGAGTGTACATACGTTGAAATACGAATGTCGTGATTTGTGCATCTTGCAGGCAGTTCATATTTTCAATTAGCTATTTTAATAGTGATAGCAGTAAACCCATCCAAGTATTTCAAAGGAATTGGATTTTTATTTTTCTGAAGAATTTTTTCTTTGAAATCAAATTTAAATACATATGTTAATAATTATTTAGAATATCAAAAGATTGCTATGGCAACAGCTATTGGTAAGAAGACTTCCTTAATAATAAATAAAATATTTTTTGTTTACAAAAATATTATAGGATTTGCTATTATGGGTTTCATTGGTTTTTTTGTTAAACTTATTCATATACCTGTAAGTATCTTTCTTTTGTTATTAACTCGATTTAATTTTTTTGAAAATTTTTTTTAGATCAATAATATCATTGTGTATGTTAATGATTTAATTTATTTTTTTTAAATTGATTTCTTTTTATTTTAGGGGTTCATAAATGATCATCTGTCGTTTAAGGATTATCGTTTTTTTTTCTTCATTTGTTTGTTCTTCCATAAAAGAAATCTTAAAATTATTTATTCCTAGAAAAAGAAAATATTTACAATGAAATAAAAAAGAGAACTTTGATTTCAAGCGTTTTTTTTTTGTTTTTTTGCTTTTAAGATGACATCAACTTTCGAAGCTGATTTAACACAAAAATTAGAAACTAGTAGCTTAGAAGCAGCTAAAAATGAAATACCGATTGGGAAAGATGCAGCTGATATGGTCAAAGGTCAAGCAAATGAAGCATTTAAAAGTAAAACAAAAGCAAACTCTTTATTTTATTTTTCTTGAACACTATTTTATTTGAAATCTAGATGGTGATTATGAAAAAGCAACTGAATTATATACAAAAGCAATTGAAATGCATCCAGATGCAATTTTATATTCAAATCGAAGCTTTGCTTATCTTCGTCGTGAATGGTATGGCTATGCATTGATTGATGCTAAAAAAGCACTTGAATATGATTCAAAATATATCAAAGTAAATCATTTTACTGATTGTATATAAACAACGATTAGAAAATTGCATGTCGATTTTTTGACTAGAGAATAAGATATTTGTAGAGGAAGACTTATTCAACGATATATATTATCAAATTTTGATGCGTATCGTGAACAATATTACTAATAGAAATGTTAATAAAAACTAATCTACACTTAAAAAAAGGTTAAGAATTATTTAGTGTTTGCACTCAATGATGATGTCTGCTGATTTTCGAGACGCTGTTCTTGTCTCGGGAATCTTTTGTGTAAAGATTTCTATGGGCGATCGGCAAACTTTTTATAGAATTTCTATAAGAAATCTCAATAAAAAACAAAAAAAGCTCTAACACACAGCAACTTTATTTAGCACGGGTAATTTTATATTATCATGTTTCAGTAAAGTATTAATAAATAAAGTCGGAGAGGAACATTCTGCATATCATTTTGAAGAATAAATAAATAACGGTATACACATTATTATACATTAGTGTATCCAAGGTAGACCGAACGCATTCTTAGAGATTTTAAAAGCTATGTTGCGGTAATTATTTGCATGAGCTAGAATAAGTTCAGACAGTCGTGAGTCCACTCTGAGATGAAATAGTGCTTTCGCCACTATGATTGAATAGGTCTTTCTGTAATTTCGCCAAATGTGAGATTCGCCAACTGTACTTTTTCACTGTTGTAATTTCATACATCTCAACTGATTCAATTTGATCGGTTAGCATATCAAGTACTATAGCTGAGTTACAACTCAATTCATTCAAAATGGCGAATTTCGTGAGGAAATTCGCTAATTGGCGAAACTCACATTTAGCCAAATTACAATTCCCCATTGAATAGGATTCTGGCTTAATTCTGCATAATTGAGATTCTTTTATAGGAGGATGATCTGAAAAAATATGAAATCCATCGTTTCTTCAGTTTAATTTTTGCTACGATATACAGTAGAATTCAATAATATACATATATGAGACATACCTTCTTCCGTTTGACTTAGATTCTTTGCAAGGGTTATCTTACAGCTCACTATTAATTAAAATTTAATTAGCGAATATCTCTCTAAGCATAAGAGAAAAATATCACGATAGACTCTAAGACCGGAACTTTATTTATTATAAAATTTTCATCAAGATTGAACTTCAAAAAAACTTCTATAAAAATTGATTTTCTAGAAATTCTGAAGAAAGATTTGTACCATTTTGAACTTTTCATTCCGTTATAAGAGCTTTTTTTCGTACTTCAAAATGCAGCTGACGAAAAGTAAATCGATTTTATTTGAAAAATTTAGACATGTTCAGCAAAAAGTTTCGGTGGAGATTTTGTTGTCTGAGTAATTCTCTATAGAATGTACTATTTAGTTTTCAAACATGCGACTACATTTCAGAGTTTTTTTTTTAAACTAAAAAATATGAAGTGAAAGTCGATATTATTTTTTGAGTAAAGTCGCCAACGCTTGTTTCTTACTACTGTAATTAAATTCTCTGAGAAAAAGGCTCTAGCGCTGATATTTTTAGAATGTCCAGAGTGACCTAATGTCAATTTAGCATATAAAAATTAGCTTTAAGAAAGTTTATTGTTCCGAAGTACGCATGCTTTTATTTTACAAAGTCACATTGAGAACGAAGGATTTTGCTCATATACCATTGAATAGAATAAGTCTTCCTGAATCAGCCTACGTATATCCCGTTCTATCGGCATAATGATATAATCACTTTCTTTATTATAATTTTTCTTAGGCATATTATCGTCGAGCATCGTCTTATATGGCTTTAGGAAAATATACATTAGCTTTATCTGATTATGAATATGTAAGTTGAATTGATAAAGTTTTTTCTTTTAAAAAAAAACAACTCGATAACTGATGTCAACATTCAAAAAAAAATGGTTAAAGGTCACAAAAGCATGTCCGAATGATAAAGATGCAACAATGAAATATGAAGAATGTAAAAAAGTTGTAACACGTATTCGTTTTGAAAAAGCCATTGCTGTTGATGAATCATCAAAATCAGTTGCAAATCAAATTGAAATGAATACTATGAGTAAATATTCTTGTTTTTTGTTTTTTTTTTTTTTGAATGAATATAAATTTTATTAATTATTTTAGCCGTAGAAAAAGAATATGACGGTCCACATTTAGAGCTAGATGGTCGAGTTACCAAAGAATTTATGTTTGCATTATTACCATACTTCGAAAATCAAAAAAAACTTCACAAAAGATATGCTTATCAAGTATGACAAAGAAAAAAGATTTCAATTACAATAAGAAATAATGTTTTATCTTATTTAGATAATTCTACAAATTCTTACAATGCTGAAATCATTACCAACATTAATTGAAATTACTGTACCACCAGTAAGTATTATTTAATGTTAAGATTCTAGTTTATTTTATATGTTATTTGTTGTTTTTATATTTAGAAACATAAATTTACTATTTGTGGAGATATTCATGGACAATTTTATGATTTATTGAATATATTTAAATTAAATGGACCACCATCCGAAGAAAATCCATATGTAAAATTTAATAGAATATTTTCATAAAATTTATTTTAGCTTCTTTCTTTTTTCTTTTTTTAAATTTAGTTATTTAATGGTGATTTTGTTGACCGTGGTTCATTTAGTGTTGAATGTATTCTTACTTTATTTGGCTTTAAGTTGCTTTATCCTGATTATTTTTTTCTTGCTCGAGGTTAATCTAATAATATTTCAATTAATTTAATTTCGAAAAAAAAAAATCTTTTTAGGTAATCATGAATCATTAACAATGAATCAAATGTATGGTTTCGAAGGCGAAGTTAAAGCAAAATATACAACACAAATGTTTCAATTATTTACCGAAGTTTTTAATTATTTACCATTATCACATTGTATCAATAATAAAGTTCTTGTAAGTTGATTTATTTTTTGTGTGAAAACAATCTACAAGAAATGTTGAAGGATATGGGTAAACATTGGGACCATACACATTGTGACAGATGCTAGTCAGAGATTACTGGAGCCGTTAATGTACAATCCTAGATCGTATATCAATAACGTCTCGTTATAAAATTTAAACTATCTTCTTGTTGCATTTTTGAAGGATTAAAAGAAGAGTGAAGACATGTGTTCGAAAATTGATAGAATCAAATAATCGCTCTATGGTTAGGAATAGCAGCTGCATTGTGTTTCACATTTTAATCTTGTACGCATTGTACTAATAGCTTATTTACTTTGATTTTTAGGTTATGCATGGTGGATTATTTAGTAAAGATGATGTGACATTAAAAGATATACGTGCTATTGATCGTGTGAAACAACCACCGGAAGAAGGATTAATGTCAGAAATATTATGGAGTGATCCACAACCACAAAATGGACGATCGGAAAGTAAACGTGGTGTTGGTATGTATCGAAAATTTTTGTCAATCTTGTTTTTTTATTCTATTGATATTAAACATCAATGCGAATATCTTTTTCTAGGTCTTCAATTCGGACCTGATGTTACTCAACGTTTTATAAAATTAAATAATTTAGAATACGTTGTTCGTAGTCATGAAGTTAAACAAGAAGGTTATGAATTAGCTCATAATGGTAACAAATAAATTTATCTATATGATTAAATATGTGAATTTTCTGTTTCTTTTTTGTATTTAAGGAAAATGTATAACCGTATTTTCAGCACCAAACTATTGTGATACAATGGGAAATAAAGGTGCATATATTACAATAACTGGTGATGATGTCAGACCTAGATTTACATCTTATGCTGCTGTACCACATCCAGCTGTTCGTCCGATGATGTATGCTAATCAATTGTCAATGTTTGGTTTGATGTAGAACATCATCACGAAATAAGCTTTGAGTTTCATTACAAATAGCCCATCATCCCGGTGACTTTTTTGTTTCTTTTCTTTTCTTTTTTGTGATTACTTTCCTTCGTTTGTTCTACTTTCTACCTATTCATTTTAGAATTCCGTTGGTATGCGCTTTTCTTCATTTTCACTCGATACTCTTTTTTTTTCTAATTCTTACTTGTTAAAGTTCCATGCCATTCTCATATTTGCGCAAGTTTGGCGAATCTCCGTAGTTCTTGGAAGTTCCTTTTTTTTCACAAGATTTTTCTTATTCAGGAAATAAAAACAAAGCAAACGAATGATGATAAAACAATATTTTTCGATTGTCTTTTTTGGTTTATTATTAATAAACAATTGAAACATGATTAATAATTGTAATTCAATATACGCAATTGAAAGAATATATTATTATTCATAATATTATGCTTCTTTACTTAGAATGCAAAATGAGAACACGAACCACAGAAAGAAAGAAGGAACTATGATAAGGAAGAATATGCTAATACATTATATGTTTTTGTTTATAAATGAAATAATATAGAGAAATAAATGTACAATAACGATAAAACATAACGTTATCATATATACAAGACAAAGGTTAGAGATCATATCAGATATAAAGATATGCATTAAAAGGCTACTGTGGTGAAGAATCATAAGAATGAATGAGGAAATGATAAGACTAAGAATAAATTGTTATTCGACGTTGCCACATTGGAGCTATCCTCTTCCTACTAATTAACCATTTGACACATATTTCTATAATTGCAACAAACGGGAGTATATGTCTAAATTTATTTTCAATATTGATCATCAATTTTATATCTAACCATTTGTCATGAAGTACATTCCATGCCAAGGATTGGAATAGCAAACTAGTCTCGATAGACATTTGTAAAACATTTTTGAATTTTTTCCAATATCTATAATGAATATCATCTAATGGATTCTTGTTATAGAGCACACAGAAAAGAAGATCATGCCAATAATAATGAACATTAACAAAAGACAGCGGCGCTTAAGAATGTAATTTGATCCATAGAACTTTTTTTACATTGAATCCAGTACAATTATATATATTGAATTCAAGAACTTGAATTGACGGCTATTTTGATACGAGATTTGAGCTATACTTCAGACACATTTGAGGATTTTCTCAACCGTATATTGATCATGTGAATATGTTATATTATCCATTGAACTCGACAAGACATGTATGTGAAACTAAGTTTCTTTACCTACAAGTTTAGAGATAATCGAAAGGTCTTCAAAGTGCATTCGATAGTCCAAGTTTCAGACTACATTTGTAATTACCTAAAAGTCAACTTGTCAATGTATTGTTTTTAGAGAACTTCAAGATACGAAATAGTCTTACTTGGAATTCAAAGTGCTGATATCAATCTTTCAGATCAATTTTCAACATGTAAAATCAGGGGAAGCCAGTTTCTATTACAGCTTATTAGATAGTATTTTTCATGGACAACAAAATTTTATAGTTTTTAAAGTTATAAAAGGTGGACCAAAAAACAGTCAAGAATCCTACTGTACAAATTGTATACATTTTATATATAGGGTGTCGCTGTTGGTGTAGGTATGTGAATATGGGTAAAAAGCAGACTTACAACCAAGCCCACACCCACACCCTTCTCTTTAAAAATACTGATAGCCAAAATAATGCTTTATATTTCTTTCACAGATTTCTCATTTTTTAGTGATGGCTCTGACCTGTTTCCACTTGCATTTTGTCAATTGTAGTGTGTTAGGATTGTTATTAATAAGGCAATGAAAGTATTTGATATTTTAGAATGTTATCTCGATTAGAGATCTATCAGATAGTGTTTTATCTTCAATCTTTTGTCGATTTTAATGAAATTATTTATATTATCGTTCAGTTCTCCTGACAAATGAAACTTGGTCATTGCAGATAGAGCATAGCTCTTCATGAATAACCTTTTGGCTAAATAAGAACTTAGGAGGATGATTAAAGCCGTCAGCACGCTCAACAAAACGGTAGTATATACTATCGTTTCACAACTATTATAGTCGTAAATAGCTTGTAAATTGACTATAAGCAGGTGCAGTAATACAATCGTATTTTATCGTCCTGTATACAATTAATAAAGATCTGAAAATCGAGTATGCGCCCGCTTACGATTATACACAATACAGTGAAATGTCTCTGTTTACGAAAGTGCTTATTTAACCTCAGAAGTACAGTTCACACTTTTATATAGAAGGGAAAATTTTTTCTAAGCATTTCAAACTAAAGTGAATAATTCTCAATGGAATTTTACTATTATCATATCTGCTGAAGTATGATGAGATATTGAATGAACACAGAATTGTTTGTATTATCAATACATATAACGAGTAATTGTTCTTGAGCTTTCTCTACGATACTATAATGTTGACGTCATTTATTTTTCGATTAATCACAATAAATAATATCAACTATAGATTTTGTACGATCAATCATTTTGATATTAAGTTACACAGTACTAAATAATACACTCTTTACTTTAGTTTGTTATTAGTTATCGTAAGTCAATGCTTACAGTTTTCATGATCAGAGAATATTGAAATACTTACTTACTAACTTAGGATTCTTCCATTAATGGAACGATGTTTGATAAAATTTTTCATCGGTTCAATAATTTTTTCTAATAGTCTTCTTGCTAATATTTTTTCTTTCGCTATATTTCACACATAGAATTCACTATAAAGAAGTTAGATGTGACTTTCTCTCTTTATACTTCGATACATCGGAATAATTCAATTTCACAAAATAGCGGATGACAAGAGAAAATATTCACCACTTCGATACACTAAATCAATTAAACTTAATACACTTTCTAAGTTTTTTCGGAATGGAAACCAGGTTAGATCTATCAATTTAAAAAAAAAACTAAAAAAAAAGAAGCAGGTCATCACGGAATGTAAAAATTGTATTTTTACATTTGACAGTTTTCTCACTTTTCATCTATATTGCTTCAGTTATTTTTCTGATAGATGAATGTCATGTTGCTATCGATCTTTGCATCATTCAAGAACTATCAAATAACAGTCCTGTGGAGATTTAAATAATTACGTGTATAAGAATATCTCAAGAAAACATTATGTCTTTTTTTTTTACGAGAGAACATGTTCAGCTACTCCCCCTTCGATTTCAATGATGTTTTTGCCTATAGATACTAAGTAGTGTTCTAATAAAAATCCTTAAAAGATTTGATTTTTCACTAAGCTATTGAATTTTTTCTTACACGCCTCAGATTGTCGGAAAGCTCGCATTTTGATCCGAAACTTTGCTCGTATAAAGAGCTGAGCTAGATGAACTTCCATAAAAAGAATTCACAAGTTTTTAAAAAAGTCTCTTCAAGATATCGGACGTTTCCCCATAAATAGAGTGTACAACATGCATTTTTTTTGAAAGTTTCTCTTATGGCGTGTATTTTAGACGTGCGATAAGACAAATATGTTAAGTTGTTTTTCATAGCTATATGTTCATTCTGTACACATATGTTGTTAACTATAACTATATCTTTTCTTTCCTTCTGTCACGTATTTTTCCTATGTTCTCTTGGCATAATACTTGACTTTCCTTATTGTTTAGATATGATAACTTATGTATTTTTCCAATCCTACTATGTTATTTATTTTGGCAAATTCTACCTTTCTTCTAACATTTGATATAAATATCAGTTGCTTGTAAGCGCAGGCGAGAGAATGAAATTACAGATCAAATATAATAAAATACTTACACACTTCAATGTTATTATGTTCAAAACTTGTCAGTTTTTTCAAGTGAGCTCATCTAGATGAGTTCTTCATATAAGCAAAGTTTCAGACAGATATTTGATAAATTGATCAAATCTTAGTTGGAATCCGAATTCTTTTAGAGGTTTTATTAGAACAGTACAGTATCTATAGACAAAAAAGTCATTGAAATTGAAAGGAGGCATCTGAAAATGTTCTCTTTTTAATCAATATCGTTGGGTATTACTAAATGATATTACTCAAAATACGATTGGCTTGTCCAAGAGAACTGAGCTTCCAAATAATTGGAAATGTTCCTTATTTTAAGTAATGGAAAAGTCAAAAACAAACATGCAGTGGGAGTTTGTTAACTTTTTGCTAAGATACGTCACTAAATAAAGTCTTCAATTTAAAAACCTCTACGGTTTATTTTTAACAACATGTTATGATGTTATTTCTTTACGTTTAAAGAACTTTTTGACATTGAATAATCATTATGAACGTGATCGCTTTCGGTGACTAACAGTTCTTAAGACATTATAAGTTGTATTTGATGACGATTTCTCTTTTGAAAAGAAGAAACATTCACTCATGATTTTAATCAATCGGAAAAAGTGTTGCCATGGGCAAATCATAGAAGTTACATTACATAGGTGTAATCGATTTTCTAAGACTTCAACCTTGATTCTGCAAAAGTATTGAATAATGTTTTTTCCTCAAAAGCATCATTTTGACAGAAAATGAAGGAATTGAATGTTAATCCGATCAAAAAATCAAAAGAACGTGTAAAACGGAAAAAGAAAAAAAAATAATAAGGGTAACTGTTTTAACATATAAAAAAATACCTTCGCATTTCTCGGAAGATGTGAGATGACGCTGAAGGCGAAACACGCGCTCACACCTTCTAAAAAAAGTGAGTGTAATTGATGTGTATAAAATCTGTTTCATAGAAACTATTTTAATACTACTAAAATAGAGTATTAAAACATTTTTTTCGAAAAAACCCCAATGCTAATGGTATTAGTACTGAAATCCCGTAATATATGAAGACAATTCTCTTCCTTAAAAGAATGAAAAGTAAAATCGGTTTTTTTTTGTTTCATCTTATAAATTGCTTCTGAGTATAAAACTTATTCTAGTATAAATAACAAAATAAAAGACATACTACTATCCGGTTGAAAATATAGTGATGTGTTCCACTGTTTTTTGAATAACTTTTGATAGAAACATCGTAGAGATCTGCGATTTTCACCATTCAAGAGAGAAGTCCTGAGTCATCCAAACATAATCCGCCAATAAGCGACTGATCAGTTGAGTTCTTGGCGAAGATTTTCGAAAACGATATTCTGAAGATATTTCGCCTTTGATTTAGATTTTTAATAAGGTTAATCGATAGAAAAAGTTCTCCTGTTTCGGTCTGCACAAGGCCGGCATTCTTAGCTTGTTCCATTCAAAAGTTGTAAAACTTTTTCTGTGACTTCCGATCTCAGTCAATAGATGTAGCATGACGTAGAAAAGCAGCTTGATAGATGTAATTTGCCATGCTCAGTCGAATGGTGGTAGTTTGTTTTAGATTCGAAGTGATCTGATATTGTTATCTCAATGTTTGTGAAGTGTCGACTCCTTTTGCTACCCGACCGCTGAAATGTGGTATTGCAGAAATATTGAGGTAATAAAGTCAAAACGTTGTGAACTTGAAAACAAATCTTGCCAATCGACTTAGCATGATGAATCACCCTTGCTGAGCTGCTTGTTCACGTCATTATAGGTCTATTGCCTGAAATCGGAGGTTACAGGAAAAGTCTTAGAAGTCTTAAATGAAGCAAACTAAGAATGTCAGTCTTGTATCGATCGAAAGAGAAGAAAATTTTCTATCAATTAAGCTTATTAAAAGTCTAAATCAAAGGTGAAATATCGTCAGAATATCGTTTTCGAGATTCTCTATCAACACCTCGTCTGCTTGGCCACTTGTTGACCAATAAAAATTCCATTGGCCCAAATCGTCTCTCTTGAATGGAAAAACCGCAGATCTCTATGACATTTCTATTAAAAGTTATTCAAAAAACAGCAGAACACATTATATTTTTCTATGTATATATATAGTAACTTTATTGCAACTAAAACAATCTTGATTAACTCGAAACATTCTTTCGCATTCCTTTTTCCATTTATCCATATGTATCTCTATCTGATTTCTATTATGTAATAACATTCATGAAACCTATTGCTTTTTAAACATACTCTCGGACAAAAGACTGTTTTACGGCCCCCCTCCCCCGCTCCTTTCCCTCCCTCGAAAGGTCTCGTCAAGGCTAACTCAAAATCTTGCTATATTGTTTCGATCGAAATTTATATGTAAAGAAATTTTTTAATATAAAATTCTTATTTAATTTTTTCGAATAGTTTTTCTACGTGATTATTAAGTGCATGATAATGAATAATTCGATTGTGGCGCTTCTAAGCCATTCATTTCTTTTTCTTTTCTACGATGCACAAGATACATGTGGTTAGTGCGTTTGGTTAGAGTTAAATATATGAGTCAACTATTCATTTAAATTATCTTTTAGAACAATTGATAAAATGGATATTCCAACTGTAAATCATCATGTTGGTTCAACTGAACGAGTATTTGTTGCTCATGTTAATGATTTAAATGGTTTGTAATATTATTTTAAATAAAATATATCTTTTTAGTTCAATAAATCTCTGTTTTTTTTTTCATAGATTTTTATTTACATTCAGAATTAGTTCGTGATTCACTTGTTAAACTTGGTCAAGAACTTTATGCTGAATATTCTGAATCATTAACGTATATAAAATTTTTAATTTCTTTTTGTTTTATTTCTCAAAATTCCCTTTGTTTTATTTTTAATAGAAAAAAATCTTTAGGAATAAATGAAACACTTAACATAGATGATTATTGTGCATGTCCATCTGAAAGTGAAGATTGGTATCGTGGTTTAATACGTCAAATAGATTCAAATGGTAATGCAATTGTATTTAAAATTGATTATGGTGATGTGCAATATGTACCAATACAATTTTTACGGCCGTTACATGTAAAAACAGAAATTTTTTATTTTTTAAAAACCTAAGATTTATTTTTGTTAATTAGAAACGTTTTATTCAATTACATCGTTTAGCATTTCATTGTTCATTAGTTAATTTAATAAAACCATTAGATGGTTGGTCAGTAAAACTTGTCGATGAATTTCGTTCACGATTAACAACAACATTTCTTTATGCAAAATTTATTAATTATAATGAAATAAGAGATATATCAGAAGTTGAAATAACAGAAAAATCATCAAAAACATCATTAAATAATGATTTTCGTACGAAAAAATAAATTTTTTTTTTTTTTTTTCATATTAAAAATTTGTTCTATTTTCTATTAAATAGAACCATATCAAATGCAACGATTAGTATTACCTATAAATGATAAATTTCTATATGAACGTATGTTAATTAAATAAGTAAAATGATATATTTATTAGAAGTTTATTTTCGTATAGATATTCCATTGGAAAAAATAGAAAGTATTCAAGCGAATCAAATTCGTATGCTTTATTATATATGTCCAAGTCGTTTTTATATTTATCTTCGAGAAAATATTAATTCTTATACAAATGTAATAAATATGAAAATTTTCTTTTGTGTTTTTATTTTTGAAAATGAAATTTTATATAATTAGTTTCAGAATGATTTACACAAAGCTGTACAAAATCTTCGATCAATATCAACACCAGTAAAATATCAAGTAATTGCTGCACAAGATAATTATGCTATATGGCATCGAGCTGTTATATTTGGTTTGATATGAAATAAAAAAAAAACAAGAAAAATTTCAAATTTTTCTTTTGTTTTAAGATTTTAAATCTGATTTAACAAAAATTTGTGTTTATTTTATTGATATTGGTCAAAGAGAATATATTTCAAGAAATAATATTCGTCCATTACCAGAAGAATTTCATCATAAACCAGCATTGGCTATTCCATGTCGTTTATATAATGTTTATCCAATTAATGGTAATGATCAAACAATGTGGGAATCAAATGATCCAGTACATGATGAATTTAATAGACTTATGGTTAATAATGTTAATTGTAAAGTACATACAAAACAAGATCAAAGTATTTATGATGTTGAAATTGATATACCGAGTAAGTTATTATTTATTTGTTGAATATAAAGTTATTGTCAAGAAAATGTGATACTTAATTTTCATATATTTTGTTTTCGAGTTTTTATCATGCGCATATGTAAAACAGTTTTCTATATGTTTCATTTGAAGGATTCAATGAATTGAAAAAAAAAAAGTTAAGCAAGAGATTTTAGTTATATATCAAAGTCAATTGAGATTCGTTTCGTAAGTGCTCGAACTTTCATATTTTGTTCAAACGAATACATCAAAATTGTGATAAATACATGTGAATGCGTTTTTTTTTCTCTGTTTATATGTTCTTGATCCGAATTTTCGAATAAGCTTCAGTGACTGTTTATTTTAATTAAGCTTTCTTTTATTATTATATAAAAAGTACTTGTATAAATAGATGAATCAAGGTCACTGCAGTCCGACATTTTTTTTTCACTCAAAAACAAACTAAATCTATAAAATAAGAACTCACATGAAATTTCAAGTTATTAAAGAAACTTTTTCTTTGTCGTTTTTTCTGTGGAATATTTCCTGAAATAATCTACAGATTACATTGCATACGAATCTTTGTTGCAAAAGTTTTTCGAAAATTCAAAAGTAACGATCAAGCATATCATACAGTGAATTGATCTAGGTTTTACTTTGTATTCAAGCAATTTTCTCATGATTAGTAATCTTTCAAGCAATAAAATACGTTCAAATAGACAAAATAAGTTTAATTCTAATCGTTTTAAGAAAATCACAATATTAATTTTTTTTTTCTTTCAGCATATAAAATATGCAAAAGTTTTCATATATGAACCATTTGTATTATAAAAGAAATACGAAATATCTTCTTCGTTCTATTCTAATTAACTTACGGAAGTTAAGAAAAAAACTGACAGATATGTCATTGAATATCATCTCTTGTTCGTACTGAAAAAAAAACCCATTGATTATCATCAAAATAAAACACATATTTTATCTTTTTTTCGGTTAGTAGCGCTATCTGTTGTTTAGCTTGAAAATTTTGCCCATTGATTGGTTCATTTCAACCCAGTATATATATGAAGTGCTGGGTAAAAACTTTTTTGGTAATTTATAAAATTGTTTGCTTCTTGTGTCTTTTATTTTCATTGATTCTTTTGTAAATGATTCATTTGAATAAAAAAGTATTGTTTTATCTTTGATGTTAACATATTTCATTTCAATATATGACCAAAGAATTGAAATCAATTGTAAAATGAAAGAAATGAATAGAAAAATTGTATTTTTGTTTTTGTTTTCTTCTTCTCATTTTAGAAATAGGAGATCTCGGTACATTTCTTTTTGACAAACATTTGGTTTCTCGTACAACAATGAATAATAATTCGCGGCCGAACTTTACTTCAGGTCAACTACCATTTCAACATCCATTTGTACGAGCACAATTTTCTGCATTAGGACAAAGTTCTGCAAGACAACAACAGAGACCTACACAACAAAATGAATTTTATAGTAATCCAAATAATATGGTACAACAACCACAGAATCGTATGTTAAATACTGGATTACAAAACACTAACATTCAACAACCTTCTAATACATTGTAAGTTGAAATCGTACTAGTGAAATATTGTGTAAATAAATCGAATAAATACGAAAAATTTTTATGATGCTTGAGAAAAAATTGATCATAGTTATCGATTGTTTTTATACATCATAGAACTAAATGAATCTCATTAAAAAAAAGAACAAGAGAATCATAGTATAAAGAGACAAATTTCATCGAGATTTTTTGGTTTAATTAATATACTTTCTATAAATGTAATAATGTTACACTTTTTGATGATAAGTATTAATTAAACGAGCAAACTAATAGAAAGATAAGAGATCTCTCTTCATTTAAAACTGATGAGAATAGTCTTGCAACTGATTAATTGCTTTTGAATTGAGACTATGTGTATCATATAGATCGTCATAAAATGTAAATACTCTAAGAACAGTTCAAGTACTTTACTTATTGCTTCGAAGATATTGTATATGTAGATAATTTTTTCATTCAATGTCATAGTCTCTTTAGCAAAACTGAATTTCGACTTAAAAACCTTGCATAGAGACAGGTTTATTAAGAATAGCTGCTTCTGAAAGTTTCAAGTCTTTTGATTTACTTCTATTCTGAAATAAGAACATCGAATTTGTCAATGTTAGTGTCTATCGAGTTCACAATTTTTAGACCTCGACTCAGTTTATTGAATATTTTTTGAAACCTGAATTTGATCGAATCGTACATTGATACTTTTAATGAAGTGTTCTAATCGGACATATGAAATTTACTCTGAAGATACAAGATACTTTGTTTCCGATTTTTTGTATTCGGCGTCTAATGTGCTCTACGCATTTCTCAGACGACTAAGGCATGCTAGGTCTGGGATCAAGCCATGAGCCCTAGCCTAGTTTATATGAATGATTTAAAAGACATACTTACACTATAGTGCACTTTTTAGAATAGAAAAAATGAAAAGATCTGAACTTTTCGTCATAAATTATTCTCAATAAATCTTGTCTCTATGTAAAGTTTCAAGCCAAAATTTAACAGTGAGTTCTCCTATCTCGACCTAGTTGGAGAAACTTCCCTTGTGAGATCAGTTTGAATTATATTCTTGAATCGATTTAAAGAACTTTAATTTCATATTGGATATTTTTTTTTTATCTTCATCTTCTAATTAATCGAAAAATTAATTTCATTGTAATATTATTTCAGGACAGTTGCTGGTTCATCATCGATTGCTTCTACTATAACACCTCGTAAGGCTGATTATTTCATTTGATTCATTATATTCGTACATCTATTTTAGAAGACGGAAATTATACAATAATACAAGTTCATAGTGCAGCTGAATTTTATGGTGTTTCTCAATTACGTGAACGTGAATTAGAAATACTAACTAAACATTTAGAAGATTTTTATAATAATTCTGTTAATGATCAATCATTAATTGTAAATGTTCTTGCAGAAGGTGCACCATGTGCTGTACAACAAGGTGATAAATATTATCGTGCTATAATAAAGTAAAATTGAAAAAAAGAAAATATGTTATAAAATTTCTTTTGTTTGTTTTTTCGTCTAATTAGACGTCGTGAAAATGAATCACGAGTATCAGTTAAACTTATTGATCGTGGTGATGAAGTTATTGTTGATATATCAGAATTATTACAAATTGAAAAACATATTTCTTCAATAGCAGTATTTGCTCAACCATTTCGTTTACGTGGTTATGATGAATCAGTAAATAGAAAAAAAAAAACAAATTTGAGTTTATATTCAAATTGAAATTTTTTTTATTTTTATTTTAAGCAAAATTCAGCTACTCTAACTCGTACTTTGAAGAAATTAATATTTAATCAACGTGTTCATATCACTCAAATTGGTTCCATGCTTAACGGATTTTATCCTGTTGAAGTTATTTTAGTTGATAATCAATCCGTTAATAAAATACTTTTTTCTAATGATAAAAATCTATTAGTAAGTAAAGTTATTTTTAATAGATCATACAAAAATTCTACATTGATTTTATTTTCAATATGCATAACAACAATTCGCTATAGATATTTAATAGTTTTCTTGATAGAAAAAGTCAAGTCTCTACTATAAAAAATATTTACCGAATGCTAGTAAGTAGAGCCCATCGGGTTCTCAGATTCTTGGACTCTATTAGTAAGACACTTTTCATTCGTCGATAAGTATATAGTAGAGACTTTGTTCTTTTTAATAATGGAAACTATTAAATCTCTATGATGAATTGTTGTCATGCTATACGAAAAACAAAAATAATATAGAAATTTTTGTACCATTTGTTATATTTAAAATCTAATTTTAATATTCAGACTCCAACATCAATTTCAAATAATCGACCTGGTTTTAATCAACCACATCATACTCATATTGAGTAAACAAATTCTTCTATTATTAATAGAATTTAATATTTTATAATTTAATTTAGATCACAAGTATTTAGTAATTCAAATAAACATCATAATACAATTGGTGGAGATTTAAGTGGACGTTTACCTATGACTCATAGAACAAATGAGATTTTACCAACACCACCAAATATTTTAGCAGGCGCTTCACGTACACAACCTGGTCGATTTGGAACAGGAAATCCAGTAACTTCGACTATGCCTTTAACAAATGGACAAATACCACGTTTTGGAAATATAACTAATCGTAATAGTCAACAATATTCACAAACAATTGATTCAACAGCATCGAATTCTACCTGGAATAAAGAACAAAATAATATATCAAGTTTTAATGTTACAAATCAACAACCATTTGCACGACAACAATCAAGTTCATCTCAATTTGGTTTTAATCAAAGAACTGATGATGATAAAATATCGATGGCAAATAATCAAAATCGTTTATCATCAACAAATTTTGATAATCAACAAGTATCATTTGAACAAAAACGTTCATTTGGTAAATAAAAAGAAAAAGAAATGATTCGAATTCGATAGAAAAAAAAAATATTTTGTTTGTTCTAACTTTTAGCCAGTAGATTTTCTCATGATGATCGCAATGAAAAACAAATGAGCGGAAATTATTTTCAAAAAAATGATAATGCAACAAATGAAAGTGGTCTCCGACGAGGTGCTATGACTCGTGGTAGTGGCGGATTTTCTGATCGAGGAGGTAGTTAATTAAAAATAAATAAAACAATACTTTAGCATAAAGTATATGTCTAGTGCAAAAAGTTAAATCCCAGTCTGAAAGGTTTAGTTATTAAAAAAAAAACAGTCGATCTTGCAGAAAACATGATTGTTCTTTTTCAAAGTTCCTTGTCATCAAAAGCAAGCTTTTATTTTAATTGAAATTTTAAGGATTGTTTAATAAGGAAACATTCAAAGGCGTCAGTTTGTTTTTCAGCGAGACTCAAGAGAGAATTTCTCCAGTGATTTCCTTTCAATTTCAATGATTTTCTTTTGCCTATAGATATTACAGTGATCTAATAAAAACTCTAAAATGATTTGAGATTTGATTACGCTACCACATTTATCATATGTTTATTTTCTAGAGGCCTCAGATTTTTGAAAAAAACTCGAATTTGGATCTGAAAATTTGGACAGATCGAGAACTCAACTTAAGTATCCTCCATGTAAAAGTTGAGAAGTTTTGAATAAAGTCTCTTCGAGAGAAATAGTCCAAAAACTCTGAAGTTTATTATACAAGCTAGTCGGACTGAGATATTAATGTAGGTAAAATTTCAGGTAGAAATTCGAAAATCTGGCATTACTGCAAATATTTGGAGTCCTACAGAGAAAATTCACAGTAAAAGCATTCAGTCTTCTCAAAAAGAAGCCTACAAGCAAGAACTCTTTTTATGATCGGCATAGATTATTAAGATCTTCAATAAAAATACACAGTCTTGGATACGATCATTTTCAGTTAAATAATAAAAGGAAGTCGAAGTAAACTAAAAGAAGGTATTTCAGGTTTGGATCAATAGATCTACACACAGTGGAGTCAATCATTCAAAAACTGAAAGTCTGCAGACTTCTTAAATAAAATCAAAAATGTTCAGAAAATACTTGACACTGTCTAAACTAGTTGAATAGTTTCCGAACGCGAATATCGAGCCCAAGTCCGAGTTAAATGCACGTCTTGTCTACAAGATGCACTAAGTTCTAAGTACTCTTAGAATTATGAATACTAACCATAAATAATATTTCAGACTGAAATCTGTTAAATAACTCCAGAAGAAAAGTTTCTAGCTATAGGTTACAATTTTCATAGTAGACGATTTGATTATTAATCGTGTTTTGAATAACGTTGTTTTTTAATTTGATTTCAAAAAGCTCGTGATGGTTTGCATGATCGACATATGGATCGAAGTAACGATGGCCATAATAATAACTATAATGCATCCTCTTCAGGCGGATTTTCTCGTAAGTAATCTCTTAAAAAAATATTTTATTTTATTTTTATAATTTAATATTTTGAAGAACGTGGTGGAAATTTTACTGATAGAGGTGGTAAGTGTTTCTTTTTGTACCTTGTTTAATAATAAATTTTTTTTTTTAAATAAAAGGTCGTAGTGGAAATTTTCACGATCGAAATAATTTTAATCGAAATCAAATCAATGATCATAATGAAAATAATATGCAACGATCACAAAACTTCAATAATAATACTCGAGGTGGATTTCAAAATCGTCGAGGTCAAGGAGATGATCGAAATCATGGAGGTTTCGAACGACGAGGCCATCGTGGTAGTCAACGCGGAAGTAAAATTTATAAATTATTTAACTTCATTTAAAACTTATTTACTTGAGTTTTTGTCTCAGACTTAAGCTCAGTAGAATCAGAATCTTAAGTTCTAGGAACTGGTATAAGTCCTAAGTTAATCAGTACTCAGAACGTATTTCAGTAATACTCCGATCGTGAAAGACATACGCTTGAGATAAAAAGTCCATTGGAGAATTAATATGATAGTTGTCCGTGACTTTCTTTTCACACTCACTACAATATATTGCATTAGAAATTTATAATTGTACTAACAACTTTTGTATTTTTCGTTTCAAGGTGGCTTTAGTAATAGTCGTGGTGGTCGTAATAGTTTTCGAGATGATGAAACGATTGGATTGCAATTAAGTTCAGATTATAATAATTCAATAAAGACATCCAATAGTTTATCAAATACACGAACAACAAACGTTAATTTTGAAGCTGGTGATCATTTTATTGAAAATGAAATACCAAAAGAAATATTTAAATATGTTATTAGTCATATTGAAACAGCAAATGATTTTTTTATACAAATATTATCTAAAGGTGATGAGTTATCAAAATTAAGTGAGATTTTACAAAATCAATATGAACAAGCACCCGCAACAAATTTAAGTACATTGAAAATTGGTCAAGCATGTTTAGCTAAAAGTTCTGATGATTGTTGGTATCGAGGTAAAAACAATTTATTATTTTTGATCGTTAAGAGACGATCCGCCAGATCCTACTGGAATTTTTAGTAATCTTAAATCATAAACCATCGTTTGAAACATCTAAATTCAAAATTTTTGAGTCTTTCTGATGTGCCTATAAGTGTCACTACACTTGATCCTTGAACGAAAAATCGTTTTTTTTTAGAGTGCGTTTAATATTTAACACTTTTCTCTGTGTTCACTCATGGACTCTAGTATCTCGACGTTTTCAAAGATGTGAAAATATTTTTCCCTACAAAATGGATTAATTTAGCAACTTCTACAATATCTTTTACTAACTAATAATGCTTATGTAGGACCAAAAACGATAGTTGACCATTATGTCAATTTTCTAGTGTTTTGAATTTAACACTATGGTGGATCGTGTTATCTTAAAATTATTTTTATATTTTCTGAAAGCTCTTGAAATTCGATATCGTTTCTCTATTCATTCTGATTCATACTCAACATGAACAACTAAGTATAAAAAAATCCAGTTTCCAAAGTTCCTATTTGGTTTGTCTTTTAGAAAATTCGATCCCCTCGATATTCGTGGCAAAAAGCATACAAAACTGTAGAAATTATATCCATGTTTGCCAGTCTTTCTCATCATAGCATATTAAGAATTCAAGCAAAAACCTACGTAAAATCGCATACATTTTATTAAAATTTATTTTCAATGAAAAATCGATCTCCGAGAGTAGATGAACAAAATTTTGAAAAAACATGATGTGAGATTTTTCATGCTGATTCCGAATCTACACTTCATTTTTGCTGTCATAATAGGTTACGATATGAAAAACTGTCAAATATAAATACAATGTTAACAGTTTTGCGTGTTTTAGTCGAAAAGTCAAATTTTCTTAAAAAGCTACATAGTGACTTTTAAAACTAACAGTTCAGTAATTTTAAATGAAATAAAACATTTGATTCAAGTGTTTCTCATGAAAAACTAGAGAGTATAAATATGTGTTTTGAGATATGCTCAAGCTGTCAGTTATTTTTCAGGATATTTTTAACTTGATTAAGTTTGCATTCTATCAAATAACATTTTCAATACTCAATTTTTCATGCTGTTGATACATCTGAAGTCACATTTGTAATTCAGATGATCATAAAACATGCAGTATCGTTATTATGGATATAGATGGGTATCATCCATCAAAATTTATGGTATGAACTAACTTGCGTTACCAACATTTTAGTCTTTTGAAATAATATCTTGAACATTGAAGAATTTCAAGGACTTTCAGAAACTATAAAATTTATTGTAGGACAGTAATTTTCCCTTGTGATCAACGCTAACATGCTAGGTAATGTTCATTTTAGTCAATCGTCATTTTTGCCTGTTTATTGACATTGCAAAATTTAATGAGATATCCAATTCTGCATCTTTGGAGATGTCGACGAACTCGAACGAATAAACAAATTCAGGGAAAAATGCAAAAATCAAGAGTAGTCACATTTGCATACTTTGACATTTTTTACGGACGCATCAGGAACAGTTTATATTCTGGATTAAATTCACTTAAATGGTAGTCTATTATTTGAGACAACTACATGAAAAATTAAAATTTTAGCAGCGATTAGCTTGATCAACAGATCCTTTCTTAAAAGTTTATTTTTTTTAGCTATTGTTATTTTAACTGGTTTAAATAAATTAAAAGTTCGTTTTATTGATTTTGGTGATACAACTGAAGTGAATTCAAAAACTATTCGGCAATTAGAAAAAAAACATTGTTTAGCAGCTCCCTATGCTTACGAATGTAAATTTGCAAATGTTCAAAGTAATAATAATAAAAAACAAGTCTTTGAAATCCTATTTTAATATTTTTTGTTTTTTAGCTTTTGATAATGTAAATAACGAAAATATAATAAAGAAATGTGCTGGTAAGGAATTTGAAGGAAAAATAAATACGAAAACTTCGGATAATAAATTTATTCTTGAATCCAATGATTTTCTTCAAATTTTACTTGAAACAAATGCAATCAAGTAAAGAAAAAAAATTTGTTTATTTTTATTAAAAAAATTTCTTTTTTAATTTAGATTAAAACCTAAAATAACATCAAAACGTATTCATTGTTTTATTGCTCATGTTGAACCTGATCAACATGAATTTTTCATTCAAGATGATAAGGAAACAGCAGACAAAGTAGCCGAACTTGTTACTAATGAAGAACCAAATGCTTCAACATTAACAATTGATGAAGTTAAACAATTATTACCAAATACAATGGTTATTGCTATGTATGAAAATGAACCATATCGTGCTATTATACAATCTAATGATGACAAAGATGATGATAATATTAATGTTTGTTATGTTGATTATGGTAATACAAATTTATGTTCAAAAACATCATTAAAAAATTGTAGTGAACAATTAAGTTCATATCCATATCAAAGTAAACGATGTCAATTATATGGTATTAAATCGAATGAAATTGATAATGCATTTCAACACCTTGCAGATAATTCTGATTCAGAAAATATTGAAATTTCAATAATTAATAAAAAAAATTCTTTATTTAATGTTCTTCTTTATATTGATGATAAATGTGTTAATGAAAAATTTGGATATGATCCAGATTTAATTGAATATAATGATGGTAACGTTGAAATTGATGATCAACCGAGTACACCAATAGCAACAACGATAATTAAAGAAGAAGAAGAAGAAGAAGAAGAAAAAGAAAAAGAACAACCTATATCTGTAGATGAAAAACAAACTAATGATGATGTTTTACCACAAAATGAAAGTTCATCAGATACACCAGCATTTACACAACCTGAGAACAATGAATTGATTACAGAAGGTATATAGGAAATTTAATTATTTCGAACGTAGTCATATCAATACCATCCAGGATCCTAACAGATAAGGATGTGGGTGTCTGTGAGGCTATGGAAGGGGCGTACGTAATTAAGGAGTAAAAGACATGCCTGAAAAAGTACGAATAAAAAATCTTCTTGCAAAACAAAAAGTTATATTCCTATTAGTATACATCCCTTTTTGAAAATTCCTGACTACGAGTTTAGGTGCCGCTGTGTGAATGTGGTTTAAGAGGAGACCCATACTTCCTTCCTATTCAATGTTATTATTTAAAAATAAAACACAATATTGTAATTAGTCATATTTTTGGGTTAAATTTTAATGAGCCAGTAGTGATTCTTGGTGTTCTCTATTACTTGCACCTTAACTTGTCGATCAAATACTTAATTATTAAGAAGGAAAACAAAGTTATCCTGAAGACTGCATCATAAATAGATGCAGATCTCGGAATGATTTTAAATTAAAGTCAATTTCTGTATATAGTTTTCATTCGAACAGAATTTTAATATACATTGAATTAGAAAGAATCGTAGCCCTTTACGACAGTAAAGATAGCTTTTCTTAACATGTAAATCAAATATAAAAAACTTGATTTTACTTTCCTTTAGAATTTCAGAACAAAAAAACAGATCCTTGGCTACATTTTAAACTGTGAAGGAGGCGTTTCAAATTTTCTGATTGAAAATCATGTTTAAACAAGTTAGAAATAAGTTTTTTTAATTTAAACTTCCTTAATGATTAAAATAGTCTATTCCATGCGAATACTAATGTAGGCGTATTCTTTCAAAAAACTACAATGATGTCTTGAAAAACATAATATCCGCACTACCGCCAGTCTAAGATATATTATACCGACGGTTTTGGATCGATTCAAATCACATAGGAACTTAATTTCGATTTTTCTACAGAAAAAAAATCTTAATTAGTCTAATTGATAATCATTGCTATAATAAACAAAAATTTATTCGTTATTTTTTGTTAAATATTTAAGATTAGAAAATTACGCATGACTTAAGATAAAAAAAATTACCAATCGTCTTTTCTATGCAACACGAGGAAATAAAACTCTCTAACTCAGTATTTTATTCAACGGAAAGAATGACACTATTCCGAAAATCGAATTAGCCTTCCCAACGTAACAGCTACTACGTGCCTCTTAGAGCTTATCGAGTTCGACCTGGACAACGATTCGGGTCTAGAAATTCTTGGACCCAATGTGCTCTAGTGTCTGTGCTTCTGAACATAGATTTTCGCTCTTTCTGAATAGTAAATCTGAATGAAACAATAAAATTCTCTAACCCAAAGAAAAAAAATGTAAATCATTTAAAAAATATAATTTTTCTTTAGAAACTTTACCAAAATATCGTTCAGGTTTTTTAACACATATAGAACAAAATAAACCATATGTATATATTCAATTAATACCTGAATCTGAATCAATAATTGAACAAATCAATCAATTAATTGAGAAAACAATAGAAGCAAAAAAACATAATTCATCATATGAAATAGGTGATCATGTTATAGCACAATTTACTCAAGATGATACTTATTATCGTGCTAGAATTGAATCATACTCATCAGAAACAAATTCGTATACAGTTTATTTTCTTGATTATGGTAATCTTGATGAAAATGTACAATTGAATCATCTTTATTCATATTCCGAAGAATTAAAAAATATTGAACCACAAGCACTTGGATATCTATTAAATAATGTTAATCTTGAATTATGGACTAATACATTACATTCATTAATGGAAAATAAATTAAATGATACTATTGAATTTTCTATTATAAATAAAGATAATTTTGTTATTCATATTAAACTTGATGATGATAATAATAATAATAATAATAATAAAGAACAAAATAAACTTTTATCAGCTAATATATCAGCTATTGATGAGAATTTTTTTTACATACATATATTACCTGATGATAATTTAAATGTATGTGAAATTGAAGAATATTTACTAGCATATTATAAACAAAATAAAGATCAATGGACAATAAATGATTTATGTATTGTTTCAAATGATGAAAATAAATTTTATCGTGGTCAAATTCTTGATATCAATGATAATAAATATAATGTTAGATGTATTGATTATGGAAATATTTTACAAAATATAACACATGATCATTTATTTATATTATCAAACGATGATATTTTAAAACAATCATCATTAGCACATAAATGTCAATTGTATGGTATTGATGATATTAATCAAAGAAAAGCTATTGATGATATTATTCAATATATACCAATAACAGAATGTCTTACAATTCATATTGAAAATAATGATGAAAATAATCAATGTTTATTTGTTACACTTATAAGAGAAGATAAGGATAATATTAATGCTCGATATTTGTCAAATGATAACATTGAAGATGAAAACAAGGTAGGATTTATT